ACCCCCCCCCCCCCCCCCCCCCCCCACAAAACTCAAAAACTAAACACCAGCTGAGGTAGAACGTTACATTTACAGTCTTTCTAAAAACCCATCCCCCTCAATTTCCTCCAACTCGTCCAATTGTGGTTTCTATCCTCAAACTCTCCAGTTCACCACCAATATTATCGCCTTTTACCGTCCCCCCACAGTCGTTTTGCCGCCCAGATCACAGAGATGTTTTTTCGCAGATCCTTGATATCGTTTCCTACGAGTACGTCGTCAAGCCCATTCTTCTCATAAGATTAAAACCTTTGCATTAAGACCTCCGCAAGTTGGCTTCCACGCTATTTTTCCAAACACACATTCGCCGTGATCGTCACTACATCCTCTTCTTTTTCTCTGACATCCCGCCCATAATATATGACGTTTCTTCGAAAACGTTGTTTTCTGGCCAATCACATCGAAGGATTTTTTTTCAGCTTCCAAAACTATGGCCATCGCTGGACCATCTGGCACGTCATTTCGTGTCTAGCTACGCCGCCTGCCTATTTGGCACTGGCTCAAGAGCTCTCTCTACACAGGTACAGAAGGACCAATCGGAGGAAGGGCCGGAGCCGAAATGGACATGAAAAAGAAGAGAGTTCGATAATTCCTTGCCCTGAAGACAAACTTTTTGGGACTGACTGAATCGAACTATATATACCGCAAATAAAGCGGATCACGATAAAAGCTTAGCGAATTTCACAGCTACTGATTTGAATTGTTTTCAAGAATAGGCTCAAATTGACCTTTTCACTTCACTTCAGTTCTCGGAATTCTCAACCCTCTAATACTCAGCGATAATCAAGCCTAAGATTGATAATAATATCGAAGTTTAGGACAATTTTCGACATCCAGGAAAAGGAAAAAAAATATAAGTTTGACAATAACTTGAGCGTTCCGTCTGAAGCATATCGGTCGAATCACAGATTTGTTTTCTTTCTCTAAGCATCGAGCACTTCGTTCTTTCTTTCTCTCAACAATCAAGACACACATCGGGTAAGGAATGTTCTCCAAATTCACCACCGCTCGCTTTACAGCACTCAATGCGTCCCGCAGACTTGTAAGAAACGCATCTTCCACCAACAGCCTTGCCGGTGCGTCCACTGGTGGCTCCTCGTCATTTAACATCAGCAAAGTGATTGAAAACAATGTCGATAACAAGCCCAACATCGTGATTTTAGGTTCTGGCTGGGGTGCCATCTCCTTGCTACAAAACATCGATTCGAAGATGTACAACGTCACCATGATCTCGCCTCGTAACTACTTCTTGTTCACTCCATTGTTGCCTTCCACCCCTGTCGGAACTGTGGACGAAAAATCGATCATTGAACCAGTGGTCAACTTCGCGCTTAAGAAGAAGGGCAACATTTCGTACTACGAAGCGAAGGCTACCTCGATTAACCCAGACAGAAACACGGTGACCATTCAGTCCGTTTCCACAGTTGCCCAACTCGCACAGCCCGACAACCATTTGGGTCTCACACAGCAAGATAAGGCGGAAATCAAATACGATTACCTTGTCACTGCCGTTGGTGCCGAACCAAACACTTTCGGAATCCCAGGTGTCGAGCAACACGGTAACTTTTTGAAAGAGATCCCACACTCTCTCGAAATCCGTAAGAGGTTCTTATCCAACATTGAGAAGGCAAACCTTCTCCCTAAGGGCGATGCTGAACGTAAGCGTCTATTGACGATCGTTGTTGTCGGTGGTGGACCAACCGGTGTTGAAACTGCCGGTGAATTGCAGGACTACATCGACCAAGACCTGAAGAGGTTCATGCCTTCTGTCGCTGAGGAAGTTCAAATTCACCTTGTTGAAGCACTACCAGTCGTGTTGAACATGTTCGAGCGTAAACTAACTTCATATGCCCAGGACGTCCTCCAGCAGACTACCATCAAGGTTCATTTGAGAACCGCCGTTTCTAAAGTCGAACAAGACCACCTAGTTGCCAAGACCAAAGCTGAAGATGGTACCCTCACCGAGGAAACCATCCCTTACGGTACTCTAATTTGGGCCACTGGTAACAAGCCTCTAAGCATTATCACTGACCTTTTTAAAAAGATTCCTCAGCAAGTCGAATCCAGAAGAGGTCTAGCTGTCAACAGCAACATGTTGGTCAAGGGCAGTAACAACATCTTCGCTGTAGGCGACAACGCTTTCTCTGGTCTACCCCCTACCGCTCAAGTTGCTCACCAACAGGCGGAATACTTGGCAAAGGTTTTCGAAAAGATGGCGAAAACCCCTAACTTCCACGCCGATCTTGCCAAGAGAACCGAAAAGGTTGACTTGTTTTTCGAGGAGAATGGTGTTAAGCCTTTTGACTACATTCATTATGGTGCCTTGGCTTACTTGGGTGCTGAGAAGGCCATTGCCAACATAACATACGGAAAGCGTTCATTCTACACCGGTGGTGGTGTTTTGACTTTTTACATTTGGAGGGTACTATATGCTATGATGATCTTGTCCGCAAGATCTAGGTTCAAGGTTATCTCCGATTGGTTCAAGCTAGCCATCTTCAGAAGAGACTGTTTCAAGGAATTGTAAAAAAGTCACTTTTTCGGAAAGGGAGGACCCATGATCACCGTAAGGATGACCATAGTCACCAATAACTAACATTCAAGGAAACATATGAGGTTAGGATTCAATGATGATCCACTCAAGCTCTCAAAAGAGTATTATTTATAGTCAACATCGTGTATTAAAAGAATAAACCAGAATTCTACTTTAAGTGAGATTTGACCATATGAGTCTCCGAGTATTTTGAATGAAGCGCTCGTTAACACCTCTATGGCCGGTGTGGTTTAGTCCATCATTGGAAATGAATCCGTGCTTTTTTTATGTTTTCTAATATCAGCTCTTGCGGGCTATCCGATTTGTTCAGCACTATGAAGCACATCATATTAGAGGAGAGTTCGCTCACGAAAATGGTGTTATCGAGAACTAGCGTCTTAAAGGAACTCTTGAGCTTCATGCTACTTTGTTTGAAATTCTTCATGATGTTAGAAATTTTTTCAAAGCGCTTGGGATCCAGGAGTTCGCCGCTCGTGGTATTACTGGAGCATATTACCAAAAACGTTGCTCGCTCAAACAAAATAATCTCCCTTGCATCCATCACAGCTTTCAACTTCTTCAAGTTCAACTGGTAAGTGGCCATATTTGGGATCAGCGAACATATTATCTGGGACCACGCTTTATAGAGACTTTCATCCCAAATCGATGTTGGGAATCCAATGAGTTCTGGGAATCCATACGCCGCAGACGTTTCCTGTAGTTTGCTCATCATGATTTGGAAAAGCTCCTGCCTCTTGTCTCGCTGCACGAGGTCCATCTTATGTAGCAAAACGAATATCTTGGCATCTGGGGAATACTTCTTGAGTTGATTTAGAGCCTTGGTGAATATTTCGATATCTTTGATTACCTCCTGGGACTCCACGTCAAAAACATGGATAAGGACCTGCACCATTTGGAAAATGTGATCTTTCTGCTGCGAAAAATAGTTATCCATAAACACATCCTGCCCACCGCAATCCCACAGGTTAAGCGTCATATTTCCTAGAAATCTTAAGTGTGAATGTTCCACGTCTATAGTTGCTCCAAGTCGTCTGGTGTCAAATGCTGAATAATTGCTGAAAATGATGGATCTCATAGACGACTTACCAGAACCGGAACGGCCCATCAACAAGAGTTTCTTACGATTGTTGGAAGACATGTTTGGCAGTTATTGAGAAGCTAATAGAGTTTTTAAGGCGTGTTTTTCTGATGTTCAAGACCAAATTTTTAATGAAACTTATCGTCAAATAACGACCTTTAATTCAATATTCATCATCTAATATATATGCATATATTATACACATATAAAAGAACAGTTTCGAGGACCATCATCTCGACAATGAGGATGCTAGCTTCAAGGATAGGATCTAAAGAAGCACTGCGTTACAAGCTTGGGTGGGTTTCGAGGAGATCGTTAAGTGTCTGCATAACGGGTATCGGCAATCCAGAGCCACAGTACGCTTTGAGTCGACACAATGCAGGTCTTTTAATGCTAGACCTGCTGAAAGAACAGCTTTCAAGATCGTCGTCCAAACCCTATCTGCCGTGCAATTCAAATGGGAAAGTGAAACGATGTCAGCTGGACGATATCATGCTGCTTCGCGCGGATGGCGACTATATCAATCTGAGTGGGAAAACTGTCACTCCGCTGTGGAAAAAATTGGGCTCTGGGATCCAACATGTGGTGGTACATGACGAGCTAAGTTTGGCTATGGGGAAAGTGCAACTCCGTAAGCCCGATTCGAGTGTCAGGGGCCACAACGGTCTGAAAGACTTGACGAAACATTTTGGTGGTAATTTTTACCGGCTTGCGGTTGGCATTGGACGACCGTTGCAGAGAGATCCCGACATTGTGGCCAAATACGTGTTATCAAAATTTACAAACCAAGAACTACGGACCATACAAACGGAAAGCCTCTTCAAAGCCATGGAGCACTTGCAGAAGGTACTACCATCCATTAACAAGAGTTCCTAGCAAAACAACTTGTATACTATCATCAATCCCAATCCCACACAAAGTCCAGATGTTGTCCTGATTCTCTCTCTCCCAGGCAGCGCCTATCATTCTACAATGTGACGTTGCATTGCCGTTATGTATTTACCATTTTTCTTCAATTCAGCATTAACGGTTTTATAGTGTAGTGGTTATCACTTTCGGTTTTGATCCGAACAACCCCGGTTCGAATCCGGGTAAGACCTCTTTTTTTGTTAAGTCAATGAAATACCCAGGATTTCATGTTTTCAATGCGTAAGGAAGCTACCAGTCCCATACTTGTTAAAGTTAAGCACGCATTGTAGTGAACAAAGCTCTCTGGCTATCTCTCTGGCTATCTTTACTCTACTATAACGTCTTTTCATACGTGTACCGTTAATTCGCTGTCTGTAGCTAATAACCAAATTTCAATATTCTTTGGCTATACGAGCGTGAAAAAAAAGTTGAAATATTCAAAATAGTAGGTATAGAGAAATTCTATGAACATGTTCCGATGATTTCCATAGTAGTTCTCCATCACTCTTTAACTTTAAAAAGACATTCATTAAGGGCGTCAGGGCGTTTAGAGTGGACAATTGTTTTGCTAGAAATTATAGGATCGAAAAATGGGTAAATTAACGCAACTTTTGTCTCATCCTTTGGAGCTTAAGGCTGCCTTAAAGTGGAAGTTTATCCGGAAACCACTTTACTCTCTTGAAGATACCAAAGCTTCGCCGGAATTACAAAGATGTTGTGAGTTGCTGGACATCACGTCGCGTTCTTTTGCTGCAGTTATCATGGAATTGCATCCGGAATTGCGTAATGCCATCATGCTATTCTATCTCATTTTGAGAGCGCTTGACACAGTGGAAGATGACATGACGATAGACCCGGAAATCAAAATTCCACTTTTACGCGAGTTTGACTCGAAACTCGATCTCCACGACTGGTCATTCGACGGAAATGCTCCAACGGAAAAAGATCGGTGTGTATTGGTTGAGTTTCCGTGCATTTTGAAAGAATTGCACAAATTGAAACCGGAATATCAGAAGGTGATCAAGGACATTACTCGCCAGATGGGGAACGGAATGGCGTCGTACATCTTGGACGAAAACTTCAATCTCAACGGTGTCTCAACAATCAAAGACTACGACCTCTACTGTCACTACGTAGCGGGAGTTGTGGGAGATGGGCTCACTCAACTGATCGTGCTAGCCAACTTCGGAACCAAGGACTTGTACGCCGAGTCCGCGCAAACGTTCGAAAGCATGGGCCTCTTCCTGCAAAAGACAAACATTATCAGAGACTACGCCGAAGATCTCGAAGACGGACGCTCTTTTTGGCCCAAAGAAGTGTGGTCTCTCTACGCTAACAAACTGATGGATTTCTCAAAACCTGAAAACACCCAGGCCGGAGTCCATTGTATAAATCATTTGGTTCTCAATGCCCTATCTCACATCGAAGACGTGCTGTTGTACCTAAGCTCCGTTCACGAACAATCTACTTTCCAATTCTGTGCTATTCCTCAAGTGATGGCCATCGCCACGCTAGCTCTAGTTTTCAATAACCCCGCTGTGTTGCACAAAAACGTCAAAATCAGGAAAGGCACAACCTGTTACCTGATCTTGAAATCCAGGACTTTCCGTGGGTGCGTTGAAATCTTCCAATATTATGTCCGTTATATCAAAAAGAACCTTCCCGTGGAAGACCCCAACTACCTCAAGATCAACATCAGAATTGGCAGGATAGAACAGTATATCGAAGGAATGTACCAAGAACAGTTGCCTGCTGGAGTCGCACCTAACAAGACAGTCATCTACGAGAAAGTTCAGGAAAGGACCGTTTGCGACGCGAAAATTGCCTCCAAGCTGACGGATGAGGAATATCAGTTTAATATGACCCTCACAATGTTCTTGACCGTCGCTGCAGCGATAATCTGTTACGTTAAATGAGATACCCTCATGGGGATCGGGAGATCTTGAGTAAGCCCCTACGGTGATCTTTGTCAAGCACATTGAGATGGAACACGAACAAACGGAATGTCGTACAATCAAATCAAAAGATCATCACAAGTATTGAAGACCTCAATTTTATCATATTCCGTCAAATTTATAGTACTTTAAAGTTATTTCAATAGACCTATAGGTTGTTCGAATACAATCGAATATTTGAGCCAAAAACCCAGGACCAAAAAAGAATTAATCGCTAGAACTCCTGGAGGTGTGAAGGCAATGTAAGAGTACATCAACTTGGAAAGCACAGTGTTTTGACTAGAGTTCGGTGTGCCAGGGAATTTCGTTCTTCTTAGCATGAACAAGTCATCTGATCTTATCAGCTTTAAGGATGAGTACTCTAGCATGAGTCCGATGAGCTCACTGATTGCATTGAATTTGATACGCTGGTATATAATGCTCAAGGATCCCTCGCCAGGGTCGATCAATGCACCATCGGGATGCTTGTTAAGACGCTTTTAAATCCTTAACAATGTTTACTAATGAACAGGTTGATAGATTTCACAAAGATGGCTTTCTTGTTGTTCCTCACTTCTTGTCACAAGCAACCTCGCAACGGCTACTGAAGATATCTCACGAATATCTTGAACAGATAGATCTTTCTAACCACCCGCTAACGCGATTCACTACCAGTGACAAGGATCATCTGGGAGACGAGTACTTTCTCAATTCATCGGATAACATATCTTTTTTTTTTGAACCCGATGCCTTCGCTGACGTAGATGGTCATCACAAACTGGTAAAGCCAAAGGAGAGGGCTATCAATAAATTTGGGCATGGATTACATTTGTGTGATGCGAATTTTGCTGCAGTAACTAGTGGAAATGCTGATGTGTCCGAAATCGCCAAGGGTTTAGGGTTTCAAAGGCCCAGAGCCTTGCAATCAATGGTTCTGTGCAAACAGCCTGAAATAGGTGGAGCGGTGCCACCTCACCAAGACAGCGTTTTTCTGTATACCGATCCTTTGAGTGCAATAGGTTTCTGGATTCCCTTAGAAGATGCAACGCGCGAAAATGGATGTCTCAGTTTCGCTCCTGGTTCGCATCACGACCACCCTGTTACCAAGAGATTCGTGCGCAGATTTGACAAAGAAACTGGTGAACAGCTGGATGGTACCGAGTTCATCAGTTTGGAAAATCGAGAACAGATAGAAAAAGGGTTCGCAAAGGAGGAGAATCAAAAATGGGTTAGCGTTGAATGTAAGGCCGGCGATCTCGTTTTAATCCACGGTTCTGTTTTACACAAAAGCGAGGTAAACTCCTCGAATAAATCGCGTTTCGCTTATGCATTTCATTTGATTGAGGACACCGCTGTCTATGATAAGTTGAATTGGCTTCAATCAAGCGTTAAGTCAATTTTGTATTGAGGGCGTGTGCTGTACCAGTGAAGCACGGATTTCATTATTTCTGCATTTCTTCCGTGACGTTGTGTCATCGTAGAGGGTAAGTCACGAAGAACAGAGAATCAGTAGCAAATCCTCGACTTGTAGCACATGAAATGCCTCTTCAGGAAATACTGCATTGTGTGCTGGCTATGCAGATTGACAACTTTGTGCCCACCAGTTGTGACTAGAGGAATTCGTGAATTACAGTATGGTATTGGTGAATCGATAGTCGGATCTTCAATGCTAGTTGTTGTGTAGTGATTATGATATCCGGATGAGTCACAGCGACAAGAAGTACCACCATGCCAATTTGAGGAATGGCATCCTATAAAAATAAGCGAAACCCGCAGACGCGGAATTTTGGAAAGATTGCAGGCAGGACAGATCGCTTTGCATCTCCTGGAGAAATCAATCTGATTGAAGTTCAATTATTTTGCGATTCGAACTGAAATGTAGCCCGATATTTTAGATTTTGTCGATTTCCGAAGCTTTTACAAGAGAAAGGCCTTTGTCTAATGCGTCTTTTCACTTGATGGGCAATGCTTAGATTAATGTGTAACAAAAAGCAGGTGGTATATGGATGATGGCATCAGCGGCCGGTGTTATGTAGGTTTTTTGGCACTCTATGAAATGTGATTGATCTTGGTTCGAAGCAACCGCTGTAGTAAAGACTTGTGAGCGTTGAGGGGAGAAATCGCGAATAACTCACGTGGAAGCTCGAACTTTTCGGGCGACTCGCGAACCACACTTGCTACAGATCTCTGGTTTATCAGAATTTGGAAATCACATCAGGCGCTGGAGCTAAAATAGGAGACTGCTTTATTTCGATTGATGAAGTAATTATATGTTTTGGGTACATAACGTGTATTTGACAGGGATATGTTTTATTACATAGTAATAAGGCAATTCTTTAGCACGAAAGAAAAACAAACAGTTGACAGCTGAGATGGTGAATTGGTACTGATGACTATAGATAAGCCTAAGTTATTGAGCGCTGTGCGTTTCGGCTCAACAGGTATCGAAAACGTACAAGGAAAATGCCAGTTTACCAAGTTTGTAAAATGTAGAGGTCACGTGATCCACGACGTCAGCGACAGAAAATGACATGTAACGATTCTCAGAACTCGGATCGATCGTGAATCTCATATCTAGAATGGAAGCTAATTAACATTGTTGATGGGCGTTATCATAGATGAGCTTGTTTTGTGCGTCAATGATTGAATTTTCTTTTGAATGGTACTTTCCTATACTCGTGCTGACACTGTGTCAGGAATGTCGTTGCCTGTATCTGGAGTGCGATTGCGCGATGAACGTTGGATAGTTTGGGTGAGTTCTTTAGATTAATTTAGAGTGTGATTATCTTAAGTGGTTACACTTGATACGATCAATGTCGTTCTCGTTAGAGCAGTGGTAGTGTATCTTGTCAATTCTGTAGCTGTCACCGGGTCACGTGCATATGATCACTTTGTCGCATTTGACGCTCGCCACGCGTCCAGACACTCTCAGAGACCCTATCTCAACAATGACAGACCAATGCATCGATTCTATCTACACAATCACTTATCCGTCATCTTTGTTACCGCTCACTCCTACATGTCTAACTTTATCACTTTTGTCGCGCACTGTCGTGCGCCAAACCCCTGGTGTCTGGGTGTTAATTTTTACTACCCATAAACCCACACACCCAGACAAAACTCTACACCCACACACCCCGACACACAGCCCTACACCCACACACCACCATATCTTCCCCATCTCTAACGTTATCGACCCGTTCAAAATTTCCACTCACACCACACCGCCACCCTTCTTTCAACGGCCCTGCCGAGAAAAAGACTAGCAAGCCCAACATCCGACCAAGAAACAAACCGATGATCCGAGACCACCCACAGTGATCCCATCAATTAATTATCTCTTTGTGTGTATGTCCCATTACCATGCACGCGCACACATACATCACAGAAACACCAATTCATCATCCATTCGCTCCCCCACGTGCCACGTGTCGCGTGCCCCTTTTTTTTTTTTTTCTATCTTTCTTTTGAGTCTTTTGAGGCCCCGTGACCTTCATGTTCTTCCGTTCTCTGCATTGGCCCGGACTTTCCATGCATGCTTTTTACCGTCTTTTCATGTGACGCCTCAGAGCACACGGTGCACCCCTCGAGGCCCCTGCTGACCTAAGCGTTTTTTTCCTTTTTTATGGTTCCTCTTTTCCCTGTCTCCTTCCACGGCTCGAGATTTTTCAGAAAACGTGGGATCCTTTAAATTAAACTCTAATTTCAATTTAATATATACAATAACCAATTTAACGCACACACACACACAAATTAAAGCATGCGCGCAATGTAATTAAAGTCATCGCCAATGTTAGCCATTTAGCCACATTCTACTCATCGACCCCTCACACAAATGCGTAGGATCGCAGGTGGGGTGGCCCACGCACGATGACCGTAGTAATGTTGTATAGTAAGTAAGTAGTGTAGAATTTTAGACAACGAGCGGCTCTGCTTCTCGTTCGGTCAGTTTTTCTTTTACAGGGTGGAAAAAAAAGAGAGGCCAAGACACAGTATATAAAGATGAGATCGAAAGCCAAGAATGGGAGAATGTGTAGAAATCATTTGTCTTGGAGGTTTTCTTCTCTTTCTTCTTAACTCCCCAGTCTACACTAAACCTGTCAAAGGCCTCTAGTATTAATACTCAAATCGGTGTCCACAGCATTTTTGTTTTCTTCACATCTTATTTGAACTTTGGTGATGAGCATTGAAAAAGATACCACTCAGGTGAATAACACCCACAAAACCGCCGGTGGTAACGCTGCGTTCCACAACTTCATCAACGATTTCTCCCACATCGAGGACCCGCTAGAACGTCGTCGTTTGGCGCTCCAGAAAATCGACGATGCCTCGTTCGGCTGGTACCACGTCAGAGCCATCGCCGTCGCCGGTGTGGGTTTCCTCACTGACTCTTACGATATTTTCGCCATCAACTTGGGTGTGTCGATGATGTCGTACGTGTTCTGGCAAGGAAACATGCCAGCATCCACCACTACGTTGCTCAAAGTGTCGACCTCGGTCGGTACCGTTATCGGCCAGGTCGGGTTCGGTGTCATGGCCGACGTTGTCGGCCGTAAGAAGATCTACGGTCTCGAATTGATCGTGATGATCGCCGCCACCATTTTGCAATGTACTATCGGAACTGCTCCAGGTGTCAGCTTCGTCGCCGTGCTCACTTTCTACCGTATCATCATGGGTATCGGTATCGGTGGTGACTACCCGCTCTCGTCGATCATTACCTCCGAGTTCTCTACCACCAAATGGCGTGGTGCCATCATGGGTGCGGTTTTCGCCAACCAAGCCTTTGGTCAGATCGCCGCCGGTATCGTTGCTCTTATCCTCGTGGCTGCCTACAAGGACGTGCTTATCGTTGCCAACACGGGTTCCCAGTGCGGTCCAGCCTGTGCCAAAGCCTGTGACCAGATGTGGCGTATTCTCATCGGTCTAGGTTGTGTTCCAGGTATCATTGCCCTATACTTCCGTCTAACCATTCCTGAGTCCCCTCGTTACACTTTCGACGTCAACAACTTGCTCGACAAGGGTGTTGCCGACATTTCCAAATTCGCTTCTGGCGAACACGGTAACGCTGAAGCCGAGGAGATTGCCCGTTTGGAAAGAGCCCCAACCGCTGTTGAACAGTACGAAATCGCCCCTCCAAAGGCCTCTTTCCGCGACTTTGTCACCCACTTTGGTAAATGGAAGTACGGTAAGATCTTGTTCGGTACTGCTTTCTCCTGGTTCACCCTTGATGTTGCCTTTTACGGTTTGAACTTGAACTCTGCCGTTATTTTGCAAACTATTGGTTACGCTTCCTCCAAGAACGTCTACCACAAGCTTTACAACTCCGCCGTCGGTAACTTGATTTTGATCTGCGCTGGTTCGCTTCCAGGATACTGGGCCTCTGTTGCCACCATTGACACCATTGGTAGAAAGCCCATTCAACTCTTTGGTTTCTTTATCTTGACCGTTTTGTTCTGTGTTATTGGTTTTGCTTACCACAAATTGAGCGACCATGGATTGTTGGGTCTCTACATTGTTTGTCAATTCTTCCAAAACTTTGGTCCTAACGTTACCACTTTCATCATTCCAGGTGAAGTGTTCCCAACCAGATACAGATCTTCTGCTCACGGTATCTCTGCCGCCTCCGGTAAAGTCGGTGCCATTATTGCTCAAACCGCTTTGGGTACGTTGATTGACCACAACTGTGCCAAGAACGGCCAAAAAGCTAACTGTTGGTTGCCTCACGTTATGGAAATTTTTGCGCTTTTCATGTTGTGTGGTATTTTCAGCACTCTATTGATCCCAGAAACCAAGCGTAAGACTTTGGAACAGATTTGTGAAGAGTACCACGACGAAATCGACTCTGCAAAATATGCTAGTCCGAACAGCAACTCTGCCTCTTCCAGCCACACTGAAACTGTCTAATAATGGATGGGCTTAACAAATGCCATCGAACTTGTACAGTATTTCTTCTGCATGTATATTATTTAGGAAAGGTATAAAAACAAACTAATTCAAAGAATTGATTTTGAGAGATATGTTGAAGTGGGAACGAAATTCTTGATAGACGTGGTCAAGTAAAACTATGGTTCATCTGTTTACGACAAAATTGTTCAAAAAAGAACGATAGGCGAAAGATTTGTCTTATTACTGAAGTGTTGGGCATGATTCCAACTACCATACTTATGCAGATCTATACTCAGTGTTACAAAATAGCGGGATAGAATTTGATTATAGACGAGTAACAGTTGAAATGCAAAATATTCATACTTTCGGATCCTACCATGGGCAGAATATTGAACTACCATTTCCAGTTCAAGATCATATTGGAATCTTTGTACGTCTCTCAATTGTCCTCATAATTCAATAGAAGGGGTTTAGATAAAAGTATGAAAGCATGCAGGTACGTTGATAATTCGTCTCTAAAGCGGATGCCTGAAAAGGCTGAAAAGGGTGCCTTCCAGTTCCACCTCTCCTAACCATGATAAAAAGCGCCAGAATAACCCTAGACAATGGCCATCGCTTCGTCAGCTAGGCCTCAGGTGCCCTTTGGTAAAGGTGTTGTATGTCTAATATCACTTTGTTCCCTTCCGTCGCCCGTCACACGCGTACAAAACGATAACGACTACTTTACTTCACATGACATGGATTTGGGTGTCTATTGAGGCGTAAACCACTTGATCCGCTCTGCAAGCCGCTGCTGTAAGAATTAGGAAATCTGGTGAGATCGCCAAGGTTCAAACTATCTTTACAAAGTCTCTCGCTTTCTACATCTAAATTCGTCTCGACACCTTGGTCAAAAATAAACGTCTCGACGCTCACTAATAATAAAACCATACGCCCAATGGCTTACAAAAAAGGAGCTCGTCTCGTCTCTCCCTTTGATGAGCATCTCTACTCACACCTTTACGTTCGTCTCGTAACTCCTATTATGGGCTGACGTCGTTGGTTACCCGCACTGAAATCCAAACCAAACGCCACGTGATTTGCATTCCTTAAGGCTTTTGTGGAAAAATGTAAACAGTACATATACAGATATTACCAAACACCAAAACGAACCGATCCAACTTCATCTAGTTCACTCGAATTCACCAACGAACAGAAGTCTCGACAACGATGAGAGAAGTCATTAGTATTAACGGTATGTGCTATTTTGTATTTTGGTGTGTTGCAGCGGCAGACAGGCGCGTAAAAAACCCGGCGAAAATCGACCCTTGGTGCGATCTTGGGTGGTAGACCTAGCACAGTTGAAACAGTGTTCAAAATGCTAGAAAAGAATGCCAGCCGTTGACCAGAAAGACTATGCTCAAAAAGCCCAATCTTCACTGGCATTGGTATTGGCATTGTCACTGGGACTCGTGAATTAACGCGTTGCGTATTTGAAAATGGGTTTTACGTGTTTTGCACTGCTGTACCGTACCTAATATCGTTAACGCTTTTCACTAACATAAAAAAACCTTCTTTTAGTCGGTCAAGCTGGTTGTCAGATCGGTAATGCGTGTTGGGAACTTTACTCCCTGGAACACGGTATTAGACCAGATGGATATCTAGAAGAGGGTCTCACCAAGCCCAGAGGTGGCGAAGAGGGTTTCTCAACATTTTTCAACGAAACCGGATCTGGGAAATTCGTGCCTCGTGCATTGTACGTGGATCTGGAGCCAAACGTTATCGATGAAGTACGCACTGGTCCTTACAAAGAGTTGTTTCATCCCGAACAGCTTATAAGCGGTAAGGAAGACGCCGCTAACAACTATGCTCGTGGTCACTACACGGTTGGCAGAGAATTGCTTGACGATATCCTTGACAGAGTTCGGAAAATTTCGGACCAGTGTGATGGACTTCAAGGTTTCCTGTTTACTCACTCGTTAGGTGGTGGTACTGGTTCCGGTTTGGGTTCCCTCCTTTTGGAACAGCTGTCCATTGACTACGGCAAAAAATCCAAGTTGGAATTTGCGGTCTACCCTGCTCCTCAGGTTTCCACCTCTGTCGTGGAACCTTACAACACCGTGCTGACCACACACACCACCCTGGAACATGCAGACTGTACTTTTATGGTAGACAATGAGGCCATCTATGAAATGTGCAAAAAAAACTTGGACATCTCCAGACCTAGCTTGTCCAACCTAAACAATTTGATCGCACAAGTCGTGTCTTCCGTTACTGCGTCTCTTAGATTCGACGGTTCGCTTAACGTGGATTTGAACGAATTCCAAACAAACTTGGTTCCTTACCCAAGAATCCATTTCCCATTGGTTTCGTACGCTCCAATCTTGTCGAAGAGCAAGGCCCACCACGAATCTAACGCAGTTTCTGAAATTACAAATGCTTGTTTTGAACCCGGTAACCAAATGGTGAAGTGCGATCCAAGATCCGGTAAGTACATGGCCACCTGTTTGCTATATAGGGGTGATGTGGTTACCAGGGATGTGCAGAATGCAGTTGCCCAGGTCAAGAATAAGAGAACGGTTCAACTTGTCGACTGGTGCCCAACGGGATTCAAAATTGGTATCTGCTACGAACCACCTACTGCAACTCCTCAATCACAATTATCTTCCGTCAACAGGGCCGTTTGTATGCTTTCAAACACTACGGCTATTGCAGACGCCTGGAAAAGAATTGACAGAAAGTTTGACCTTATGTACTCCAAGAGAGCTTTTGTCCACTGGTATGTCGGTGAAGGTATGGAAGAAGGTGAATTCACAGAGGCCAGAGAGGATTTGGCTGCTTTGGAGAGAGATTACATCGAAGTCGGCGCAGATTCTTATGCAGATGAAGAAGAGTTTTAATTTGAAGCAACTGAAGCTCCTATCCGTTTGTCAAAAAACAAAGGAGAAAGCTTTTTTTTGGCAGCAATTATGGCACAACAATGTCGTCCCATGACTATGAGCTGGCTGGCAGGGAAATTGTGCCCACAATCCCGAAACTTGATGCTAATTCTTACCTCCGCTCATTTCCTGCGCTGTAGTAGGTATTTGCAGCCAAGTCTGACATCATCTCTCAATATTGTATACCCCGGTACTAATTAATACCACATTGGATTGAAATTTTTAAGCGAGCATTGCCATAATGGGTCACTCGGTAATAGATACAGCTCGCTGGTAAGAGCAGCCCGCACTCGTCGAAGCCGGAGTCATTATTATGTCAGAAGTGACCCCGTCGAAGAACTTGAGTGATGGAGATGTTGACGGAAACCCGCTACCAAGGTAACCCAAATGCTCACCTTGCAAGAGTAATACGTATATCACATTGAGATCACCAGTTAAATATGTAAGATCTTTCCGTATTCGTCTATCTTGAAAGTATTTAAGGTTTACTCATCACACCGAAGGGGCAGTCCATTGTTGTCTATCACCTTTATTGATATAAAGCCTGAAAAAAATTGCTTGAGGTAACTTTGAATAAGTTGAACAAGAGCTACAAGATAGCTGTTTTAGTAAGATTTTGGTCCCCACCCAAGCCTTTGAGTGATGGATAACATACTTCCTGGTGCGCGTAGGAACTATGAGTTCAAGAATTGGGCAGGAATCTACTCAGCCAAGCCTCAGTTGTATTTCCAACCTTCGTCGATAGAAGAAGTTGTCAAAGTTGTTAATGCTGCTAGAAGACTGAACAAAACGATTGTAACTGTAGGTTCAGGCCATTCGCCCAGTGATATGTGTATTACTAAGGAATGGCTCATGAACCTTGACAAAATGAAGAAAGTTCATAGTTTGGTGAAGAATGATGGCGAAGCATTTGCTGATGTTACTGTCGACGCTGGTTTGCGGATTTTCGAGTTGAGCGAGTACTTGCACGAACAAGGATACGATATTCAAAATCTGGGGTCTATATCAGAGCAAAGTGTTGGCGGAATTATCTCTACAGGAACGCATGGGTCGTCTGCATTTCATGGTCTGGTGTCGTCTCAATACGTCAATTTAACATTGGTCAACGGACTTGGAGAAGTTGTATTTCTAGACTCTGAAACCAAGCCTGAAGTGTTCAAAGCGGCCATGCTTTCGTTGGGCAAAATCGGTATTATTGTACGGGCCACGATCAGAGTTGTGCCATCTTTCAAGATCAAATCCACAATGGAAGTGGTCAATTTCGACACACTACTAAGACAATGGGACACCGTCTGGACGTCGAGTGAGTTTATAAGATGCTGGTGGTTCCCTTATACCAGCAAATGCATCTTGTGGAGGGGTGTGAAGACTAGTGATACTGCCGTAATCAAAACCAGAAAGTCGTGGTGGGGTACTACGATAGGACGTCGTTTCTACGAGCTTTGCTTATGGATTTCAGTCAACGTTTACACACCTTTCACACCGATTGTAGAGAGGTTTGTTTTCCGCAAACAATACGGTAACGTGGAAACCTTGGGGTCCGGTGAAGTTGAAATCCAGAAGTCTGTCGACGGTCTCAACATGGACTGCCTATTCTCGCAGTTTGTTGACGAATGGGGGTGTCCGTTAAGTAATGGGCCCGAAGTGCTATGTTCTTTGGATCGTTCTATCGCTCAGGCCGCAGAAAACAGAGAATTTTACGTCCACGCTCCCATCGAAGTGCGTTGTTCTAACACCAATTTACCAGAGAAGATACCGGACTATAGTGGTCGGACTGAAGTGAGTCGCGGTGCAGTGTACGGTAACGTGCTGCGTCCTTACTTGGATGCTACTCCTCGCAATCTACGTTATGTTCCACACGAAGACGTTACCAACAGCCAACTCACATTATACATCAACGCTACGATCTATAGACCATTTGGTAGCAACACTCCGGTCCACAAATGGTTCACATTGTTCGAGCAAACACTGGCGGCCGCTGGCGGTAAACCTCATTGGGCTAAGAATTTCTTAGGATCTACGGATATGGCTGCTGGCCCTACAAAAGCTGAGCACAGCTACGAGGACTATGAAATGAGAGGAATGGCTTCTAAGATCACCGAATGGTACGGCGATGACCTTGTGACGTTCCAAAAAATTAGACGTCAGCAGGATCCTGAAAATGTCTTTTTGGCTAACACTGATTGGGCTATAAAAAACGGAATCGTCGATGTTAACGAAATACAGTGAGTTTCGATCATGTCCACCAGAAAGCTTACTCAAGATCCCGCTTTTTGCGAGAATCACAGAGTCACAGAGTCACATCGGAATATGCAATAACCATTGTTGAATATAGTTTTCAACTTCTCGCTGAAGACAGAGACTCGTTAGAACTACCAACTTGGAGCTCTCGGAAAGGAGGAGTCCATGAACTTGTATATGAGCCTTGTATATAGATCCGCTCAGCTTAAATTTTGATATATCAAAACTGTGCTACCTACAGGGTTCGAATAGAGTAGCATCTTCAAAATGGCTCAATTAACAACAAATTGTCAGCTTTGACTTACTCATCACTCATCCATCGTGTTATAGTCTCATAGCGACTGTAATTTCATTGCCATTGGCCTCGATCAAGAATGTCAAGCAATGCCGATAAACTCAATGACCCGCTTCATGGAATCTACATTCCTATTGGACTGCTGGTGGCGGGCTTGGCTATAACATGCTACACTGTCGATGACTACAAGTTCCTCTGGATCTTACCGTTTGCTGCTATCGTTATCGCCATTAGATTCACGGCAGCATTCAAAAGAAGACGCTCGGTTTTCTCGGATCGTTGGTCTTCGTTAGAATTAGAAGATCAAACTTTGATCTCTAAAAACACGGCAATGTACCGCTTCAAAATGAAGACTTCTCTTGAGAGATTGAATTTCCCAGTTGGTCACCATCTTGCTGTCAGGGCACGCATCGATGGTAAGGAATACGTGAGATATTACACCCCGGTTTCTCCTAAGTACGAACCCGGATATTTCGATATCATTGTGAAATCGTATGGGAATGGTAATGTTTCTAAGTACTTCGCTGGTCTCAAGCCGGGCAGCATGGTTGACTTCAAAGGTCCCGTAGGAAGGTTCAACTACACAACAAATTCTTACAAACATTTGGCTTTGATTGCTGGCGGTAGTGGTATCACTCCAATGTTGCAGGTGCTTAACGAAGTTATCACTAACCCTGAGGACGCCACCGCAATCTCTTTGATTTACGCCAACGAAACTGAAAATGACATCCTTCTTAAGGACGAGCTTGACGAAATTGCTGAAAAATATCCCAACTTCACTGTTAGCTACATTTTGCGCACGCCATCAGCAAACTGGACTGGAGAAACGGGCTATGTCACAAAGGAGCACATGCAGAAATTTTTGCCTCAATTCTCTCATGACAGCAGGCTACTCATCAGTGGTAAGCCGGAAATGGTGAGAATGCTTTTGGGTTATGCCGAAGATCTTGGCTGGCCTAAAGGGACCGAGAAGTCGAAAGGAGACGATCAAGTCTTCGCTTTTTAACTGATAGAAATGCGCCAATTGTTTGTTTAAGCTTTTTGTATTTTGAAAAAAAATGTCGATAGTCACTTACTCCTGGAGTGACAATGCCAAGGCTAGTTCTAAGTCCTCATCGTAATTACGCTGCTGGGCTAGTGGCGAAGGGGATCGGATTCCGTCTCGTTCGTGATAGTCGGTGGTTTCGGCAGGCGACAGCACTGGTTCACCTATTGGCCCGTTACGGCGAGTCCGTCGCACCGAATTAAGTCTACTGTCGTTTTCCCTGGACTGCTCCATAGCCAACAAAGTTTCCATATCTTCGTCAACCACCTGTGATGTTACGGCAGAATCCGCCGTAAGTCTAGATTCCTCTAATACCCTTAAAAATTCCTCGTCCATTTCCCCTTCCTGGGTCGCCCCAGAATAAGATGATAGTGCAGTCGATTGAGATTCCATTAATGCAATTTGGTACTGGATTTCTTCGTCGTCGAGATCGCCCATAAACCGCTTTCGCAACTTTTGGACTCTGTCTATCTCCTCTTTTCGACTATTTTCATCTTCATTGTAAAGGTCCAGCTGAGTGTTTAAAACTTCATTCCATTTGTTACCGCGAGTGCCCTGGGATGATCCTGACCTCTTTTGCGTTGATTCCTCATCGGCATACTGCAAATAGTGTAAGACGTTGCCACTGCCAAGAATCATACGCCCATGAGAAATCCCAAGGAAATGAGGCATCTTTTCCGTCTTCCGCACCACTCGTAACTCAGTCCCGTCTGCTGCATCAAATATTCCTAGGTATCCACTGAAGGCACAGACGAGAACCAAATTGTTTATTTGCGCAATGTGGACCCTTTCTTCGAATGTTAGTCTGGACTGTGCGCACAAGTTTCGGCCAGGAGCTCTAACATCAATAACAACGACGGAGTTGTCGCCGGTAAGAACGCCCACGAAGCAACCATCGCCACCGGCCAAACTGGTATCCTGCGCTCTTTTAGAGGTTATATCATCAATGAAAACCCTTTCGATACAACCAGAGAAAGACATGGACCTCGAAAAACCAAAATCCTTATGGGGATCTATGGAGATGACATATAGTGTCGACATATTGCCGAGGATCAAATGTCGGCCTCCAAAATCCACTTCGAAATGCTGGATTTGCGTCAAACTATGCTGGAGATCAGAAGGGATGTCCAGTTTATGAGAAATGCTCATCTTGTCTACAATAAAGATCTGATAAGAATCCATGACAACGGTTAGATCTTTGTGCAGAGACAACTTTAGAATCGGCTTATCCGAGACTTGTATCTGTTTCTGCATTTTCGCTTCACACCACCATATAACTTGTCCTGTTTCACAGCCGCTGACACACCAATCTTCTGCCGAATCTTCAAGAGCGGCTGTTGTTATTGCAGTGACAGCGGAACGATGTGCTGCATTAAACTCTGTGACGGGATGCAGGTGCGATTTGTTGGTCAGAAGTTTACCAAACACACGTCCATCAAAGCGGCCGAAAACGGCAGCGTTGATGTTGAAATGCATGGTTGAACATCCTTGGGGTGTTGTACATGGCATGTAGGTAAGCCTGTCCTTTCTTCTTTTTGAATGAAGCTGGACTAGCATAATCACTCCGTCGCTATAACAAGCGCAACGAGGGTACTCGAACACCATTTTTTCGAGCTGGTTGTACTGGTTCTGTGCCGTTACCGTGTACCTTGTCTTGACTGCCCTGTTATGTTTCCATTCGTTCAAACCTCTGTTCCTTTTGACGTATTCTATACTGTACTTCCAGGACCTTGAAAACGAGGGGAAATGCCTCGAGTGGATTTTGGCAATAAAGAGATTCTTCCATAGCTCTTCGTCATTGACAATCTCCATGAAGTGCTTGCATGTTGTTTGCACTGCATAAAGGTCTTTTTCATCCAAATAGCTGAAGGTCTTGATCAAAATCTCGCTGGGAAGATCCTGAAGAGTCTTAGAACTTCCCCGGACCTGTTCAACGGGTGACATGAGGCTAGTTAACATACTAACGCACCAGTTACAAGTGCGTCAACTGCTGTTGAAGTTGGGTTGGGTTTGGCAGGATTTAGGTGATGAGCTTAATAAACCCTGTCAGGTGGGTGGATTCGCTAATTTACACAGTCGTACAAAATGTTGATACAAATCTAAGACCGATGTAAGTAAAAAGAAGTACTGGAAACGAGTTCATTAACGATCGATTATGTGGGGTATTACCACTTGATTTCCCAGATGATGAACTTGAGTTTGTGAGAGATTTTGGACCAGCAACGATGTTGATCACTTTGTAACTCACTGACACTTAAAAACTGTGACGCGAAAAGATAGATCGCTTTGTCACCCAGTGACACCACTCTGCAGACGTCACTTAAATATCAATTCAAGATCTAAGTAAAAAAGAGTACAACCGTCAAACTGATTTCGCTATTTGCCCCGCTTTATTCTCGCTACTCAACTCCATCTGTTCAGCTTGCATTTTTATTCTACGAAGATCACCGTTATTTTATAAGAACACCTTTTCTTCAATAATTATCAAGGTATATAACAAAATATACCATCTCATGTCAGAAAATTTTAAACCAACTTTGAACTAGTCCAGAGAAAGCTGTATATTGTCTTCACCCGATGCTGTTGAGGTGGATGCTTCCAGCCTTTTCCTGATCAATCGTTTCCATTTCTGACATGATAACCTAAAATAATTTATTACAATAAACACGCTAAAATCCGTTAGCTTAGGGTTATCAATTGTCATAACTACGGCTACATTCGATGTCGGTATAATCGAGTATAAGAAGAGGCGAAGCTTGAGAAAGTTGCCTCGGCGTCAACCGCAGGACACTTCCAAAGAAGACAACAAAAAAATGTTGATTGGAGTTGTGATCGGAAGTACCAGAAAGCCTCGCTGCTGCCCACAGATCGCAGAGTTCATCGTTCATACGATTAAAAACTCGCTGACTTATAAACAGCTGGAAGAGAAACCTGAATTGAGACTTGTGGATATCGACGACTGGAATTTACCTTTGTACAACGAGTCAAAAATTCCATCACAGGTGCAAAACTATCAAGATTACGATCATGAGCATACCAGGCAATGGAGTCTAGAAATCCAAAAATATAATGCGTTCATTTTCGTCGCCCCACAGTACAATTGGGGCTACCCTGCGGCTTTAAAAAACGCTTTGGACTACTTGTTCAACGAGTGGAGGGCAAAACCGGCAGCTGTGGTATCTTATGGTGGTCATGGAGGCATCAAATGCAGCGAACAATTGCGCGTGGTTCTTCAAGGTCTGCGCATGATCCCCACCGAGAACAAAGTTCTACTTTCTTTCGCAGATCGCAGTGTGCTCACCAAAGCCACAATTGGGTCTCCTATGAATTTGTTAGAGTCACCCGAAAGCTCTTTTGCTGCAGAGGAAGTAGCCCAGATCGAGACAACGTTTTCTGAGCTCTGCCAACTCATGAAGAAAAAAACAGAACCTTGATAAACTCATTAAAGACATCATTATATATGTAGATGTTACCGGGTTGGTGAGTTCAGTACATCGCCCACCCTTATTGAATGTTTGAACCGATCCTTCACAGAAAGGAATTGGTCCTATAGATTGGTTTTTATGCACGAGGTCGATGCTGGCAATCGAATCCCTTCCGTTCACATTGCGGAGAGAATGGCGAATAGTATCAACGCAATGGGTGTAAATAAACTACTCTTTACCGTGCCCCATCCGAGAACGGCCGAATCTGATTGTGTAATCATATATTGGGACGAAGTTGCAGGTGTTAGTTTTCCCGACAGGCACGATTTCCCCTCAAAGCATTCTACCGAGGCATCAACGGCTGTAGAGCTGCTAATCTCGCTTGACTGGAATCGACGATCAGTGTTTGCCACACTTGTTATCAGTCCTCCCTCTGAGCTCACAATTGTACTTCGACTGCTGTATTTACCAGCATTTGAAGACCCTGAATAAGAAGCATCAGTTGGCTGGATGAGGCACGCTGAGCACTCAACTTGGATCGAGTTAGAGGTGCTGCCGCTCTCTCTGCTCTGGTTTTCTACAGACGACGTGGAAGTTGCAGCTTGCCAGAAGGAGGAAAGTATGGTTGCATCCTTCGATAAAGGGCCCGATGGGATTACTGTATAGAAACCGGTGGTCTGTCCCCTAAAAGAAGAGCGAGTTTCCCTAATACAAAAGCTTGATTTCATTGCGGTGTTGTTAACGTTGCCAATTGAAGTATCATTGGAAGCCGAAATCCTCGAATCTGTTGCCGTCATAGCCGTGCTCGAATTTCCGTCATGGAAAAGTAGTGAGGCTCTGTGCCCTTCACTGGTGGGCCTATACCCTGTACCATATGATGTGTCACTGTTTGTTGTTGAATTGTGCCCAGAAAATAAGTTCGCAATTGAGTCCGCTGATAATTGCTGTCTAGTGCTTGAAGCTGTTGTCGTGGATGTGTTATTTACAATCGTGCTGGACGCCGTGATCGTGGCAAGGTTACTTTGATTGAAAACGTGGGAGTTGCTCGGCTGCGAGCTACTAAGGGAGGATTGAACGCTCATTGAGACATTTATGGTCCCTGTTGCCGAGGTGCAAAGCATAGGAGTGTCAAACATATTTGAGGTGACCAACGCAACATCAGCAGCGTCTTGTTCCCAGATGTTACTGTATTGTGGTGCCTTTTGTGCTCCAGGAATGTTCGAGTAAATAGCTTCAATATCCGGAGCGCCTGCATTATAGTTAGCCTGCGCAAGAGACAATTCCAACGCCTCCAGATCATAAACAGCATAAACTGCAGACAGAAAGACATCACCAAAAGTTGCATGCTGATCGCCAGGAATGAAAGCCAGCGCACATAATTTCTTTTGATCTGTCTGTAAAATGTAATCAGACAAGGGTGTGGTTATATGAAAACCGCTGAAGTCAAAAACTAGCTCAGTATCGTCGGTTGCAGCTGGACATTCCAGCATGTAAAACTGCCACTCGTCCGACCAGCTCGCGTTCACAGAATCAGCTATTTTGTCCACTATCGATGCGTCCATGAATGTGAGGGTTGCGCCCGAATCCAAATACGCCGGAAACTTGATACTGCTGATTGTTTCCTGCAGACATTTGCTTTCGCTCTTTATACCAACTGCTTGCACTGTAATTTCGAATTGAATAGGTTGCGGGACCCCCTTGTCTTTATAAGTGTTTATCAAGGGAACCGTAACCAATTCTCCTGTGTACTTGCTACGATCGACGCCACCAAAGAGCACCGATCCCGCGGGAGCATCTAATGAGTTGAGATAAAGGGAAAATGCTACTTTTTCGATCACCCCGTTTTCTTTCAGGAACACAGGGAAGTTGGGATAGGTGTATGATGTACTGTTAAAATAGTTGAAAGTGGACTCAAGTTGTTTGATACCCACACCGAGGACCCCCACCGTTGAGTTGGAGATATCAGCTACTGCGAATTCAAGCTGAGAGAGTTTCAAATCGTTCAAATAAAGCTCATCGTGCGCCCAAAATCCCAAGGCAAAGGAGCCATCTGCATAGCGAGTGCGGAAAGATTTTGACTTGTCTCCTTCGAACGTGGACGAGCTTGAATAGTCAAAAGTTCCGTACTGACTGCAATCTATAGTTGGAGCGATAGGAACTCCCATGATTGTCGTATCAGGTAATGCAGATATAGCAGATGGGGTTTGATCTAGGTTGGCGCGCCGATCATAATTGTTGTCATCGCCAGAAGCATGGGATGCACAGTACGGGTTTTGACTGGACGAAAACCACAGGTCTGATGATCCAGTATCAAAAAGAACAGTTACTTGCTGCGGTGGTGTGCCGACATTCAGTGTCACTGAATAGAAATCATTTGCATTGGTAAGTTGCACTTGCAGATACTCATCGCGCTCCAAAACGCGTTTTTCGGAGTAGTGCGATTGAGACCCAATTGGTTGCCCAGCAGATTGGAATTTAGAGCCCTTGCTTTTCGAGAAAGTGAGGTCCAAGAACCCACTGGTACAAGCGTATTGTGGTACGCATAGCAGTAGGAGAAGTACACTTTTGTATGGCATTGAGACCGTGTGAATAAGTTTCTCTCGCTTGCGTATCTCACGTATGGATGGTTCACCTCCAGCGATGGCCCTACATTATATCTGTGCCATCGTTCCGGGGTTTAGTTCGACGATCCTGATGGCACATGCTCGAGCCGAGACCCCTGAACCTCACCAACGATAATGTAATCCACGTCATTAAAATCAACAACCCCACACATAAATGCCAAGAAAAATAATTCTTGTTGAACGGCAGGAAGCCACCTCAATTGGTCTACCAACGCTTTCCACCACGAAAATCCGCTTACTAAATCTGGCTGTTTGTTGGTGTAGTAAAATCTTGAAAAACTGCCAATCTGGACTCCCGAATGCCGAAAAAAGAGCTGCATTCTTGTTGAACATCCTGCAACCCAGTGGGCTCTGATTTGGTCCTAAAAAATCACATTTGGTTTGAAAATTATGGTCCAAGATGCTTGGTTTCTCTGCGCATGTATGCGTTATACAAGTAAACCAACGCTATGCTATTAGACCGTTTTTTAGACTCGATGGAACGCCAAATGGACATTTAAAAGCTAGATCTTGCTCCAAAGCTTCCGGCTATAGGTTGAAGAATCCCATACTCATCCATAGAGGTTCAAATGGTCTGATTATATCCTCCATGTCATTAATGTCAATTGATGTTACTTCTTGATATTCATATTCTTGATTAAATTGGATGATTTATAGAGGCTTTGGCAACCTATAGAACAGAACTGGATCTCAACTTCAAAGGTATATAATGGAGCATTCGAAGAATCCTAATGGCCTTTTAGAGTAGTGCAAATGGATACTTTGAAACAGCAAGGGATTGATTTGAGAAAGTTCCTCGAACTTTGATTTTTCAGTGGGAAATGGGTTTAACTAAGCAACAACGAGTGGTGGTCAACCAAGCTCCTCCATATGTGGCGTTGAAAGCCAACAGTAAGCTTCCCACTGTTCTTACGGTAGCCACGTCGGACCCCAGTGGTGGAGCAGGAATTGAAGCGGACCTCAAGACGTTCACAACACACAAATGCTACGGATTGACATGTTTAGCAGCATTGACTGCTCAGACTCCACAGGACGTTTATTCGATACATGAAGTGCCCAAAAAACATTTTGAGCTGAGTTTGACCAGTGTTCTACGAGATATGCGTGTGGACGCAATCAAGACTGGGATGTTAACGAAAAACTCAGTAGAAGTACTGCTGGAAGTGCTGTCAGCAATGGAGCCTGCAAAAAGACCCTTTTTGGTCGTGGATCCCGTGTTGATTGCATCTTCAGGCGCAAATTTGATGAATGACGAAGCCGTGGTGCAACAAATCAAGGCTTTGGCTCCACTGGCAACTCTTTTGACTCCCAACATACACGAAGCATCTCAACTTTTGGGTTGCAAGGGAGGTAAACTAGATCTTCACAGTGTAGACGATATGATTTTGAGGGCCAAGGAACTTCAGTTAAAGACGGGTTGTCCGAATATCCTTTTGAAGGGTGGTCATGTTACCTGGACCGACAAGAAAACCAAGTCGACTGTCACCGACGTTTTGTACAAGGCTAACGGCGAGTCCATTGTTTACGAAAGTGAAAGATGTGGCTCTAGGAACACCCATGGCACTGGATGCACACTGGCGTCTTCAATTGCCAGCAATTTGGCGCGTGGGGAAACTTTGGAACACGCCGTGTACGGCGGTATCCAATACGTTCACAACGCTATCCAGGTGGGCTGTGACGTTTTGAATCCGCATATAACTGAAAACGGTCCAATCAACCATGTTTATGCGATCAAACCGCCCTTGCTAGAAATGGTTGAAGATTTGTGCTATTCGGCACATGCGTTAGCAATCAGCTCCGACGACAACAGCTCCATAATAAACCTGGACTCAGACAGCAGACGCAGCAGCAGCAGTACTAGCAGCCTTGTTTCACAGATCCGCGACTCGGGCCATTTCTTTGAATACCTGATCTCTGACTCTCGCGTCAAACCTCATTGGGAATCCTATGTGAACCACGAATTTGTGAGACGAGTTGCGGACGGTACTTTGGAGCGCGAGAAATTCAAGTTTTTCCTAGAGCAGGACTACGCATATCTCGACAACTACGCCCAAGTGCACTGTTTGGCCGCTAGCAAAGCACCTACGGCGGACGATCTCGACAAGTCGGTCGATATCGTGACGAAGATCAAGACTGAGATGAATAAACACCGCGAAAAGATGATGACCCATTTTGCCATTGACGACATGAAGCATTTCGACAAAATCGAAATGGGGACCGCTTTACGCAATTACGCCCGCTTCTTCGATGACGTGTCTAAGCACGGTTCGTGGGCTCATTTGTGCGCTGCACTGTCTCCCTGTCTAATGGGATACGGACACGCTTTGCGCAACGTCCAGGACCATGTCACTGTAGACAAAAATGACATTTACTACGCCTGGTGTCAGGATTATCTGGCTCCCTGGTACGTGGAGAGTATGGAGGAAGGTCTTATTCTACTTGATCGTATCTGCCAGATGACTGACGATTGGGATACGTTGTGTGACATATACGCCGCCGTGTGCAAGCTTGAGACAGAGTTCTGGGATGCTGCGCTGAATTACAAAGGCTAGCCGGCTAAGCCCATCGCGTTGAGTACCACACTAACGGCAAAATATGTCCGGATGAAGCCTGTGGATAACACAACATCTATAAACTATTATACATACAGTCTTTTACACACACCTTCACCACATGAGTCCTATACTTATGGTATTAACCTTCCCGCCTTGAAACAGCCCTGCACCATAAACGCATAGAAACCTATGTTCCCTAAGCGCATATGTTTACCTTGACTTTCGAATGCGCTTAGAGGACGAGCATTCCAATGCGCTTAAAAGAATATCTCTATATACGAAATAAACGAATCGACTTTTCTGGAAATTTGAATAATGATCACTAGTAACGAAGACCACCGTTTCCTTGAAAAATCAAACGACCTTCAATTACACATTTGTAGCCCTTTGACTAACACAATTCACATCAACCAAGCGTCCAAAACTCTTTGGACGCACATATTTACAAGGTCCAGAGGCCTAATACGAACCAGTCTATTGCGACTCTCCCTGGCGCTGCGCCCGAACAACTTCAGTTTCAAAACGTCGGTTTTTCAACTCAAGTTACGAGCTGAAACACATCATTATTAATACCATTTTCAACGGTTGATTTCCAACCACAGAAACCGTTTGAACTTATCAAGGCTCGGGGAATTGGTTCATTTGTCTTATTTGACTACTCTTACTATTCCCGATGACTACTACAACAGAATTGTACCCTCTCACCAGAACCCTAACGGACATGCTTGACGATGAGCTGTTACACATGTCCGCTAACATGGGCCAGGACAACGCAAATACCCCCAAAAATTGGAAAAATAGGTCTTTGGAGGACTTGCTGGCAGGATGCAAGCCTATGAATGCTTCGCTGTACGACACAGAAGAGCGCAAACAGTCGATGTTCAACAAATACGCGGATCCTTCGCTCACCACAATGTCGTTCCAGAAGCCGGCCACGGGACCTCCATCTTCAATTACACCCGTCCAGGCAACCGTTTCGCTCAACAAAGTGATGAATGTCAATCCCTTTGTAGCCCGTTTGCCCAGTACGGCCACACCGGAGGTTCGTATATCTTCACCTGCGTTGTTCCAGGGCGAAGACGAAGATATGATGATGATGACAGACGGGCCGGAAAGTTTCCCACCAGACCTTTACGATGACTACAATGGACCACAAAAGGTGCTTAGCTGGCCACTGCAGGACTCTGCTACGCTTTCTCTAGATGCAATGTCTCTGTTTGATCGTGAGTTTGGTAACGACTTTAGCGACGAAGAAGAAGAGGAAGAAGAAGACGAAGACGACGAGTGCGATGTCAATTGCAGTGGACAAGACTGCATTCACAGCCATCATTACGCGTTGCCTCTACCAGACGACAATATGGAAGCATTTCCTCAAAGTATAAATCCAGACGACGACTCACTCATCTTTGATAGAAGCAGGCCTGGCGCCAAGTTTGTCGATGACCACCACGATGACGATGCTATAATAGAAGATGATGAAAGCGAGGACGAAAACGTGGCGAATCTTCTGAGCAGCGATGGGACAAATTCTGAGAATATCGACGGACGCATGTTAAGTCAAGATCACCGAAAAAGTAGCATGGTATGTCTCGACGAACAGCGCCAGAGCGAATCGTCAGGAACGCTTATATCTCGCGAATCTTCTTTGCCTGCAGAAGCGGCTCATCTATCCAGCTCCTCCTTCAACATTCAAAGTCCATCGCCTGTTCCTTCTCTCCCGGCCGTTGGCAAAATGAAGAAATATCCAGGGAGACGAAAGTCATCCACTACATCTCCATTGGTTCCAACTTTGAAGAAAAAATCATCACCTTTAACCGCACTTTCAAGCGTTAGTTCTAACGGGGTGCAAGAGGTCCATACATGCGACCTCACAAACCCGATAACTAATGACGTGTGTGGTAAGAAGTTTTCAAGACCTTACGATTTAATTCGACATCAAAAGACTATCCACGCTAGTAAGAAAAAGGTCTTCCGCTGTATAATATGCATACAACAGCAGGGTGCGGAGGGGTACGAAAAAACGTTTTCTCGTGGTGATGCGTTAAGTCGACATATTAAGGTTAAACATGACCTAACAGGTCCGGAAGCTCAGAAAGCTCTCCAGTTTGCTAAGGAAAACGTAGAATACGCAGGTGCTTAGCCGGGAAGGACAAGGCCAGATAAAGGAATTACAACAAGGCTATAACGAACAATGATTCGAGATATTAAGGGTTAGAATAGAATGCAGCATCTAGATTAGTACAGTAGAAACATTCACGATTTTACGAAAGAGGTTTAGTGAGAGGAATCGCACTAACAATTCTTGGAGTTTAGTCATTGTTTCGTTACATAAAAATTGAAAAAAGCAGAGTGTGCATATCTATCATCTTGTCCTTACAACGGGACGAGTTTACTTTTGAAAGCCTTCATTACGCACACGCTCAGCGTTAATCCTAGCAAGTTCGGGATCCAGGTAATACCTGCGTACAAACTGCTTGGTGTTTTTGTCGAGCTCAATGACAATGGGGATAGCGTTAGGTATTTCCACGTCTTTGATGTCATTGTCCGAGATGTTTTCCAGAATCTTTAGAATGGATCGCACAGAGCTACCATGTGCTACTATCAAAGCTGATGGGTTCTCGCGATCAATATGCTCCAATATGGTACCTTTCAAAAACTCTTCCAAACGGCTCACTACGTCGCTTAAAGATTCATTACTGGGGAGTACTTCATGAGCATCCTCTTCGGGTTTGTACTTGATGTGTCTGTTGGGCTCCTTAAAGTCATAACCCGTGAGGGATCCCTTGTCACCAACCTCTTGAATCATTTCGCGACTCAAATCGGCAGCTGGTGGTCTGCCATTGTAATCCCTTCTGATAAACATAAACTCTTCTTTTCCGTACTCCTTCAAAATGTCTGGTTTCCGTTGGCCTTGCCACGCACCGTAATGTCTTTCGTTCAACCTCCAACTCTTATAAACCACCGCTTCATGTTGCGATAGTTCTTTTGCAACGTCCTGAATAGGGACACCGCAACTTGCAATGTGGAAGATCGAGTCTGTGATACCAAACGTACGTAACATCACATCCATCGTTTGTCTAGTTCTCACAAGCCGTGAACAGTACCCTAATCTGGGCAAATGCAGCGAATTGGCATGACAGTGTTCCTTGATCAAAGTGGCCGAGTTTTTGGCCTGTTCTTCACCTTTCTCTGTCAGCTTCGCATCAATCCACCCGCAAAAGATGTTTTCATGATTCAATTCGCTTTGTCCATGTCTGAGAACATACAACTTATAAGTGTCAGACTGGGTCATCAGAATAAGATTCGCCTGGGAAAGATTTCTGAATCAGATCTGATCGATAGATATGATCACCAATAGACAATTGATACACTTCAACGAGCCGTCAACTTAACAAACTTGTTCGATTTAGATATCGTTCTTGAACATGTTATATTCATCGGGAGATGCAACGCATGGTTCCTGGTTCGTACGTAAAGATTGATCTTGACGAATTTCCAGAGGACCACTGGTAACACCTGACCACCGTCGATCAACGACGACGCTCACACCTCTCTCTCAAGGAATGAATTGAGGATGCCTTCAGGCGTGTTGTCGTACTCTTTGAGTGTCACTTCTTTACCCTCAAAGACTGTGTTTGCCTGAATAAACTGTCTTCTTGGCAACTTTTTGTCAAGAACGATTTGTCTGTACTGGGCCAGGTCTGGATCGACAGTGCTTCTGTCAATGAAGTATTTGCTGCCAGCGTCAACGTCTCCGGAAGATTTGTATATATGAAGATGTGTCAAGTAGTCCTTGAGCGCAGCATGTCCAACGGTCTCAATCTTCGAGCGGTCCAGTTTGAGACGCAGATCTGAAAAATCATCTTTAGTGTGAAGTAGCTCGAAGAACTTGTCGTCACTCGTGTGCTTTAAAAACGTCTTCATGATGGAAAATCTTGCCTGCATGTGAGGCTGACCCCATTTTGCTGTAGAGGGATCCCAAAATTCCAGTGAAAGCAGACCAGCACGAGCCATCTGCAGAAATCCGGCGTAAATAATGTTGTCTTGATCTTCTTTCGTCTTGAAACCAAATATTTCTAGCAGTTCGCGATTTGTAATGAGGTACATGGCAATAACCTCTGCGCGACATTCCTCAAATGCTCCGGCCAATTGTCCGAACTTCGATCCCCAGGTCTCGCCCTTCCTATAAAATGTACTCACGGGCTTTCCGTCGAGACCCAAGGGAGGGTGCTCTTTGTCAAAATTGAAGGTTCCGTCTTCTAGCTCGCTGAGCAGTCTACCAGAACCGTGCCCCAACAGCTCATGAATTCCAACTTGCACTTCAAAAGAATCACTTTGGTACTTGTCCAAAACCTGACGGTCGTCGTCACTGACAAATGTTATCGGAGTCTTGGAACCCAATGACGAGCTCAAGATATTTCCAAGTGACACATTTTTGAAACCTACATTCAATCTCACATCATCGTAGTTTGGAATATTGATCCCAACAGGTATACCGCTGCCTGCAAAAGTGAGAACTTCTAAAGACGTGAAGTCTGGGGGTTGGAATTTTGGTTTTTCGAAAGCGCTATCCCAAGGCAAAAGGGAAATGAATTTTCCAGCATTTTGAACCATTTTAGAAAACTTCTCCGTCCGCTTCTTGTTTGTGATAGCCACAAGCGATTCAAACTCGCCAATTATCCCGGAAGGTTCTCTGTAGGTCTCAATGAAGCCGATGTTGGTCTCAATAACAGGAGACAAATCCTTCACCCAGAGCTTTTGAGACTCTTTGTGGGCATTGGAGGAACCGCTCTTGAAATGATCAATGTATTGACCCAGCATTTTCTCCTGTGTTTCATTCGCGGCATGACCGCGAGCTTTTTCGAGATAATGTGCGATGTTGGCCATTTCGCGAGAATGATCACCAAACTTGAAAATCGCTTGGGAACCGTTGCTTAAAGAAACTGGCTCATCAGGATACCGGGACACTGTGTTTGAAGTGGCTTCTGAGGCCACAAGGATTTCAAACGTGTTGTTATTTTTACGCACTCTGGTATTCTCAGGTAGAATCTTCAATTTCGCAAACACTTCGTCTTTGATAAGCCGCATGTCTGCGGGAGAGACGTCACCAAAATAGTAAGAAGAATGGTGGCCCTCAGAAGGAAATCCCAAAAGGGCACTCTTGTCGTCCACGTCGTACACACCTTTCCGCACAAGCTCTTCCCAAGTACCATAGGGACAAGAGGCGGTGACTGGTTTCACTGTCTTGTCAATGTTGGCCAGTTTCAACAAATCAAGAAAGAAATCCGTGGAGCATCGCGGAACGAACTTTAAATCCCCAAATGACTTGTAGTTCCCCAGGTTCGAGAGGAATTGAGCCACGTACTCCATGTAAAACTCAAACGGCTCTCCACTGGGATACTTACCCTTCAATCCACCATGGATCTGCAAAACCAGATCGAAAATGCTCTCACTCTCGTGCGAAACTTGTCTGAGAATAACCCTAGACCCGGCATGCGATGCTTTGGACATGTAGTGAGCATACAGTTTTTCTTCCCCAGTGAGCTGCGCAAAAAAGTCCTTAGCACTCAACATAATCATTGGAGCCTTGTGATCGGCGAGATAGGTTTTGTTGACCATAGTTGAAAGGGTTCTGGAGTTGAGATTTCTGAAACAAAGTCTTGCAATGACACCGGTGCTTCGTTGAAACATACACTGAGCACAGCGAGCTCAAAGGAGTGACAGAAACGATGAAGGTAAATGAGCAAGCCAATGGTTGAATTGACTTTCCGATCCTACTCTTTCTGTTGGTTTGAACTTTGGGGATTTTAGTTTTGTTGTAATGAAGCCATGCTGGTGTTCTTATATATGTTGAAGGCGTTGACGCCAGGTCATGTGATGCGCGTCAGTAAAACAAGATTTGGGTTTGTAGATTGTCTTTTGGCACTTCTCTAGCGACGTGAACATCTTTCTTTCTGTCTATCGTATGAGGATCTTATTTACTGGGCGATTTACTTGGTAGAGGAGTCTTCGTTGGCAACAACAGGTCATTACATGTGATTTCGAGACAGTGCTTTGACCATGCTGACCTTAGAGCTTGAATTCCGTGCTTGTTCACAGTTGTTCTCATTTTGCTATGATTGTTAGCACAGTCGAAAGCAGGAACACCGTAGTTGTGGTAGTGGCTGCACGAAAGCCAAATCTTCTTTACAGTTTCTTGGTTACTCAATCGCCAGTCTCAGTATTAATATATATATATATATATATATATGTAACCATAACGCACAAGCACGTCCGTAACGAATATCAATGGTGAAAACCCCTCAAAACAACCTTTTCAACGTCTAGTACTTCCATTATCACTGTTCCATTACGCCAGCCCACACCAAATTCGACCTTCGAGCGTTATATAGACACTTAATTAGTAGATCATACTACTACAGTAAGAACGTTGCGAGGGAAAATACAACACAAAATAGCAACAGATCTCGATCCGAAACAACCCTGGACAAGAAGATCTTCCTCCATTTTGATTAACCAGTCTTGTGGCTTGAATATAGTCACCTTTGCAAGCTACATTGGCGATATCACCTCACACGGGATCATTTCCCGTCGTTCCAGCGTTCAAGCTTACTACAAACACTCGCTCTCCCTTGAAAGCAGCTACCTACAAGTTACAACTTTTGTGTTCCTCTTACTCTTATACTCTTATTTTTTTTTTTTTTTTCGAAGCTCTGCTTGCATGCGTTACGCTAAACTACAAAGTGGGCTTTTCGCCCTTAGCCTTCTTGGACTCGCCGTACTTCTTGACTCTGATGGCCTGGATAGCGATGAACCCGGATGTGTCGGTTGGCAAAAAGCCCGTGAGCTCGTCCATGGACGATTCGGTGGCATCGTACAGATTTTCGGTCTCAGAAGATCTGCCCAGCACGATCACGTTGCCCTTGTAGAGTCTGAGACGGACTTGTCCGTTGACGCACGTTTGGGAAGGTGCAATCATAGCCTTGATATAGTCGAACTCAGGTGTGAAGTACGATCCGTTGTACATGAGACGCGAGTACGATGGCGTCACGAACTGGTCACGCAAGTAACGAACTTCCTTGTCCAAAACGAGACCTTCCAAGTCCACATGTGCACGTCTCAAGATGGTCAACGGAGCCTGTTCGTAGCATCCACGCGATTTCAGATTAATGTAACGGTCTTCCACGATATCGATACGACCAACACCGTTTAGACGGCCCAAGTTGGATGCGGCCAAAAACACGTCCAATGGCTTGGTCACCTCAACGGTCTTGCCGTTGGCGTCAGGATACACCAGCTTCACCGGGATACCTTTCTCGAATGTGATGGTCAAGTCCTGAGGCTTGTCCGGAGCGTCTTCAGGGTCTGTGATGAGCTTCCACATATCCTTTGGAGGTGTGGTGTCTGGGTCCTCTAGAATACCAGCCTCGTACGAAATGTGCGCTTGGTTTTCGTCAGTGGACCATGGTTTAGCCTTGGTTTGAGCAACTGGAATGCCCTTCTGTGCAGCGTAGTCCAGCAGATCCTTACGGCCTGCAAAACGCTCAAAGAAAGCTGGGTCTCTCCAAGGTGCGATCACGTGCACGTCCGGCTTCAACGCGTAGAATCCAAGTTCGAACCGGATCTGGTCGTTACCTTTACCAGTGCAACCGTGGGACACTGCAAAACAGCCTTCCTGTTCGGCCACGTCGATCTGGGCCTTGGCGATCACCGGTCTGGCCAACGAAGTGCCCATCAAATACACGTCTTCGTACACAGCGTTCACTTGGACAGCTGGGAACAACACATCTTTGACAAAATCTTCTCTGCAGTCAACACAGATGTACTTGGTGGCACCAATTGCCAGAGCCTTTTTCTCTGCGGCTTCAAAATCTTCTTCCTGGCCAACGTTGGCCATGAAAGCCACCACTTCGTAGCCTTCATCTAGCAGCCAGGCTAGAATGATTGAGGTGTCGAGACCTCCGGAGTATGCTAGACAAACTTTACCTTTGGACATCGCTATTATGCTGTTCTCTGTGTGCTACTGTTATGCTTCGTTATCGGAAGAAAAATTATATCTATCTATCACGGTAAGCTCCGAATTGATAAAGGAAGATTGTTTTAACAAAAGAGACAAGAATAAGAATGAAGTATTACAGTTTCGATACCTGAACACCTTGAAGGTGGCCCTTACTCTCATTTTATATTTCAAAATGGTAACGGGGCCCGCCGATGAGTCTTTTCTGACTGAACCTTTTTTTTTTCCAAATTTCAAGAGTTTTCTCTCTGTGAAGAGTAACTGCCTGATAGAGGTGCCAGGGTTGATACTTTTTTTTTTTTTTAGGTGATGTCTTTGCCTCTTATCGCTGCCAGTGCAGCCGTATACGGATGATATCTCAAATGCCAGCGGATTTGATACAGGAAGGGAAATAACTACTAGTTTGAGGAATAAAGACGGACTGATTATGAACAAGGACTGTGTGCCGTGTTTAGGACGTTGGCTACGACGAGTTGCGCGGGGTGGGCACGAGTGACGCCGTACGTACTAAGGGAGCAAGACCGACGGCTTTTGAACAGTACCAACTTACAAAAAGGCGAGGGTTTTGAATAGTAAGTTTCCTCTGGTCAGTGGGAATCGTTTGGCTATCGCAGACAATTTAAGAATCCAGGATCTCTTTACAACATGAGTACACATGTAAAGTACTCGCTTGATGATACCACGTGATACTGGCATTCGACGAGATGTACACCCAGACACCAGAGACTAACCGTAATAATACCCTTCTTGGTAGTAGTAGGCTTTGTAGTAGCGTGTGGATACACGAATGCTTGTGGGTTACATTGCTCCTACTTTGCGCCCTAAGGAATGGACATTGTGGATTCTCTTCTAATACCATTACAGCGCTAACCTTGGCATATCCTCGAGTCGCACACGTGATCAAGAAATCATGACACAGTTTGTGCTACCAGGTTTTGAGGAAGCAGCGCAGTAGTTTTCACATGGTTGGATAAGACTGTATGACTCTTCTGCTTTGACACATTCCCATGGTTTCGTACAAGCACAATGCGTAGCTATCATTGTCTTCTCAGGACTTTTCACGTGATTTTACTGAGCATCGCTGTCATCCCTACTCTGAGTTCAGGCTTCCTCCAGATGATGCTAACGCTATAAACATTTCACACCATATCGGTACACGGGGAATAACTGTATGCAGCAAAACCACTATCACTGGCTTACGAGCTGAATCCGGAGAACAGACCTTGAGGCCGGTACCGGCGCTGGTGAATCACAAGCTATCACTTTGGACGTTTCACAGCTATATCCATCTCCGGTCAATGAGTGGTAGCTTCAAGATTTCTAGCCCTTTTACGGCCAAGAAGGATCCAATTCGTCAACAAAACCTATCCCGGTATTCGCATCGCTTTGATCAGAGGCCATTACGCTCGGCAATTGCCTTACCTCGACTATAAATGTAGCGCCTAAGTATCGTGATTTTGGGGAAGAAAAGCTTGGAAACAGGGCTTTAGATGTCGAACAGTAGAGATGGTATGGCCGATAACTAGAGAGGGTCGTTCCTACAATTTTATGAACAGAGGTGGTGTCGTTTTTTTTTGAAAGTGATGGGCAGTTAGCCTCGGATACTCAATTACGTGAACGAGCAGTAGGGTGGGAGACTGAGATGAGCGCTATGGAGGGACTGATGGTAGTGATAGAGTAGTGACTGTATTTACGGAATGCCGCATTGAAAGTTGTGGTGATATGCGGTAGGGAGAGAATAATCATCGAGGTAGATGAAATATATGGTTGCGGTTGTAGTAGTAGTAGTAGTAGTAGTAGTAGTAGTAGTAGTAGTAGTCGTAGTAGTGGTAGTGTAGTAATAAGTGCAAGGGAGGGTAGCAGAAGAGAGCGAAGAAAAGATGAGAGTAGAGATATCACGGAGCTCAGTGTTTTCGTTACAGCTCGGTTCATCATTACAAACCAATTATTTTCGGTTACTGCTGTTTTTTGGGTTTACGAAAGAACTGTTTCCACCATTCAAGTTGTGCTTAAAGTAGGGCTTTCTACTGCCTTCATCTAAATGTGGTGTGCTATCTCTTAGCTGCAAGAGACGTGATTACGCCACTAGCGGTTTGGGACCATACATTTTTGCCGCTGACTTCGACTCAGTTGGCTGCTGTTTTTTAAGGTCTTTGTGTGGCGGTACAGGGGCAAAAGAGAACCTTTTCGAGACCTTTTTCTTTGCTTCCGAGGATGGGAGAGTATTCACTAGTAAAAAGAAGAAGGCTAGCTGCAATCGAGCATCTTCCTTGCAAATTCATCACAGCGAGACCTGGCCTCATCGAATTTTGCTTGTGCGGCGCGGCATGTAAAGCTTCTTCTTTCTGATCATTCCTCAGTATGCTTCACAAATCTATCCTCTCTTGGGTATGTCCCATCCAGATCAGTATCTTAATTTCTTCATGGATTACTTCGGGGATGATGCTACTCAACATCTCTAGTAAATTCTTCGTACAAAACTGTATCACCATCACCTCACTCAGTCATCCAGTTATGAACCAAATTCCTAAAGGTGGCTTGCAGGTCTTTATGAGGTTACGACCGTACTAGTGATACCCCTTGTCATTATAATAAGCCACCCACATCTGATCTGAACTCCTAACAATAGTTTGGATCGGTATATGACCTCAGCGGCATCCTTGCCGCGTCTGTAGCTTGTTAGACACCAACATCATTCTCTACTATTGTCTCATTACGAAACTCACACTATCATACATTAGCAGTTTTAGTTACAGCACTGACAAAAGATCGAACGAAATCTTGAGACAAGATGCTGTGACCAGAAAGGTACGTATTTCTCATTTTTTTTTCATCTTGATATCAGAATATTAATAATGAACGCGCTTTAGGATGGGTTCAGCTTAATTTATAACATTGAAGTGTTGATTAAGGACGCGATATTTTTTCTCTCTCTCGCTTAAAAGCTAGAAATTGGTTGTAATCATGCCCTTTGAGTGAATCAATATGTCGCTTTGCCTCTTGACTCAATAGGAAATAATGCCGACACAACTCCAGCTAGTATAAACAGTGCTCCACTTACAAATATCGGGACTGAAGTAGTTAGGTCGGCATACATACCGATTATTGGGGAGAGTATACCGAGGATACGGTTTGCTGAGGCGGCAAGACCAACACCTGTCCCTCTAATTTTGGTAGGGAATATTTCGGGCGTGTACCCGTATAGTACCCCATACATCACGTTGGACGATATATTAAACCCACAATTCCATCCCAGATAAGAGCTGCTAGTCTTTGCAGTCGTTGAACCATACAAGATCGCGCCGGTGATTATCATGGACAAACAAAGTGTACCTTTCCTTCCAAGTCGTGTTTCGACGAAAATACCGCCTATGATGGCGCCCGGTATTCCCATTGATGCTATGATCAAAGAGTTTCTATACGTTGATCTAACACTCAGTGACGCATTCGCGTTTCCTTTCTCGGAAAGGTAAGTTGGTAAAAAAGCATTGTAAAGGGGGAATGCGAGTCCGATTGTTGCCCATACAAGTATGACCAATGATGAGGAGTAAGCTTGTTTCCTGGAACCGAAAACTGCTCTTACGCGCTCTAGTCTGAATCTGGCTACTGAATTTTTGAAAACCTGTTTTCGAGAGAGTAACCCGTTGTCTTTTACTTCAACGCTCCTGGACGAAATATATTTTTCATCAATTCTCTTCAAATCGTCGACAGTTAATGTTATCTCCACACCATTTATTCTGGCAATTTGGTAAAGGGTAGCTATGGCGGCTTCGTTATCACCTCTCGATATGTGGAACCTAGGAGATTCGAAAACTCTGAAGGCAAATCTAATCAAAAAAAGCAAAAACGTCAATCCTCCCATTGAGAACAAAAAATATCTCCAACCCCAATTACAACTCTTTGTTATAATAGTTGTTTCGCAAGAATAGTTAGTAATTAGTGCCCATGAGAGCAAATTTGCAACAATTTGACCAAAAGCCCAAAACACGCTTAGAACTGTTAAAAGATAATTGTATTTGGAGGGTAGGTTTTCAATGAAAATCGCAGAATCAACTGGGAGGTTCCCGCCTACTCCAAAACTCCAAAGGGCTGCAAACACTCCCAAAGCTGCAAAATTAGGCGATGACCCTGCTATAATGGCCCAGATTGCTGTCCATAAGAACGTAATGTTGAACGCCCACTTTCTTCCAATAACATCAGATGATAGAGACCAAAACAAAGCTCCTGCTAGTAGCCCTAAATTTTGCGCTAAGATAATAAATGGGGTTCGTCCCTCTTTCGGCGGTCGAACTCCATCAATTTCATGTAACCTTGGCAGAATCAAACTGGTTGCAACTGGCCATGCATTGTCTGCAAACCATCCAAATCCCGCAACCAAGAACAATCCGATTTGATATTTTCCAAACCCAATTTCATCAATTGCATCTGATATAACTTGAGATTTTTCGAGGTACAACCGCTCAAATTCATCGTCATTTTGCGCGCCGCTTTCGAAAGAGCTCACTGAATTGACAGCTTCATTCTCTAGCAAAGGCGTCTCTCTCAGAACACTACCGCAGTTGACCTTAGGATTCAAATCAGCTGGCATTCTATGATATTCAAAAACCATAGCGGGTTTTCGTGCCCCATAGGATAGTGGTCTTGGCCTTGCAGAGATCCGTTACAATAAATAACTTACGGGTGTGATGGCAAAAGGCTTTCTGTATTTGTTGTCTCCCTTTAAAAAAAGCTGCCTCAACTACACTTCGTGCACAGCGAGGAGATACAATGTTCGAAAACGTATGCCCCCTTTTTTGAGCCTCAACTGGTGAGTGTGCGACTGTAATGCCAAAGAAACAGTTTGATAGTTTGAATCTAAACGGGATAAATCAAGTAAATTCTCACCTTTAAAGTAGGGTGATGTCCGGACCTTATTCGAAGTGTTTGGATTTAATTGTTCTTGCTCATCCTTGACTGGTTCGAGGAAATTTATATCTGCTTCTATCAGTGAAGTTTAGCGCGCTTTAGTCATTTCCTCATTTCTAAACATTTAGAAGCCTTTAGAAAGTTTGTAGAAGTCATTTCTCTAAAAAAGCGTTCCTCTGTTATGTGGACTAGCTGAATTGTCAGTACAACTTAAGCTAGTCCGTGAACGCAAAGCTGCATCTGTTTTGAAGTAAATAAACTTTAAAAAAACCGAAAAAAGACCAAGATCTGAATTCTTTCACTTCAAAATAGACCGCATTTTGAAGTCAACACGACTTGAGGACTCTAGTGAGGGATGTTTGAGCGGGGGGAAAGGGATTTGAAGTGTTTGCCGGAATTGCTAAAGGTGACTGGTGTGAGGAAGTGCGAAGCTATACCATGACACAGTGGTACAGAGTGATTTTATCGAGATTCGTTAGCGCCGACGGTGTGCAGCTTGTCAACCTGTCCAGTTTGGTCAAGCATGGCTAGCACTGAATGTATAAACATGGGCTTTGAATTCTATTGATTTCCTCGTGGCTCTCTTGTTTGAGCAAACCACGGATATTTATTTATACGCTTTTTGGAGGCAACAAAAGCAAAGAATCGGTAACCTTCTAGAGCTCCACCATTAGTGATGATTTGTAAATGAACCGCCTAGATTGTTCGTCGGTTCTGCATAGTTGTTGAAGTATTGTTGCGTCAAAGCTTCAAGGTTGGACCCTTTCACCTTGGCGCTTGTTATGTCATTTTGTCCTAATCTGTCATTTCCTGATTACGTAATTGATACTATCCCATATAGTTTATCAATTCCAACACCTCTCTCTATAAGGAATTCTTGAGAGAACGGCGTAATGTGGAAAGTTAGATCTCGGTAGATGGTATGGAAATGTAACGGGCAGTACTTTAGGTGCCATGTGCCCATGAAGGTTAAGTCTCTCTTGTTCGAGCAAAAAAAGGTGTAATTCATACTTATCGTTATGTAAAAAGACGGAGGATAGTGAATGTATTAGTAAACAGGAAAGCAAAAGGGGAGCGTGAAGGATAGTAGGCGTCAAGATGGCATAAAGAGAGCAAGAAAAACTTGACTAGTGCTATCATGAGGAACGTGTAGGTTTAGCGTTCAAGGTTTGGGAGGGTCCACTGTAATCTGACTGGACTCATTTTGTTAGACTTAGATTTCGTCCATGCACACAATGGACAACAGAAGCTATACCGCTCGCCAGTATGATCCGCGCGCACGTGACTATGTGACTAGTACGGTTCACAGCCAAGGGCCAGATCTGGCTACGCTAGATACCTTGGTAAGAAGTAACCGCTTTCAGAATGTATTGGATTTAGGATGCGGTGGTGGACACGTTAGTTATTGTGTAGCCCCTCATGCGGGCCAAGTGGTGGCGTGCGACGTTGCGCAAGAAATGCTTACCAGCGTGCAACAAGAAGCAGAAGAACGCGGATTGACAAACATCTCTTTCGTACAATCTTGTGCGGAAAAGCTACCGTTTGCAGACGGCCATTTTGATGCAATTTTTTGTCGGTTTACAACCCATCATTGGGACAACGCATTGGCTGGATTACAGGAGGCGCGAAGAGTTTTGAAACCTGCTGGAATAGCTGTTTTCATCGATGTGACAGCACCGAGATCGCCGCTTTTCGACACTTGGCTCCAGACTTTGGAATTGCTGCGGGACGTTTCTCACACTCGCGACTTTTCCGTCGCAGAATGGGCTACATTATTGGCCAATGCAGGTTTCAATATCCGCAATACAGGCACACATCGCTTGCGGATGGAATTTGAAAGTTGGATTGCACGGACCAAGACCCCTGCGGAACGAGTTACAGCTATACGGTCTTTGCAAAATTGTGCTCCATCCGATGTTGTGAATTATTTCGACATTGAAAGTGATGGAAGCTTTACAATCGACGTAACCACATTTACTACAGGACACCATAAATAATGGGATTTAATTACTTGGAGATAGCTGTTTTATCAAAAGGACTTGTGTCGCAGCTCTCCCTCTACCATTCACAATCCTGGCATCTTTCAACAACGTACACTTACTCTGTAGTAGGACGATATCTTTCTTGATAGCTTTTATGATGATAATTCACAGGTTAAAAAATGTTAAATATTCTACAAAATTTAAAGCTTATAGTGGGTTTCCTGAACCTGTCTAACCTGAATTAGATCGAGAGAAAAAAACTACTAGATGAATCCGTTTCTCGATGTGAAATAATAATGCAGTGGGGTGGGGTTTAGTGAGAGGAAGAAGAAGAGAAAGTTTACTCGTCCTTCTTCTCGTCCTTGAGGTTTACACCTTGCAAGTCCTCAATCATGTCTGGCAAAGTCTCCATCGAGGCACCTTCGTAGACAATCTGGTAGACGGCTTCAAATAGCACGAAGTCTTCGGTCTTGCCGGAGGCAGCCAACCATTCGTGCACCTCTTTACAGGTGTGGATACCTTGAGCGGATTGGCCGTTCAACAACTCTTTTTCACACTCTTCGGCGGACTTTCCGGTCTTGGCCATGGCGGTGGCCACTCTGACGTTTCTACCACCGGAACAGGTGGTGATCAAGTCGGCCACACCGGCAGATTCTTGGTAGTAGGTCTGAACACGCGAGTGTGGGAAGAACATCTGGCCAAACTTGATGATCTCACCTAGACCGACTCTCTGGATGGCGGCAGAGGCGTTGTTACCCCAGCCGAGACCCTCGACGAAACCGCAACCAAGGGCGACAACGTTCTTCAAGGCACCGGCAACCGAGATACCGGCAACATCGTCGATCACGTTGACGTGGAAGTAAGGTCTGTGGAACAGGGCCTTGAGGACGCCGTGGTCCACGTCTTTGCCCTCGCCCTTGAAGTCCTTTGGTAGCTCGTAAGCCACGGTGGTCTCGGACCAGTTTTCCTTGGCCACTTCTGGGGCCAAGTTGGCACCGGAAAGGGCACCGCACGTGATTCCGAGTTTTTCTTCAATGTAAGTGGAGAGCAGACGCACACCGTCTTTGGACACGTCGAAACCCTTTAGACACGAGATGGCACGGGCGGTGGGCTTGATCTTACCCTCTAGCTGCACCGCGATGCGGGGCAAAAACTGGTGGGGGATGTTGAACACCAGGATGTCCGCGTCCTTGACGGCGTCCACCAAATCTGGGTTGGCCACCAGGTTTTCGGGCAGCTCGATGTTGGGCAGATACTTGACGTTTTCGTGTTTGGTGTTGATGATGTCGGTAAGCTTCTGGCCGTCGATCTGCTCTTCGAACACCCACATGTCCACACGCTTGACAAACAATTGCGGACGTAAGGCGGCGTTTTCGGCCACCACTTTAGAGATCGTGGTACCCCAGTTACCGGACCCGATGACGGTCACTTTGAAAGGGTGGTCCACACTTTTGATGGATTGCGACAAGATGTCCGAGGTTTGACCTAGTCTATCGGAAGCTGGCATTTTTGAACGGTTGGGAGATGTGTGCTTGTGTGTTTGAAAACTGACGTGTATGAATTGGAACTGGAATGTACTTCTTTCTTAGATGTACTTCTGGTTCAAACAATTGCGAAACGGGAGTGAGTGTATGAGAGTATAAGCGTCTTTTTGAAAAAAATTGGTCTTTCAAGTAGTCACTAACAGTGTTGTTGGTGCTTGATATGCTTAACTTGTTCGTTATTAAATTAAAATCGAACGTAAGCAATGAACCAACAAATACTGCCTAACTTCCCAATTCCCTGGTCCTTTTATACATTTTACACATCTTGTACATCTTATTAGCCACGGTTGAGTCTTTTGACCATAACCTCCCTTTAGCGTAATCGATGTAGGCCAAATCGGGCCGTTTGCCCTGAGCCCTAAATTTTTTTTTTTAGGCCTTCCTTTCTTTGTTTTGTCGCAGCCTTAATTTTCTTGCGTATGTTATGTGTGTAATTTGCGTATGAGTGGAATAAACGGGAGATGTGTCCCGCTTTTGCTTTGGCTGGGAAAACCCGGTGGGCGTGACCAGGCGCGGTGTGTGGGTGGAAGGGTCAGAAGGTCAGGAGGTGGGTCAGGAGGTGGGTCAGGAGACGGTCAAGGGGTGTTTTGGGTCAGAAGGTGGCGAGAGTGAGTCAGCGGGGGGACACAAGAGGGGAGATAGGGTCAGGGTCAAGAGGGGAAGGACAGGGTCAAGAGGGGGGTGACTGGGTCAAGAGGGGGTGATTGGGTCAAAAAGAGGGTCAAAAAGAGGGTCAAGAAAGGGTCACGAGAAAAGACTGGGTAAAGGGGAAGACACATATACAGAATAGATCATTCTAGCATATTTCGACCCTTAACGAGACCATGGTGTAGGGATGTATTGGGCATGTGATGTGTGTGTGTATATGCATGGGAGCGATCGTATTAGGTAAGCGTGGGCGTGCTGGGTGAAGAGGCGCGGCTAGCTATTTGCAGTTGTAGTGAATTGTGTAGACAAAAGACGAATTATGCCATCGAGGCTTGTAGATTGTGCACGAAAGTTTGGTTCTGCTAAACTGACTTACAGGTGGAGTAGCATGTTATTTAGTGTCACGTGACTAGCTATTTACAGAGACATGCGCAATGGGTAACGAAAATTTCAAAACTCTAATAGGTAACCCATCATGTGATTTCTGGCTGATTTTTTTTTTTTTGAGTAACCTATCATATATTACGTACGTTACCTGTTGCTTACTGGTGGACTTTCCAGACAGAGTAAATGTTTTATTCACTAGGATTAGACCTTTAGATGCCCCCGATTAAACGCAAGGTTTCGTCCGAAGTCTTCGTCTCGTTTCAGGACAGTAAGGTAGGTTTTTGGGAACTATCCAAGTCAACATTGCACCGAGATACCATCAACTTTCAACTTTCACAAGGTTTACGCGTCACTTTTCCCGTTTTAGTTAAATTGAATTTGAGTACGCGTAAAGTCAAAAATATGGGGTATATAGGACTTTAAAAACAAACTTGATATCTTTCCTTGTCTTTACCAAGTACCATCAAGCTCGACTTTTGCATTTACATGGTATTGAAATCTCAGAGGAGAATGCTAGTACCATAGAGGAGGAAATTCCAACCCAAGCGGCTACAGACTGCCCAAGTTAGCCCAGCACCGTGTGAGGGGGACAGTAATCTAGAAGCTGCTGATAGCAGCAGTTCCACCTCTCTGAGAGCTCAGACCAATCAAGGATGGATGGTAAAGTCTTCTGTGAAAAAATTCTTCGATATAAAGCTCAGAGATGGCAAGAGAACTGCTAACTGTAGACATTGCGGAAAATGTTACAAAGAAGGAGAGTCCACCGGAAACATGGATAAACACATTCGAGCCTTGCATCCTGCAGCTTTTAGAGCTCAAAATGGAAAGATCAATAAAAAATAGAGCACTAGATGCTTTCATTAAAAAGAGAAAATCTCTCACAGTATCTCAGTCCATATCCAGTGAGTTCAGAAAGAACTCACCCATGTTCAGAACGGCTACTCGTCACGGAAGGATTTTTGCCGCTTAACTTTGTTAGGCTTTCAATGTGGAGTACTTTCGGAGACCAAGACCAGTTCAACCCCATTTGATCTAAAGCGACGTTTGCGAAAAAGCTACGAATTTACTCTGGTATGTTGGACGAAACGCTGTCTCTCAATCTCAAAGACACACATCTTGTTAACATTCAGCTAGACATCTGGACCGCAAGAAGTGGTGAATCGCACTGGGGCTTCTGGTCTCGTTTGCACCTAATGTATGGAATAGAAGGTTGATGGACGAAATGGAAGATTACAAAATTTTACTCAACGATGATGAAGTGGCTCAAAACACCCATCTGCTTGACTTTGTTACTTTGGAAGAAAAGAAGCACACTGGAAAAAACATGCTTGCAATCTTATCGGACCTTTTGGAGAAGCATAACCTTACAGATAAAGAAGCGACGATAACAATGGATAACGCCAGTAACAATGTATCAATGTACCAATCTTTCATTTTCTCGCTCTTCAACCATAAAGAGCCTCTGGCTGGCCGTCTCCTTGGTAAGACCCGCTATATTCGGTGCGCAAGTCATGTCTTGAATTTACACTTTAAGACGGTTGTTGCAGAGTTGTTCAAAAATACTGATTTTGCAGAAGCATTGCGGAGAATTAAGACTCTAGCGAGAATTATGAGACAATCTACTCGAATCTGCGCTAGTTTGAAAAAATCCAGAATACCATTTATTCCGCTTGAAGCACCCACACGGTGGATGTACATTTGGCGTCAAGTCAGTTCCTTTCTCGAGAATTATAAAAGGTATACGTTGTGGTTCGAGGACCATGAAGAAAACGGTGATTCAGACGTTATCTACATGCTTCGAGAATACATTCACTTTGACGAGGGAATTCTGAAGATGCTGAAGTATTTTGTTCAAAGTCTACAGGTTTTTAACGACTATTCAATGAAACTACAAAAAGATTCCTACAACCATCTTTCCAACGGAGTACCCTTCTACTATTTGATAGACAGTTTCTACTCTTACTGTGAAGGTGCTCTTCGCGGCCACGATCTCCCCAAAAGCCGATCTGGTCCCGATTTTTCATGCTTGAATGGACCGCCAGACCTCCTTCCAAGCGATAAACGACTCATTTTGAAAGCAGTTTTAGCATCACAAAAGAGCCATCAAAAGTATCTGGCTTGAGTCAGGCAGGACGCACTTTACTATGTGGCGATGATACTAGATCCAGGTGCTAAGACAGGCGCCTTGTACAGAATGATGTCAAAGGACGAGGCTGACGAGCGAATGATAGAAGGTCGTCAATTTATCCAAGCTTACGTCAAGGAATACAACAGTTCTGTTGATCTGCGAAACTCAAGACCTGTTGAGAAGCAAGTCACGCTTGAAGCACAAGATCTCATTTTTGACCGAGTGGACTTTCAAGCTATACCTAGCGACTCGCATGCTTTTCTTTACGGTGAAGCACTTAATCTGGATGATGACGAGCTTATGGAGGAGTTTTATGATTATCTGCGAGAGCCGCTCTTGAAAAATCGATCCAAGGAACCTGCGATTGCTTGGTGGTACCAGCACCGAAACAGGTTTTCAAAGCTCTTCCCACTTGCTATATCCTTATTCTACACTAAGGTTAGCTCATGCGAAGTGGAGAGAACGATTTCTTTGGCCTCGAGGGTCATGCGAAAAGACAGAACCCGTCTTAGCTCCAGAAACTTTAAGTCCATAATGTTGCTGCGAGACGGATTTGAGAGGTTTGGCTTTTACAAGATCGGCCCCACAGCACTTCGTAATGTGTGCAACGGAAAGTATGACATATACGAAAACAACGATGAATTGTCAGATCCACTCGAACTTTACGCTTCCTCTGACGATACCCTGTGCGACAGTGATGCCGAATTGAGTGATGAGAATTCAGACCACGGAGCAGCTGGCGAAGTGGAAGAAGTCGTCTGTCTAGGTGAACCAAATAGTGTGCATATTGGTAACTGAAATTCTGGCGTCAGCGCCGAAATTTTAACTACCAATATGCACACTATTTGGTTCAGCTAAACACATAGCATTTCAATCTTTCGTAGATATAGGAGTTGGGCTTGATAATAGTTTATCAAGGTCCTATATACTTCCATATTTTGATTCTACGCGTACTTTCATTGAAATTAACTAAACGGAAAACGTGACGCTTAAACCTTGTGAAAGGTGGAAACCTAATGCTATTTCAGAGCAATGTAAATAAGGATCATTCCCAGGACTTAACTTACTGTTAAGTAACTAGACGGAGACTTTGAACAAAACTCTGGGCTTGAGGACCAAATTCAATACCATTTAGTACGGTCACGTGCTAACACGTCAGCGACACATTAAAATGAATTGGTACCTTGCACTGGTACTATCCAAACTGATGTCAGTGGGTGTGGGCACATGTAGACTTACCCTTCAAGTTTACAGTCCCCTCATGACATACCTGTTCACCTCATTTCATGAATTTTACCATTTTGTGAACATTAGAGAAACCGAAATCGTGAGTCACCATACGAGCTCACACTCAGTACAAAAACCCACAAGAAACTCATCGCATTGCAAGCAGTTTCAGATTTGTCCGTGGCCGTAGGTAATCCCCGTCCTTTAAATCTCCAACTTTTCCAAAACATCCCAGACCCACCGTGTGTTGTACTTACCATCTACTCGCTTACACGACTGCACATCTCATACGAATTGGCCATTCAATCGTTATCCGTAATCAAAATAGATAAAATCTCGTCATACAATCACCACTGCAAACATCTCTCGTCATGTTTGCAACTGTCTTCCCATGATTCCCGATGTCCAGGCGTCAAAAATCGACGTTCCACTAAAGATAAAGCATACTTACTAGAAAGAACGATTCTTTCATAGGACCAAAACAGGCTATCTCGACTTCAACTCTTTGGAACATCTGTCTTGTCAAAGACATCTTCATAGCCATCGAGAATTAGCCTTCGAGTACCAGCACAAATGTACTGAATCGTCGTCACAATTACAACTTTGCGAAGGTATGCCTTTCTCATCTCAATCGAAAGTATGGCCGCTCGTCATTGGTGACTATGCGATATATTAAGTTTCCAGAAGAAATGGCCATAGCACTTTTCAGTCCCGAATTATTCACATCGCTTCGAAATACAAAACCTGGACGTATCAAGGATCAATGAGTAGTTCTAGTGCACTTTTCAGCGTACGAAGAGCCGCATGGCTATTTTCTTTGATTCGCGCAATTCATGGCAGTCCGCTGACGTACATGGTTTCGCAAGAAACGAAACGAGAAGAAGCGGATACCGTAACTTTTCTGTGCATATCTGTGCTCCTAGTACTGTTGGGAGGTGTCTTTGCAGGGCTTACGCTGGGGTTGATGGGACAGGACGAGGTGTATTTGAAGGTAATAAGCTCATCGGGGTCTCCTGGCGAACAGAAAAGTGCATTAAGAGTGTTGAAACTTATATCCAAAGGCAAGCATTGGGTGCTCGTCACTCTACTACTCTCAAACGTTATCACTAACGAAACGCTTCCCATCGTTTTGGACCGGTGTTTGGGTGGTGGCTGGCAAGCAGTGGTGTCTAGCACCGTGCTCATCGTTGTATTTGGTGAAATTATTCCCCAATCCGTGTGTGTTCGGTACGGCCTTGAAATTGGTGCCTTTTTCTGCCCATTCGTCGAACTGCTCATGTACTTGATGTACCCCATAGCTTATCCAATTGCTTTGCTTTTGGACTGGATTTTGGGTGAGGACCATGGAACTATGTACAAGAAGTCGGGGCTTAAGACACTGGTCACATTGCATAGGACTATGGGGGTGGAAAGACTTACAAAAGACGAGGTTATCATCATTTCTGCTGTTTTGGACTTGAAAGAGAAAAAAGTGCGGGAAATTATGACACCTTTGGTCAACGTGTTCACTATGAGCGCTGACGCTATTCTTGACGAGAAAACGGTTGGCGAAATCTTCAATTCTGGGTTCTCACGTATTCCAATTCATTTGCCTGGCGAGAAAAACAACTTCATAGGTATGCTATTGGTACGAGTGCTCATATCTTATGATCCAGATGACTGTTTGCCCGTGTCACATTTCCCTCTAGCCACACTTCCGGAAACATCTCCTAATACCTCTTGTCTCAACATCTTGAATTATTTCCAGGAGGGGAAGTCGCATATGTGCATTGTTTCAAAAGAACCAGGAAGCTCTTCTGGTGCTCTTGGTGTGCTGACACTCGAAGATGTTATCGAGGAATTAATAGGAGAAGAAATTGTCGATGAATCCGACGTTTTTGTCGATATACATCAACGAATCATGCGTGACCAACCGGGTCCACTCGCTAAGCGACATGTCACATCTTACTTGCATTCTTTATACAAGACCTCACAGAAAAACCCGGCCGATCACTCTAGTGAAGATAGACCCCTATTAGAGGGACCTCGTGATACTACACAGACACCCTGCCAACACACAACTGTTCTGCCGTTCAACCTTGCATCCAATCCTATCGAGACTCATAACCCACACGTCAAGGTAAAAAAACTCCCTGAAAATGTAGAGCCTTTGGCCGAGCATCGCAGTTATGGCGGGACAGGGACCTCACCTCGCGATCAGACCGTTAGTGATCAGCAAATTCTTCAAAACGACTCAGTGGGCAAAGAGAACGCATTGGTACAGGACCATCTGGATGCCTCAAAAAAGGCTATCCAGTACACGCTCAATACAGGTGAAAACAGTCAGGTCACAACCTCAAGGCAGCTGTCCCCTGAAGCTGGCTCTGACAATATGACACAACTGATCGACGCCGTAGATGGGTCACACTCAGGTTCCGACCTGGACCAAAAGGAACATACAGACACCCAAATGATATCTTCGTCGTATCGTCCCAGCATCAACGGTATTGTAGAGAGCGTGGTAACTGTGAAGGGGGTTCCTAAGACCATCATCGCTCCTGCGAGAGGTTGGGATGAATGTGAAGGAGTCGTGATCGACGAGACCGGCAACGTACATGAGAATGGTGATGGAGAGAGTAATCGCACCAACGATCTCGAAGCCTTAGAGCACCCTTCACCCAGCAGACCCCAAAAGAGTCGCAGAGGGAGCTTATTCAGTTTATTCCGTGCCTCCAGCGTCGGAGGCAGTGGTTCCAGCATCCGAGGGAGGTCAACTCACACTTCAGGATCTTCTGAAAAAATCGGGCAAATGATAGCAGAGGACAATAACTCTTGCTCCCCACGCAATACAAATTGAAGCAAATACTATCTTAAGTATACCGTAACTAAGGCGTCGTTAACTAATGTTGGTGTCGTCAGTTTCCTTGTCACTTTACCTTGTATGTGTCGCTTTTATAACTTGATCTTACCATACGATGCCAAGTAATTAATACGCAATTGGTATTTTTACATCAATGGTAGGTTTCTTGTTCTGATGCCTTTCAACTGACTATTATGTATTTGAGATTCCATGGAGCAAGTCCTTTGACTACGAGGAAGTAATTGCCAGTTTTCCCGTCTTTACTTTTGATAATTCATAGTCTGTTCTCGCTCCGGTATTCGCCAGTGCGAACCAAGTTGTGGGACTATCGGTTTTAGGGTGAGGACAATCGCCCTGTCCAACAAATTTTAACATCGACAACCATGCCACACCAGGACCATAGTGTTTCGGCACACAATAGCAATGAGGTGGGCTCGATCAAATCTACTGGCTCGACGTCTTCTTTTACAAAATCGTTTTTCGGCAAAAAAAACGGCTTCGGGTTGGGTAAGCTCTTCAAGGGCAACAGTCATACTTCTAATAACGAAACAGGCAAAGATATCCTAGGATTGCTACTGTCACAGCATAACAGTAACTCAAGTTCAAGATCGCAGGATTCGAATCATCGGTCTCGGTCATCTTTGCCCACAACGGATCACATAAGTTCATATCACAGCAATCATGGCAACAATTTGCACAATGCTCATAATTATACGACTGGTGAACAGAGTAAAAATTACGCGTCGGATCTGAGCAAGCATGTATCCGGGGCTTCTGGATATGCTTCGCATTCACCACACGGCCATCCTCTAAAGATCGTTCCTTCGCCTAATACTCATATGCATCCCTCCCAGTTGCTTCAACGTGAAATCGAGGACCAGCAGAGACGCAATTCTCCTCCAAAACTTGCTCACAAGAAGCATTTGAAAAAAACGCTTCATTTGAAGAGGTTTTTCAAGAAGATTCATGGTGAGGACAATCATAGCAGGCATCCAGGCCCTGCTTCAACCCCACCCGTAGCAGTAACTTCGGAAATCAGTCCCGATGCGAACAAAACTCTTTATGAAACCGAAGATGCTCGAGAGTTGATTGAAAAATACGGCAACCCCGGTAAACTGATTGGCGAAGGGGCTTCTGGTTCGGTGTCTGTCGTTGAATCCAGCGACGGAAAAATGTTTGCTGTAAAGAGATTTAGGGCCCGAGGTTCGAAAGAAACTCAAGTCGAATACTCCAAGAAGGTAACATCTGAATTTTGCGTTGGATCTACCCTCCATCACTGCAATATTATTGACACTTTAGATATGCTCCAGGAGGGCACTAATTTCCTAGTAGTGATGGACTACTGCCCTTTCGATTTTTTCACTCTAGTAATGAGTAACTTAATGACGAAAGCAGAGATAGCATGCTATTTTAAGCAAATATGCCATGGTGTTGAATACTTACATGGTATGGGTCTTGCGCACAGAGACTTGAAACTAGACAATTGTGTTGTTACCGATCAAGGAATATTAAAATTGATCGATTTTGGGAGCGCTGTGGTTTTCCAATACCCCTTTGAAAACCAAATCGTAGAAGCTAAAGGGATTGTTGGATCGGATCCATATTTGGCTCCAGAATTACTCAGCTATACAACCTACGATCCGAGGCCAGTCGATGTGTGGTCGATTGCAATAATGTTTTATTGCATGTCACTACGAAGATTTCCTTGGAAAGCTCCCCGGGAAAAGTATCAATCATATAGGCTCTTTTGCGAGGAACCTGAGAGCGATAAGGATCTACAAAGAGGAGCCTTTCGTCTTCTCAAGCTGCTTCCACGGCAATCTCGAAAAGTTATTTCTGCGATGTTACAATTGGATCCGAAGAGAAGAATTTTGATGGATGACGTTTTGAAAGACTCATGGGTCGAAGAGATCGAATACTGCTCACTGGATGAGACAGGGAAGTTGAGAACCATACCACATTCGCATAAACATCATCTAGTTACGGAGGATGAATTAAAAGAACTGAATGAACTGAACGAAAAACGCCAGGAAGAACATAGACAGGCTCAATTACTTGCGGAGCAAAAGAAACCAAACGATGGGCTACAAGATGTAACAACGAAGTTGGAGGTCACGCAAGTAATGTGAAATGCTGACAAGCAAAGAGGCGTGGAGAATTAAAACGGTGTAACATGTATTATATATATTACATTTAGTTTATAAGGAAATCTTCCTCTAGGGCGAAGAGACTACAGCGGTATGACATCTAGATCGAAATCTTTTCACCATCCGAGTTCGAAAAGCATACTGATTGATTCACCATTATGAATCCTTCTGATAGATTCGCCGAAAATTTGCGAAACATCAAGGACATGCACTCTATCTTTGCCCAAAAATTTAACCGTTTTGTGCTGTGGCACTGAGTTTGTAACCACGATCTTGTCAATTGCGCTGAGAGAGACCCTGTTGAGAGCGTCACCCGAAAATACACCATGAGTTATCAAAGCGTAAACCTTCGTTGCACCTTGATCCTTGAGTAGTTTGGCAGCGCGGGTGATCGTGTAGGACGTGTCCACCAAGTCATCAACTAAAATACAGGTCTTGTTCCGGACATCACCAACAAGCATTGTGGTTTGGACATATCTAGAGTTGGATCCCGAAGTTTTCATTTCTTGAGAGTTTAATGCCAAAGATGACATCGACGCGATAAGGGGCTTACCCGAGATCGCTGCACCACCACCTGACGTTAATGAAGCATCTGGAGGACCCTTTGGCAGCTGAGATCTCTTCTCTTTGTGTATCAGAGCGAAAGATATTCCGAGAGCATCTGCGAGAGACGCTGCACGTTTGGCACCGCCAGCATCCGGAGACACAAGAACGGCTTCTTTGTACTCTGGAATGTTGTACTGGATGTAGCTGTGGGCAATGGGTTTACAGTACAGGTTATCGACAGGGATGTCGAAAAAACCCTGGAATTGAGAGTCATGAAGATCCATGGTGATAACGTGGTCTGCACCAGCAGTAGTCAATAAATTAGCCACCAAGGTACCTGCCTGGGCAACCCAAAGTTTGTACCCCGCGTTGTTGGCATTAAAGAGAGAACCTAGCTCAGAACTGTTTTCTTTGCGTTCTGGAACCATGGGTATGCGGGACTGTGATGGAGATTTGTGAATTGCCCCATCGCCTGCAAAACGCACAGGCTTAGGTTGGTGGAGATTTGTTGGCCCGTCATGTTTCTTGTTTTCGGTGTCATTGCCTGCGTTTAAGGCATCGTGAGAGGGTCCAGTGGGTGCTTGGGTCGATGTCATGGACGACACAGGAGTCCCTGGTACGCTTTCAAACGTGTAGCTTTCCTTGGGTTTAGAAATCAAAGGTGCCCCCTTTGCGGTATAAGGAATATCGGGTTGACGAGAGTAGCAGAAGTAGGGCATCACTGCAGTTACGCGGGATGCTGAAGCGGTTTTGCAAGCATTCAACAAGATCAGCAGCTCAATGAAATTATCGTTGACATGTCCACAGCCGCTTTGAATGACATAAACGTCCTTTTCACGTACAGATTCGCCAATACTGATGCTCGTTTCCCCATTCGAAAATTTTCCCAGCTTGACCTGTGAGGGCTTGACCCCCAAGTTTCCACAGATCTTGTCGACCAAAGAGGGGTGAGAAGAGCCTCCGAAAACAACGATGTTATTCATTAGAGAAGGAAGGATATGTACAGTGAGTGCTTCACATTATCATCTTGAATCGATCTTATCGTTACTTGAAGATGAAGAGAGGACGATTGAGATAGAATATCAGTAAAACGACAGATAAGTACAGAGTGATATTGAACAATGAGGCTAGATGCGAATGAGCAGATTTGACTATTCCTTGCAAAGCTAGGCCCAGAAGATATCAGACCAGAGGGTTGAGTTTTACCAAGTTATAGTAATGTCCTTGTTTTCCTTATTTTTCGGTGTTTGTCGTCCATATTTTTCGTTACTCTCTCGATGAAAATCGTGACACCTTCACGACGGTTTCCAGACCTGTCAATAAGGTACGTACCTGGTAGCGGGAACCTTCATCTGCCAATCGAATTGCTATTGCTTATCTGCTTCATTCCTTTTTGATGCTCAGTACTTTCAGAACCCAGTAATGTGCTTTTGATGATTCTTTATTAATTGGTGCATTCCATTATAACGTTGTCATCGACTACAAATAAGGCTATTAGGCCTGAAGTCCTTTCAAAACTGTAAATGTTATATGCGAAATCGAGTATGGACATGCTCGAGGGAACAACTTTGCGTAGTTCACGTTTTCAGCCCATATGTGCGAAACTTGAATTCTGACCGGAGTTTTTTCCTTGGTCGAGTGGGAACTAGCAGTCGAACATGGTTCAAGATTAATTCGAAATACTTCAAAATGCTGCGTTGGATATCTCTATTTGATATACTAGCTCAAATACACTCTTAAAACAAGTGAGTTCGCTTTTAGGCCTTATAGAACATTAGAAAAATATTCAACAACCCTTATCGAAAATGATAGGCATGTCTGGGACAAATTAAGCAGAGGGAAGTCTAGCCCCAAATTTAGAGATACAAGGATACGGTCCTTTTGGTTGTTTGAAGTTCACGCTTTGTTCCTTGGCGAAAACTGTGTACATCCATACGAAACTGACATATAATACGCTATAATTAAAGCATTGGTCATCTCCAGCGCTGTCAACATCCTAAAACCCTCAATTGATACGCATCAATGATCAGCGCTCTCTTCATTTATTCTCTACGGGGTGAGTTACTCATCTCCAAAAATGTGAAGCCCACGCAAAAGTCCATGGCTGAGATCTTCAGGATTCAGGTTATTAACAATCTTGATGTTCGATCTCCAGTCTTGACACTTGGATCAACCACTTTCCATCACATCAAATCAGCCGGAAACCTATGGATAGTATCCGTGAGCCGATCTAATGCCGATAGTGCGGCAATATGGGAATTTCTGCATAAGCTCAGCGCTCTGTTACAGGCTTACAATTTAGATTCAGAAAAAGATATGAAAGAAGAGTTCATGACTTGTTTCGAGCTCTTGGACGTGCTTCTCGAGGAAGGCGTACCAATGGACACCGAGTTCAACAACGTAGCATCGCAAATGTCTGTGAAACCTGCGATTCCGGCTGACGCTTTCAACAGTTTTACAGAAAGCATAGCGAACGGCGCAGGTTTCATACCGCGTTCGCGACTACTGAAAAAAAGATCTAGCAGCCTCTTTTCCCAGGATTCAATTCAGGAGCAGCATTCTAAGGTTCCTTGGAGAGTCAGTGGCATAAAGTATAAGAAAAATGAGGTTTTTCTGAATGTCAAAGAGAACATCAGTATCCTCGTGTCAAAAGACGGATCCATTCTAAAGTCGTACGTTGACGGTACAGTGGAGACAACTACCCATCTGAGTGGCATGCCTGTTTGTCGGTTTGGGCTAAACGATGCCCTGTCTGTTACATCTCCTTTCTACGATGGATCACCGGAGGTGGTAAATAAAAAGGCAATTCCCAAAGCTGCGGCCGGAAGTGTAATGCTGGAGGACTGCAAATTCCACCAGTGTGTGCAACTGGATAAGTTCCAGACCGACCGCACTATCAACTTTGTACCTCCTGATGGTACTTTTGAGCTCATGAGATATCACGTCAGAGAAAACCTCAACTTGCCCTTTAAAATCACTCCTATCGTGACGGTTTCCAGATCAGGTTCTGTGGAATACCGAATCACCATCAAGTCGCTTTTCCCTGGAAAGCTCTCCGCTAAAGACGTACAGTTGCGCATACCGGTCCCACCCGAAACAGTGGACTGCAATTTCTCAACTTCTAACGGTAAATGCAAATTCGTGGCTGCAGAAAGCGCTATCATTTGGCAATTTGGCAAATATTTAGGTTTGACAGAAAATAGCATTTCTGCAACCGCGATTCCCGCAAAGGGTTATCAAATGAAGCTCGACAAATGGTCCAAACCTTCAATTTCGCTAACTTTCGAGGTCTTGATGTTCAGTAACTCGGGCCTGGTCGTACGATTTTTCGATATTTTGCAGAAAGACAAAAACTACAACTTGGTAAAATGGATCAGGTACATCTCTAGGTCGGGTGCATACGAGGTACGATACTAGACTAAGTCACATTGAGTACTCATTATGACTTCGCGAAGCAGAACGACACAGCGTTACCTGAACATCACAGCAGACGGTATTCCTTTGAATCTAGATTGAGCCTAAATAAGCCAAAGATCTGGATCGAGGCTATTAGCATGCTAAACCCTGTAAAATTATCATGTTACTTCAGCAGCTGGGCTTACGTGTTGGGCCTATCAGACAAGTTAGGGTCTCTAAGTTTTCAGGAGCTCTAAGTCCTTTGGGTCGTGGGTCGATTCTCCGCTATGTTACTCCACTTCAAGGGCTGTGGTTAAAAAGTTCAAAAACCTCGGGTCAAAATGCCCTGGCAGTCAAGGAATTGATTTTCAAAAGGTCGCTCTCTACCGGGTCTAGAGTGAAAGCTAGTCCCTTCTGGCGAAACGATATCCAATTAAGGCTTCGTGGGGGATCCCGTAGACGTTATGGTCAAGGCTTCAGAGAGTTCAGAAGCCCCTCGCCCTTCACGCCGTTCATCTTCGTCGGTGCCGTGTGTGTGCTAGTTCTTGTACTTCCCTTTATTTTCACGTTTTTGTTCCCATTGATAATCGCTGCTCTGATAACCTTTCAAATCAAAAAACGCAAGACTAGAGCGATCCTTGGGGTATTACGTCGCAGCCTGGAATCGTCTACCAAAAAAGTGAAATATAGCACAATAATGGGGCTCCAATCCAAAATGCTTACATCAATGTTAGAAAAAGAAAAATTCCCAGCCGGCATTTTTGGCGGGCTTGTAAATGAAATGAAAACCAGTCAATTAGATATGAGCCGTTCGCGGCAGGAAGCTCAAGATCTTTTCAGTTACCTGAATGCAAGGGTTTTAGATGCATTCGAAAAAAACGAGTTAGGAGTGCGGGAGTATTTCTTGGGAAATGACGTGTCCAGGTGGGTAGACAACAACTACGACTTGGAGATCGATTTTGACTTTCCACAAACTCGTGGTCAGATCGTCGAGGGCACACTTGTGATGATTATCAAGTTTCCACTACTACTGAAATCCTCAAATCAAAATCCGAAACAACTCGCTAGCGTGGCCATCGCATTCCAAGACCACAGTTTGGCACAAATGGTGGGATCTCCTGAATTCTTGAAAGAGCTCGCGCATACAGACAAGCAATGTCCCATGGTGACCACCATTCTTCCCTATCGTACCCTCTCTACGCGTCAATTCATACTACAAGACAAGGGCCACAATTCGTTCACTGTCAAAAGCACAAATGATGGTCATAGGGAGTTTACATATGAAAAGTGATTGGGCAATTGAGCTCAAATCAAACACCAAAGTAACCTAGTTAAGAACCTGTATATATACTAGAATGAAATCCTCAAATTCTACTACTTCAGCATTATATATACACCGCTGACGCTGTCATTATTTCGAGAACTGAATCTTAATTTCCAATATCACTATGTACGTACGAATTTTTGAATTCTCAAAAATATCGAAAAGGGGCATCGAGTTCAGTGAAGTGAAGGATCATAACGTTAATATCAACAAACAGATCGTCATTCATCCGCTATGGATCCAAGAAGTCCAATTGGTATGTTAAATTTACTTTAATGTCGCTGTGTTACAGCTTTGAACGGTTCATTTCCTAAAAAATGGCCAATTTTGAAGAGTTTTTGGAACAATGTGTACTGACATCAATTCGATACGTGTAGTTCTGGATCAAGGTACAGGTTTCGTCAAAATTGGTCGAGCCGGGGAAAATTTCCCCGACTATACATTTCCTTCAATTGTAGGAAGACCGATTTTGAGGGCTGAAGAGCGTGCGAATGTAAGCACACCTTTAAAGGATGTTATGATTGGTGACGAAGCCAGTGCAGTCCGTTCATACTTGCAAATATCATACCCGATGGAGAACGGGATAATAAAAAATTGGGCCGACATGGAACTTCTTTGGGATTACGCATTTTACGACCAAATGAAGCTTCCTTCGTTATCGGGAGGCAAAGTACTGCTTACGGAGCCACCCATGAACCCTGTCAAAAATAGGGAACAAATGTGTGAGGTAATGTTTGAAAAGTACGATTTTGGAGGCGTCTACGTGGCAATTCAGGCTGTGCTTGCCCTTTATGCCCAAGGCCTATCATCCGGTGTGGTTGTTGATTCCGGTGACGGTGTCACGCACATTGTGCCAGTGTACGAATCGGTGGTCCTCAATCATCTAACTAGAAGACTAGATGTGGCCGGACGAGACGTTACGAGACATTTGATAGATCTTCTTTCTCGCAGAGGTTACGCATTCAACAGAAGTGCTGATTTTGAGACAGTCCGTCAAATCAAAGAAAAATTAAGTTATGTGTCATACGATCTGGATCTAGATACTAAGCTGGCCAGAGAAACAACAACGTTGGTCGAAAATTACGAATTACCTGATGGAAGGGTCATAAAAGTAGGGTCTGAAAGATTCGAGGCACCTGAATGTTTATTTCAACCAAATTTGGTTGATGTAGAGCAGCCTGGTGTCGGAGAAATGTTGTTCAACACAATCCAAGCTGCTGACGTCGACATCAGAAGCGCACTCTACAGAGCCATAGTTCTTTCGGGGGGTTCAAGTATGTACCCGGGATTACCATCAAGGTTAGAAAAAGAACTAAAACAACTCTGGTTCACAAGAGTTCTCCGCAACGACCCATCCAGGTTAGAAAAGTTCAAAGTGAGAATAGAAGATCCTCCCAGAAGAAAGCATATGGTGTTCATCGGTGGTGCAGTTCTCGCGAACATCATGGCCGATAAAGATCACATGTGGTTAACGAAACAAGAGTGGCAAGAAATGGGCCCCGCTGCCATGTCAAAATTCGGTCCAAGATAGACACGTTACATCTGTTACCAGAGTTACACTCATTTTCGTCAATACGGTATGTAATGCAAAGACAATGCCCCCTGTGCTTCACATGAAATCTTGTAAGTTGTCTTGTTACCCAAAAAATTATTCCTTTTAAATATAATACAACCGCTAAACAAAAAGCTACGTCTGATTCTGTCATTAAAGCCTGAAATCACCTAATCTGCGCCAAACGTCGTCTGCTAGTTCCTCTATTCTATCTGTGGATAGTTCCCTCTGATTAAAACCGTACTTAACAGAGTTTTTGATCAGATCACGAATGAAAAAATGCGTAACGGCGACCGGATTTACAAATGGACCTCCTAATACCTCATCAACTGTCCATCTTTCACTGGGGCTTCTTTCCAAACATGCCTTCATGGTATCAATTGCAGTCTTTGGTACTATGTCACCGCTGGGGGTCTTTTCAGGGTACACTATTTTAATCTTAGGATTCATGATGGCCAACAGTCTATTTTGCCCTTGAAATCCACCGTAGGGCGGCCTTCCATATATCATTTGGTAGATTATACAGCCGCAGGACCAGATGTCCGAAGGCTTGCCCACCTTCCACTTATTTTGTTCCGAGGACTGATCTGAGGTAAAATTCATGGCCACTAGGGTTTCCGGGGCCATGTAATTAGGTGTCCCAAATTGTGTCTCTCGGTATATGTTCACAGTATGCTCAGGAACTGCGTTTGCAATGCCAAAATCGATTATCTTGAGAATGCCCTTTACAAACACAAAGTTTGCCGGCTTTAAATCTGAATGTACAATTCCAGCCTCGTGGACCACCTTCACGCATTTCAGCATTTCTTGAGAGTGGTATCTGACGAATTCAACATCCAAGTGCATGTCAGACCGTTGCGCCAATATTTGCGATAAATCATGATCGCCACACTCCATGACAACGTGTAAAACACCAGAATTCATTTCATGGTCTATAAGTCGGACCACGCGTGGTTTTGTTTCAAGTTTTTTCATCAATTCTATTTCTCCCCTGAATCCATCAAGACTGGCGTCATCAAACTCATCAAACGAAACTCTCTTCAAAGCGTACACCTTGTTATTTGCCGAGTTTCTGACTTTGTAAACTTTTGATGTACCACCTCTTCCTAGCAACTCCAATTTTTCGTATTCTGTCCCATTAATACATACGGTTGGCCTTTTCCTCTGTAGCTGCTCTGAACCTGCAGTCGACGGCTTGAGAGAAACATGGTTCGTAGAGGTTGCTGGCTCCACAATTTCAACGTGCTTCTTCGCATCTGTATTTGGGAAATTACGAGGCAAATCGATCTCTTCAGGTCGTTCAACAGATACGATGTGCTCCTTGTTTGTGGTGGCCTGCAGATCCTCCATACGGCCATTTGCATGTTTGAGTTTCTTTAGTAAAGGCTGCTTAGTGCTGCTGCTGTTGATGTCAATGTTAGAAAGAACTTCTCGTTTCGGATAGTGGCTATTGCTGTTGTTGGGTGTCTTGATTATTCCATACTTTCCCTCTCGACTGATTTCGTCGTTTGCATCATCGAAAGCTTTTCGAGTAGTTGCAGCATCTAATGCAGGTGATGACAGAGCTTTAGATATGTTATTAGCTGGTCCTCCACTAACTTTCCTTCGTGGCTCCCTTTTCGTCAGTGAATGCTCTCGTTTTATAGGTTCGTTTTGTCTCAAGAACGGAGAGTTAGAAAGCGAAGCTGAAGCTGAAGCCGAAGCCAGACGACTTTGTATGGCGTCTTTGGTTAGACTGTTTTTCCTAAGTGCGACACTTCGGTTCTGGCCCTTTTGGCGCTCGAAATATGCCCTAGATATGTTTGGGAGTTCTGTTGTAGGTAAATTGTGTTTCTTGAGATATTGATATGGATTTAGTTCTCCAAATTCAATGTTTTCATATGTTGCGCTGGTATCCTTGTTACCATTCGTAGGTGGAAGCACAGATTGTTCAGAATCATGAAAAACGCTATAAGCGCTTCTGTTTTCAACTTTCGCCGGACTGTTTGTAAGTAACGGCTGAAAGCTATAGGAATCATCACCTATAGCGCTTCTATCTGGTGTAGTGTTAGAGGAAGATGCACGCTTTGCAGGTCCCAGAAGGCTCAAGCGAGAGGAAATGAATCTTCTGTTTCTTCTTCTAGTGCCTCTAGTCGATAGTTCATCTTTGAGAGTTTGTTGTAGATTTTTAAGCTTAGATGAACTTGGGCTTGCGTCGTTAAAAGTATAGGTTTTCCCGGAATCAGTCCGAGTTTGAGGAGGGTTAAAAGTAGTCATGCTTTGTTGGTTGTCTTTGAAGCTTCCAAGCATTGTGGAATCTGAATGGCCCTCAAAGTATGTTGTGGTGTGAGATCCAGGTGCGTTGAAGTAGGATCCTAGAGTGTCGTTGTTTTTCTTGTGAACTAGAGCACTTTCAGCTTGCAGTCGATGCTTAAAAATCTGGCGTCCTGGACCGATATTTTCCTTTTCACACACCAATGCAGATCCAAAATTACTCAGTTGTGGTGGACCAAACATATTTTCGTCATCTGAATCTTCTCTCAAAAGATTACTCGTTGCCAAATTTCGCGGGAGAGTTTGTAGTTCCCTCTTTCTCATCGGATGGGCAGGGTTGTCCGATCTCACAGATAAACCAGACATTTTGTGTTAGAATACCTCATAGATCAAACCAAGAAGTGTATATACTATCGAGCAGTTTTGCTGGTTTCCGCGAAAACTGTTGATAGCTTGATCAACGGAACTAACTAGCAACACAACCTTGATGGTAACTTTTGACACTGGTGAAGAAGTCTTTTGAATACTTGAGAGGTTTATAATACCACGGAAGAGTTGCAATTAACAGAAAGATGCCCTTTCACGGCTTCAACTGTTGAAGTTTGTCTTCTGGGGATAGATAAAGTTAGTTGTAGTTTACTAGAAAGTAAAGTAGTGTTTACAAACTCTATTGAGAAAAATATTGGGCGATGAGCATTAGAAAAAAGGTAACTTCGAACAGAGATTAGTATATATTTGAGCTCTTTTTAGACCTGGAATATACCGAGCGTACCTGAGAACTAGAACCTCCGACTCTCCTTCACTTTCAAGAGTTCCGAAACGACAGGTTTATTCAAGATTGACCCAGTTTAAGAATTGATGGCATCTCCTAGGATAGATCTTAGATGAGCTTGTCTGCCGACTTTCTTTCCGACAGCGACTCTGATAACGAACGTGACTATTCATACGTGAGGCCTACGCTAGCGCGGAAAAAAGTTCAAAGGAACGAAAAGCTAGAGGTTTCTAGTTTCAAAGAACATGGTCAATTGATTTATCCGACACAGGATAGAGATAATCTAGAATCACCCAAGCTAGTTCTGCCGGTAAAAGCTCGATATAATTATGACTTCGAGGTTTTAGAGAAGGAGCAGCGTATGGGTAGACCGGAAGAAGTGATTGACAAAACATCAACTCGTGAAACATATGCATTGGACGAGCCCCATGAGTGTCTCTCGGACCCTTCTGAAGGGCTGCCGAGAATCAAATCCCCAAAAAAAGGCGGACAGGATTTAACATTTGAGTATGGGACTCCCGTAGACGGATATAGGTTCGTAGGCAGCAGAACCGATTACGCAACATTCATTAGATCAACAGAACCATCATCATCCACACAAAGTCAAGCCTGCTCTGAGGAGGATCTATCGAGAGACATCAGCTTTGATCAAAAGTCTCAATCTGGTAAGACCTTGGACATCTCTTTGTACATGAATCGTGACAGCGCTAAGTTAAGAATACCAGTTGAGGGAGCGCCTTTTTTGGATGATGTCAAGATTGAGAGCATCGAAGAATCTAGGATTAGTCGTTTTCTTGAAAAGTGCGCTGTTCACCAGGAACAGGTATTACGAGAGCTTTTGAAACAGGAGAGAATTGCTTGGCATCCCGATAAGGCTCAAAGATCAAATGACGAAGCAAAGTCGCAGAACTTGATCAAGGTCACCAGAATTTTCCAGGCGATAAATAGCTTATGGGAGAAAACTCAATAAAATTGAAATTGAAAGAATAGCTCGACTGTATTCTCTTTCTGCGTTGTATCGCTCAGGGTTCCGGCTCTGAAGCACTTGCAGTTGTAGTATCCTGTGGGGTGGGAACCGTTTCCACAGTGGGTTCTTTATCTGCCTCTTCCTCCCTACCATCTTCGTCATCGTCCACCTCTTCTTCGTCGACCAAATCGATTTCTTCATCGTCTTCATCGTTCTCCAGATCGATTTCTTCAGCCTCTGCTTCATCTGAGTCTTTCAGCTTGCGTTTTTTACTTTCTGGTCCTTCTGGGTCTTCGACTTCAGATTGTGTTGCGTCTTTGTTGCTGTCCTTAGCTTTTTTGGCAGTATTGGTGTCATCGTCCTGTTCTGCTTCTTCTTCTACCTCTATATCGTCCTCCTCGTCCTCGTCCTCTTCTCCTTCTCCCTCTTCTTCTTCCTCCACTTCCTCGTCGTCTACATCTTCTGCTTCCATTTCAGGCTGCTCTGGAGGATACTCCTCGCCCTGTTCATTGTCCCATATAATATTGAATCTCGTTACTCTTGGTTTTTCAGCGAGGATGTTTCTAACTACCTGGTTAACCTGAACCTTAGCGGGTGGATTCTCTCTGAGCTCTTCATTGTCGTATTCATTGTTCACGTAGTATCCAACACGGACAAATTCTCGGCCGTCATACGAGCAACTCAGAAGAATCACCGTTACACTTACCAATTCACTTGCTGGGATGAGCTCTGGTGATGGTGGATCGGCAGTAAACTGAAATTTGTTTACACCAACCGGCACAGGGCCTACCAAAATGGAATCAAGCTCTTGGTCGTGGTCCAAACTACGAGACGACCCGACATACGTGAGTTTCCACTCCAAATCCTTTTTCAAGGGCTCTAAACACTCAAAGGTGATCTCAAATTCGTAAGGGTCAGCAAACTTGGCTGGGTTATTGAGCACATTGATCCCTAACAATGAAACGATTGACATGATCTATACCGAATTCAGGAGTAAGGAAAGGTTCGTTGGTTCTTGACCGTGAAACGATGCCAGACTGCTTATTGGTGAATGAAGTTTACGTGTTTTTTAACTAAGAACGCGTCAAAATTCACAACTCATTAGAAACGGTGTTTGTAACGTGATTGGCAAGTTGAGGTGAATATGCTCTCCTTTGATCGTGGGTCGAGCCCGGCTGATAGCTTGAACGATCTAGGCAGCGACTGAGGTGTATAGTGTTAAATTACGTGGCCATATAATTTGCGTAGGCTCTTTGTTTTTATAAAAATAATGCCTTGAAAGTGGCATCGAGAATAACTACAAAATACTAGACCATTTGGCTGAGAATGCCTTCCTGTTCGAAAGAAAGTACCCTTCGACTGTTTCGTTTTGAAGAGGACATTGAGTTGTATTTGTCTCTCTTTGGTGTCTGCGGGAGGGAGACGTAGAAAGGGTCTGAGGTTTCCGTGTTAGAGGATGTGGGAGCCTGTAGAGCCGCCAGATCAACGCTCTTGGGTCTGAGACTAGTGTAGGATAGCATGCTCGTACGGTGTTGTGAATCTTGTAGGTTTTTGAAGCTCTCGCCCTGCGAGATTATGAACTGGTCTCTTGACAAAAGCACCACCCCGCATATTAGACTAACTACTCCTGTGAGTACCACACCCAAGATTTTTGACAAAGATTGTTCTTGGTCGTTGAAAAACACTATCCCGTTGAAGATGTTGACAAGGTTGTAGATGCAAAAGACCAATGGGTATAGGATGGACGTCGAAAGGTGTCGCAGACCGGTATTGAGAAGAAATAGCTGTGTTAGTGATAGCGAGACGAAAACAGCTACCAGAATCCAGAATGACGAGTTGAAGAGATCTGCTGAGCCGTGCATCACAGCGTGGGTCACTACGTCCGAAACAGATTTAGCCATGAGCAACGAATGTGCGGACCATATGCCGCTACAACAGCCGTAACTGATGCCCTTGACAAACGTGGGGAGCGCCTGTGAATTGTACCAGGTGAGCGCCAGTACCACGCCCACCAGTGCATTGGTGCTGACGAACCAGCGTCTGAAAAGCGAGGCCTGGGCCAATTTCCACAGTTCTGCGAGAGAATGGGTTATAGAGTGCGAGGACGAGGACGAAACTCCCACTACGCCAATGACCATGCCGCCTGCGACGATCAGAAGCGTTGCCAAAGGTGTGCGCCACGAAGAATGCTCTTTGAGCACGTATCGCGCTGCCAGTGAGTTGAACAAAAGGCCACAACTTTGCAGCGGGGCCAACACGATCAATGGTAACGTGGCAATCTGCACCGTACTCCCGACAATGTTGGCCAGCAAAAACAGTCCGAGTCCCAGTTGCCACGTAGTGTTCCTATACAGTGATCGGCCAGGTCGTTCTTCATTTGCGACGAGTGCAACGTGTGTAACGCTGGCCTTTCTTTGAAGCGTCAAACCAAGCGACTGTGTCGCTGAAGACACCACGCCCACTACTATTCCAATGCAGACGATAGTGGAAGCATTAGCCATTTGGTTAGTATACGGTGTGACACCGTATTTTGCCAGCTTTTGTTTGACAGGTTCGGTTTGAGTGAACCCTGAGTAGTCAAGCGACAAGAATTTATATTGGTATATGTTTGAATGCTGTTGCCAGTAGAATGAGCCACGAAAAATAAAAAAATTACTCCGCGACGGGGAATTGAACCCCGGTCCCGGGCGCGACAAGCCCGAATTCTAGCCACTAAACTATCGCGGATAGGAAATACATGTGAATGGAGTTTGAAAAACGTGGGTATACCAGATTGACAGTATCACGAGCAAACCCTTGAGGGATCCACTCAAGATGAGAAACATTGAATCTAAGATTCATCGGATGGCTTGCGCATATTCTGGATCACTGCTTATAATGGTACTTAGCGGGTTTCAATGACTCTGGTGCAAATTAGTGTTTTCTTATGCATTCCACTAGTTGAATTAAGTTCTGGTCTTGATATAGTGTCGTGAAATACCGCTTATGTTGCCAGCTTAACAGAGGTTTACAAGAAAGAGGAGGGATCAATGGATAAAGACGTTTTTGAGTGCACCAGTTGCGAACTAAAAATTGGGAATAGAGCTAACCAAGGGATCTCGCTGCCTTTTTGAACTGAATATAATAAGACTCCAAACACTCGTTCGTCTTCTAGTCGATCTACTTAGCTCGTAGGATAGCGGTGGCATGAGCGAGATGAGATGCTTTGCTCTGTGGGTTACGTGACACCACTAAGTTGAGTGATATGGTCGAGCAACAAGGGAACTACAGGATAATAATGATGCTGCGTGGTGGAAATTGAACGTTGCATTAAGTCAAGAGACTGGTATTTGTCACGAAAAAAAAATCGTGGCATCCACTGGAACTACCTGAAACGACTTTCCCGGGCAGTGTACGTTCAGATCTTCCCACCAAGACCAAGATCGTAGCGATTTTGTAAGAAGTAGTAGTCTGCACGGTCGGACTCCCCACAATCTTTTTCGTCCCATATGACGTCGTCATCATCATCATCATCTTCATACCTTTGGAAGTCTGGATATATCCCCAGTTCAGCAAAGCCTACAAACCCTCGGTTGCAGTAATCATCGTGCGACGGTGAGTATTCGTAACTGTCGTGTATTGCGACGACGATCGTAGGATTTACCTCTTGGCACCCGACTAGAAAAGTCATTTCATCCCGTTCCAGGGAGTTCACATGCGGGTTGACATGAACCAAGCCGTACTCGTCTAGATAGATATCGATGTTGAAATCAAGCGCGCTTGAACAGTTCATAAATTGTGACACAAACGCATCGTACTCTGCTTGCAGAGTGCGATTATACGCTGCTGTCAAACTGAGAAGTAGCCAACTTAATGTTAATGAGAAAAAGAGAACCATTACGTTATGCTCGGTGCTAGACAGTCGGAGAAGAGAATGGATTTAACAATGGTTTACAAGATCATGAATCTGATGTAAGAAGCGTCTGACCATCGCACAGTTTATACTTATTCTCTCTCTTGTTTCACTGCTGTTTCACTGCCGTCACAGGATTGGCAGTGCGTCGCAATGTGATACCAGATGCCATAAATTGTGCGATGAGCTGGAAACAAGACTGAAGGCGACCACTGCATACGCAACTATAGCCTCAAGCCTACGGGTATCGATGGCAACAAAAACCGCTAGACGCTGATATTCAGATCCCATGACGTGTTTTCTCATTCGTCTCGATTAAAAGTTGGATCCAACCTCATTTTCCTCGCCGAGCCGATGCCCCACCATTGATGTGCTGTGATCACTGCTTGTAGTGCAAGATGAATGCAAGTCATTATCTGAGCAATACTCGAAATTCTCAGCACCATCATACCTCAAAAGCTAAACCTGTTCTCCAAAACTCTATTGCTGGTGAAAAACAATTTTCGACATAAGCAGTCGAGGATTTCGTGTCGTGCGATGGAGTGGCCAGCAAATGTTCTCAGCGGGTATATGTGGTCGCATGACCAAAGTCTGGCCGTTTGGTCATGAGAGGCGGTTGCGAAATAACGTCCAAGCGGAGAAAAAGACACATCCCATATAGGATGATTGTGGCCCTTATAGCTGAGAGAGATGAAAGATGGCTGGGTGGAAACCGGCTTTGGTTTTTGAGCCGATGGTCCAAAATCGTAGCACTTTTCCTTGATGGGTTTTTGAGTATTTTTTCACTCTACCAAGGCTTCAGGGTTTCCAGCTGTTGCTGTTAGCAGTGGTCAGAAATTAATGGTTCAACTTCTGGTGTCTCATGTCCAGAAACGTGCAGCTCATCTTCGATACTGAAGGTGTCTTTGAAAGTCTTGGAAATTATTTGCAATAACTTGTTATGCATCGTTCAGCCAGCTCCGCCTTTGAAAAGCCGCATTTAACTGTTTTAGCTTCCGTCTAACAAAACGTGAGCACGCTAATAATTAGCGTCCTTGTAGGCAATAGTCAACCACATTCCCTAGTTTAGGATGTGAACTTGGCACTGCATTGAGTAACTTGTTCAATGTTTCCTCACGAGGTAATTCTGTCGGTCCAGTGCGCTAACGGACACTATTTGCACGTTCAACGCCTTCATAGTGCCAACTAATAGTCATGTGGCAGTCGATTCCGTCAATATTGGAGCATTGAAAGTTCTTGGAGCTCGTGAGAAAAGCGGTGTGTGCTATTTCACAGTGCCAACTTTGCATCAAGCTGATGTTTATAGTAATATTTCCAATCCGGCTTGACAAAGGGTGAAGTTCAGGACAAAACAAGAACGGTAAGCTCCAGGTCTGCGAGTTGTGTCAGTTTTCAAGAACAGGCAAGCATAATGTTTTTTCGAAGGGTTTGAATGAATCAAAAACTACTCGATTCAATACCTAGATTCATCTATCTAAGTATCACAGCGCTTTTGGAGCCTTTTCGAGATTCTTGTGCATTGCAATATTGTTTGACCCATTGTTCAAGGTAATGCTGTTCAAAACAATCGAAACAGTGGTGGAAAGACATAAGAGGAAGAAAAGACACTTCGGGATGCGTGAACCGTTTACATTTCCAGATTAAAAAGCTGACTTTGCGGTGTTGACTAAAGGATGAGCACGGACTGGGGACGAGTAGGAGTAGAATCGCGAGTGTCCGTGTTGAATGACGGTTAGCAGCATTATTCAACTCCAGCGGTAAAATGGAGCTATATCTTGCAAAAAGGTGAAATACCACCTCTTTACTTGTGTCCGAAGGTAATTAGCAGGCAGTCGGGTGCTGTAGCGTGGAATATCAAACCAGAAAGCTTCGTGGCTTGTTTGAAGAGGAGACATGCACTCGAATCAAAACGCAGATTGTACCACCATAAAGGGGATGAAGCTACTTATGAGTAGCTGAAAGAAAACGATGCTTCAACCATTGGGGAGAGGTTTGCGAAAAAACAAGAATTTCTAGTCGGCAGAAGAAACTGGCTAAGATGAAGTCTGAACTTTTTCTCGGTGAACACTGGAAAGTCTATCGTCAAACACACCGAAAGAAGATTAGTATCCCAGGTTGAGGTGTACAGTAATCTGCCGCCGGATGATAGGTTATTGGGGGTGGAAGACGATTTTAATGGGAAAGATGTCGAATTCTGACGAGGAGGGCAGGGCGTCTCTTTTTCGGATCAGAAAGCAAGGGGAGGTGCAATGGGTTAGCGGTACCAGATCGATTATATATATTAATAACAAAGACGACAGCGTTTGTCCTGGATCAGAAGCAAGGGGATTTGAATGCGTAATCCAAAGCGTGAGCGGCACGTGATCCATTACATATCAACCACAAATTATCAAATCAAATTCAAGTTCCTACTAAATAGGGTGGTGAAGCCTATTCTCAAGGCTATGTGACCGATGTTCTTAGCGAGCATCTGCGCGATGCCCATCATAGTGGTATGTTGTGTCTACCCGTGATAACTAATCCGCTCGTTTGATATGCTTACGAGTCTGGATATGGTCCGCGTACAACACGATTTCGGACGCTCAGGGCCAGACACCACTACGTATAAAATGATCGATCCACCAGTCTACAACAAGGACTCTTAATCTCTGGTCTATTACCAGGTCCATTACTCCTACCGTGTCTACTCGTCCTCGAACGGCGTCCACAGCGGCGTTTCGCCACTGCCATCCCAAATCAGGTGACCTTTTCCAAAAAGAAATGAAATCTAAGCAGATATTCAATTTCCGCACCTCACACGGCACAGACCTGGCCACAGAGCAGATATGCGAAACACCACTAACAGCGTGATGATGGTGGTGGTGGTGTGTTTGACGTTTCAGAGAAAATAGCCCGATGAGGCAAAACTACCACGCTACAACTAGGAAACACAAACAGCTGTTTGATGCACATTTGAAGCCGTAATGGAGAGTTCACTGCACTATGTGGTTTGCTTTGCTGTGGTTTGTCTCTCTTTGCTACACTCTGCCTTACTCTGCCTCACTCTGCCTCACTCTGCCTCACTCTGCCTCACTCTGCCTCAGCCTCTAAGTCCGTAGCCTCACTCTTGCTACATGGTGACACATGGAAATCTCTACTAAAAGTCCAGGCCTTGCCTTCCATCTCACCCAAACCGAGCACCGGCTACCGATCCGGAAAAGATCAAGCGTACGGCACACCCGCGTATGACGCTCTTCGAGCCTCTCACTGGCCTTCCCACTAATCTTCTCCACTAGCTTCTCCGCTAACTTCTCCGCTAGCTTCTAACACCCATTGTGTCATGCACACTTCCTTCGCCTTCTTCTTATTCTTTTTCTTTTTCATTTCGTCTCGCATGCCGAGACTGGGCAAAAAAGAAATCCTCGAGCGTTCTGCGTCGTTTTCGCGCGTTGGTGTGACGACGCCGCGCGTCGCTTGCCCAATGGGGCAACGCCACGGTTACCCGCTCCAATCATGTTTCCCGATCCGGCAACGCCGGATCGATCTGCCACACCGTGCAACCGAGTCCAGGCCCTGTATGTCCCAATCGGGCTTTTTGGTGAAAAATCGGATCCTCGCGAGTATAAAAGAAAACAGTATGAGACGGTGTGGAGAAGTTTGGACAGTTCTGTTCTGTTGGTACGGTTTGAAGAAAGTTCTTAAGGACCTAAAGACACCACATCACACAAAAACCCCGTTTTTCAGATTCGCAGACTAAACACAGCTTATCCACGCTAGTCGCAAACTCTCCAAAACTCCCACATTCACTTAAAGCTTTTACGCCAGGTTATCTTACCGTTACCTTCATTTTCCGCTTTCGTTTTCGTTTTCGTTTTCGTTTTCGACCTAAGTTTGTTTAATCTACTAAACAAACTACCACACTCCTTTTGGCGCTCGAAACACACACCAAACCCACATACCCAAGGTATATTTCGATTGATTGATTGATCATTCCGTACGTCAAATCATCTCATCGAAACACCCAAAAAAAAAAGTTTACACGTGACCAAAAATACACTTTTAGTCACTCATCCCCACATCCACACACCGCATAATGTTGGCTCATCTCGCAATCATTTCTGCTTCGCTTCTAGCAGCACCACTCGCAATTGCAGCTCCTGCTGCTGCTGTTCACCACCACGATCGTCGTGACGCTGTCACCGTGGTCCAGTACGTCGACAGCAACGGTAACCCTATCAGCAGTGGTTCCGGCGCTGCCACCAGCTCCGCTGCCGCTCCTTCCTCTTCTGCTGCTCCTTCCTCATCCTCTTCTTCTGCTCCTTCTTCTTCTTCTTCTTCTTCCTCTGGCTCCTCGTCTTCCGGCTCGTTCCAAGACGGTACCATAAAGTGCTCCGATTTCCCCTCCGGAAACGGTGTTGTTGAGCTTTCTTGGGTCGGTCTAGGAGGATGGGCCTCTGTTATGGCCCAGGACGGTAGCACCTCTCAAACTTGTCAGGACGGCTTCTTCTGCTCGTACGCTTGCGAGCCTGGTATGTCCAAGACCCAGTGGCCATCCAACCAGCCTTCTGACGGCAGATCTGTCGGTGGTCTTGAATGTCGTAACGGCTACCTATACCGTTCCAACCAGAACTCCAACAACTTGTGTGAACAAGGAACTGGAAGCGCTAACGCTGTCAACAACAAGGACTCCCAGATTGCTATGTGTCGTACCGACTACCCTGGTTCCGAAAACATGGTCATTCCAACCGTGGTTGGCGCCAACTCCCAGCAGCCCGTCTCGGTTGTCGATGAAGACTCCTACTACACCTGGGGTGGCAAGAAGACTTCTTCTCAATACTACGTCAACAACGCCGGCGTCAGCCAAGAAGACGGTTGTGTTTGGGGTACTGATGGCTCTGGTGTTGGTAACTGGGCACCTGTTGTCTTGGGTGCCGGTCACACTAACGGTAACACATACTTGTCCATCATTCCTAACCCAAACAACAAGACTCCTCCAAACTTCAACGTCAAGATCGAAGCCACTGATGGCTCCTCTGTCAATGGCCAATGTTCGTACGAAAACGGTCAATACACGGGATCTGGTTCTGACGGGTGTACTGTCACAGTTACTTCTGGTTCAGCCAACTTCGTCTTTTACTAAACTGTTCAAGATAGAACAAGTTCGAAGGGCATAAAACACCCACGCGCATATTTGTTACGTGATACCCATCTCATTTCCTATTTTCTGGAGTGAGATTTTTTCTTTTTGGCGAGAAGGAAGTTTATGAGCGTGTGATTTGTACAAATAGTCACACTGCTTTCCTGACCTCGCGTGTGTTATTACAATGAGATCATTAACTCGATTTTCAACTGGCTAAGTTATCCTTCTACCCAACCTCTCTATTATGGTTCTTTCGTTAATGGGATTTATCGCCTAAGGCGTTTTTTTACTAGTACATACGTTTAGATTTTAACAGTTTTCATCGGTAATTGTGTCATTTTGATAATGGCTATTGTGTGCTTGGTACTGGTCTCCATATGCATGATTTGTTGTGCGTACATGAGTTGTAGATTGGGTGACAGCTGCCACTAGCGATTCCGCAAAAGCTACAAGGTCTGGTTTCTCTGTTGATCGCAACACGGGGTGAAAGACTAGGGTTTACCACGCCGCTTTGCTTCGTCTCAGGATCGGACTAAGTGTCTATCATAGAACAATCTCTTAAACGCGGAAACCAAACACTTTTCAAGTCGTTGTGCGACCCTGAATCTTTCGGAAAGCGGTAGACAAAGTTGAACTCAGCTTCTTTGGTAGATGCGGTGTTGTTTATATTCACAAATTTCTCATCCCAGTGCATCCTCTCAGCACTCAAAAGCTTTTCGGTCGGATTGAAGATTTCCATCTCACGCGTACTAAACAAAAGCCAGCTTTTTGCGTTTTGAAAAGGCGTGGTATCTACTGCCTCCAAAACGACATTAGTTGCGTTAGTGATGGAAACCCCCATATGCACCACTTGTAGAGAAGTAGCGGATTTTGGTATTTCAAAGTCACCACCGTACAGACAATACATTCCAGGAACTTTACACCAGTCATTAAGAACCAATGGTAGATCTCGCAACAGTAATGGGTCTGTACAGTCCGGCTGCCCGTAAATGGCCACCCTTATGGAGCCGAAAAACCCGCCATCCGTTACCTTTTTGCACCACAGGTTGCATGGATACTTTCTACCACTCTCCAACTCCATTGGACAGTAATACTCCGTTTTAACATCATGCGATAAGTTCATCTCACGACTTTCGCATTCCATGGCAAAGAACCTGGGATTTCGGAACAAAACGCTGTAAATGATTTGCCAAGAATCTGACATAAAGGGAATGTTGCTCAGTTCATCTCCGTAGCTCAAACTATTTCTCGCATTGATCCTTCGAGCAGCCCCTCTTTCTTTATCCAAAGTCTCAATATAACGACATACACCGTTTTGTAGTCGGATCCAGTAAGCTTTTGGCTTCAATTTCAAGCAGTGCTCCTTATAAAAGCGGTTGCTCAGACGGTACCATTCTGTGTTCAAGAAAGCCAATTGCAAATGTGACTTTAGTAGTTCTAGTTTGATCTCGACAGGCAGTTCATTCAGCATCCTATGTCACAGTATGGAAGATTTCGACTATAAAGTAGGAAACGGGAACTTCAAATCAGTCAACGTATATAGTAGTATTTATCAAATACAGAAAATAAGGCCTACTAAACCAAAGTTTTCCTTAGCTACTTAGCAGTTGACCCGTGCTGAGATTCCTCCTCTGGAGGACACACAAAGGCACCGGCCAAAGCCAGCGCTGGCTCGTCAATGTTGTGATGCGCATATGACAAAACACCAATACCACCAGCGTCAAGTAGGAAACTTGGGTTATCAACAAGATGACGGTAAGATTTCAACGAAATGAAGGGCACGGTATCGTCTTGGTAAGTGGGTGGCTGGGGCTCTTGGCCGTCGCATTGTTTCTCTTCGCCCATTCTCAACCAAAGACCTGCAAAGTAACGTAGAGCATGACCGTGGGCGAATACCATGATGTCTGAAGCGATTCCTTCTTCTTGGTGTTTCCTGTGCAGATTCTGGATCCGGCCAATGACTCGCGAAAGTCTGAGTCCGATTTGCTCGGTCGTTTCGCCGTTTTCACAACCGTCTCTCCAGATATTCCAGGGTCTGTTCTGGTCCAAATTGCGTGATTTACGCAATTGCACGATCTGCTCGGTCAAAAGACCTTCATAGTCACCGTATTCCCATTCTCTAAGGTCCTCATCGACCACCACCCGAATATTGGTTCTTTGCTCCTCGGTCAAGTTCTCTAAAATGAGTTCTACTGTCTTTTTGGCTCTGATTCTGGGAGACGTAAAAATGTAAGTGATTTGGTTGGGGTCGATAAACTTGTTGCGAAATATCGATTCACCTGTTCTCTTCATCTGGCCCACACCATATTCAGTTAATGGTAGGTCCGTGAGTCCTGTGTATTGGCCAGATTTGGACCATTCGGTTTGTCCGTGACGAACAATGATGCAGCGAGGTGTTGGTGCTTTCGCCATGCTGGAATAAACTATGCTCGCTAGAGACCTTGAAAAAGAAGAGCCGTTGGTTCAAAGGCTTTGTTTGCGGGACAATATGCTTTTATAGAGATGATCCGAGGTGCTTTCCCGGAACGATTCTCGCCGCTTCCCAGCTGTTTAATATGGTAAGGGCCGAAAACTCACCACGTGAGGGTCAAATAGCTTCGATGGGAACTGTCTGTCGCTTATGAGATAGTGCGAGACATGTTGAAAGAGTTGTTACTTGATTGCTCGGGGTGAGTTGAGAGCTCTGTAGCATTTTGTTAGACAGTTCACATCAAGTTTTGGTGCAATCGGAAGCATTTTGAGCAAGTTTGAGCCAAAGCAAGAGCATCGGAGGGTTTCATCTGAGGTATGAATGGAATTATAAGATAGAGAACGTTTGTAGCGTAGTTCCATGGTGTGGTGCCGTTTTTCGAATTTTGGGTACGATACGGCGGAGTAAAGGTCGTTAAAGGGCAAATAGAGAACATTAAAAAAAAAACAAACGAATGCTAAGCTGAAAGGTATCGCTTTGTGATTAAGGATAGCATTGATGTTTTCGTCGAATTTTTTGAGAGGGTTCAGCACTGGATGACAGGATTTCGCAAAGATATTAAAGCAGCGAGAATATATGCCATGGAAGGAAAACAATAGAGTCAAAAGGTTGCAAACATTCATTGAAACAGTTGGAACTTGAAGATGACTGTGATTGAATTTGACTATGCTTATACTAGGGTTTATCGTGTGAGAAACGAGTTTGAAACCTGCACGTGACCCAGCGTCAGCGACAAAGGAAATAAAAGTGATGAACGCGCGGTTTGTACAACACTGCCATCATGATCAGCGTTTGAATAAAGCTGCACCTATGGATCCGCTGTAAAAAAAGACATCGTCATCTTTAAGAGGTCAATCGGACGTTCTGACTCTTTAACACGCCAATTGCTTGAAATTTCATGCTCACAGAAAAGAGCAGTTTCACAACTTTCAAATTCACAGCACATATTTCATCAAATATCGTCACTTGATAAGCTATTATTCAACAGCCTCAGCAAACTATAACGTTCAGCTTTTAATCCTGGATTTGTATCATGGTCATAATCCCGACCTCTCGATGGTGCCTCACAGGGCCCTATCAGAGGATGCAATACAATACTTTCTGGCACCAATTGAATCGCATTTTAACTGTCAAATGTTCGAAGAAGCATAGACCTCAATCGCCCAAGATTTAAGACATGCACCATGTTTTTTCAGCATCCAACACTGTTTGCCAACTTTCATTGTTCGAGAAGCGGTTCGAAAAAATATGGCGCCGCTTTAAGGGATCGAAGAAAAAAAAGTATAAAAGGGAAGCACAAACAGTTAATGAAACTTCACAGACGACCACAATTTTTGTCCTAAAAACGTCAGTAATCGTAAACAGCAATGTATTATCCTACATAGAGACATAAAACACACAGTACGTAGAGAGAACTGGCCAATGGCAATCTATAGAGACCACCAGAGACATCATTGCTGAATCTAGAAGTATTTCAGATCTGACGAACATTTGCCGCCAAAGTGTTTATACAAACAAACGGCTCAGATTGAAACAGGAGTTTCTGTACCGAGACAGTTATTGCAAAACCGCGGAATAGATCATCACAAAAGAGGAGATATATGTAGTAGCGTTACCCCTGAGTGTGAAACTGGCTAACAATGTCAGGAATATATGTGGCTAAGGGCCCTGATGATAGATGACGGAGGCGTATGAAGTGATTCATTCTCAATTTAGTTTCTGTCTCATTAGTTTACGGGTAAGAAGCGAAGATGATGAGATGTAGAATGTAATTTGACTACATACAAGACTAGCATATTTAGATGACGCACAGTTTGAGTTGCTCGCGGGGATGAGAAGTTGGAATAAATGGGCTCAAGCAGGAGTAATTTTTTCTCTGTTCCTACTTTTTAGGCTTCTGGTAACTCGCGAAAGGGTCCCAGATCAAACGTCTGATCTGCAAACTTTGTTTCGGCAACCGCGGGTACAACGACAGCGCAATCCCGATGCATCTCTGTCCAGACCGTTTTTGGACAAGATCAACAATTATTGGCTGGTTACCGGCAGCACACAGATTCGAAATCTGGGCACGTTACGACTAACTTCGCGCGGCCAACCGGGCCAGCATGGTGCCATAGTGTCAAACGGTGCCGGGGATAACGTGCTGGACGATTTCGAAACTGTAGTTTGGTTTAGTATCTCTGGCAAAAAGGGCCAGGGTGTGCGTGGAAAGCGCGACATGGGTGACGGGATAGTTTTCATGATTACCCCAGAAAAACAATTCGTGTCGCTCGATCTGCGGTCTTCATACGCCAAACAACAATACGAGCATAACTCGGGAGGTATCTTATACAGCGATCGAGAGCTTATGGGCCTGCCACGAAATCTTCCAGGGCTAGCCGTCGTTGTCGACACTTATCGAAATGACCCAAAAACCAAGATCAATGCGCCTTTCGCCAATGTCTTGCTCAACTTAGATCCACAAAGACACCATTACGACGCTGCATCGGACGGTAAAGAAAGCACCGGTTTCTCATTGGCAGGTCCTTTGAAATTGAAAAACTCTCTTTTATCGGGGACGGACGTCAAGCTAAGAATCATTTCTTTGGAAAGCATCGGGTTCTTGAAAATAGACATTTCATATTCGGACCACGATAACTGGATCGAGCTTTACCAAAAGGATAAGAATCTTTTTTTGCCCAAAAATCAAAAAACAGGAGAACGTTACATTGCAATAGGTGCTCTAACGGGTGAGCTCACGGAGACTGTGGAAATTAAACAGGTGGAAACTTCAGAGTTTCATTGGGACGCACAAAATGACGATGAGTTTGATTTGGCTGAGGAGATGCAGTTCTTCTTAGCCCATGAATATGGTGAGTTTATCCACATCAAGAAAGATGAGCTCAACGATTGGGAATCAGCTAAAGCACAGGGAAAAACGAATTTGGACCTACACTCCAACAAGCCATCGTCGTCGTCAACCATTTCTCTCTTGAAATGGTCATGCATTATTATCACTTTATATGGTCTTTCGCTCACATTGCGGATTGCATTGAAGCGCATACACATTCTACGGGCCAAAAAACGTCCGCGGAACATTTTGGGTTGAACTTCAACACCACCATCATTTTTAAAAAGCATTTACGATTAACTCTGTACATTTGTCTATATACAGGAACTATTTTCAACTAAAAACAGGCTAGGTCTTGTATTTTCCAATTTTGTTTGTTTGCAGAAAGGGCGGGAAACCCTCTCTCTCTTTCTCTCATTTCTCTTTTTGGAGTCGTAACGGAACTGGACACCCCACAACTCCTGTCTAACGCCAAAAATTCCGCTCAACAGTCTTGACTCCGGGAGTTTATGACTCTTGATTAGACTGAAGCCCTTCTTGGCTAGTGTGTCCTTCAAAGCATGGTCAAAGGAGTATACATCCACAAGCAGTTTCATGGACCTGTCAGACTTGAATTTTTGGCTACCTGTCTGGATATTTTTCGTACGAAGTAAGGCCCAGTCAAGCAAATCCTCGATAATACCACTCTTGACGTAAACCCTACGAGTCCCGATAGCTGAAACACCCATTACCAACGAGTCTGCATTGGACACGGCCTCATTCTCCGATACACTAGCCAGAGCGATCGGGGTATCTCTGTACACGATGATTTGGGTGTTTTTTAGCTTTTCAGTCGGCTTGATGATGCTATTAGCCAGTTGTTCAAGCTTACAGCCAAACACCAATTCTCCTTCGGATTTAACCACAGCGTCCACTTTAGCCTGGAACAAACTTTCCGTTAATTTTGATAGCAGGGTGAATGCGAAAGACGTAGTCATCAACAAAACTATACCTGCTGTCAGCAGTACGGTTTGGTTCATCAGCACAAACTGGACTATAAACCCGCTAGCACTTCTGGTATTCTTGGGCAACACAGCATTGGGAGCAAGATAAATCAAAGTACAGAATAGCGAAAATCCCAGCGTTTTGGGATGCCATATGACAGCTCTATTTGCCAACGACTGCTGCTGTTTCAAGAAATCCACGCTCAAGTTGAGAGATGCGTTCGCCAATTCTGGAGTCAAGTGTGTCCCGTAGATAGTTGGAGGCGCATCTTTGTTAATTGGTTCGTGCAAAGAGGCGTCGATCTGTTTGATAGGACCTCTGATTCCTGTCTTCTTGGCCATGATATACTTCCAGGGATGCTAGTTTGATTCCCTTGTATGGAAAGTTCGATGGGTAGTGAGCTGTGAGAGTGTCTGGCTCTGCTCTTTTATAGTACCCACCCCAGCACCTGTGAGATCTTTTTTCCACGATAACACGTGGTAGCTGAAATTCTCAAAAACATTGGCACATGAGGCCCATTGCCGAGTCCAAACGTACTCATGACTCGATGCCCTGCTTTTGACGTCAGTAGAAACCCGTCGACCACAGCTGCAAGACAGAAATGTGCACACTGTGATTGAATGTTGTCTCAGATGTATCATGGACGTTACACTGGCGACCGCTTCTTATTCTGGCGTAGTGTAAATTGTTCTCAACTGAGAGTAAATGTGTTGTGAGCTTTGGGCTTACAAGCTTGTCGTCTCATACAGAGAATTGGCGCATGCTGTTGGCCTGAGAGGTATGGTGAGTAGTGGCAAGAGAAAAAATGGAAGGAGCGCCTGGGTTGCCGGCTGTGTGACGAGTGCGGTCTAAAATGCTCGCTGGTGGTATGCCAACGGTGCTGGAGTTTGTATCGAGCGTCTTATTGGACAGAACGGTGGCTCTTGTGGATTCCAGCGATGCAACCTCCGAGAAAACAGAGGATTTCGCCGACGACGAGCAATGTGACACCAACGGTGCAGTGCTGGCATTGTCGTGCGCTTGGTCGAAATCGAGTCGCAGCTGGTTCGAAGCAGGCGTAGAGGAGTCCTTTGTCACAGATTTATCCCACATCACGGAGCCCGTTGGTATATCCCGATTTCGATATTCGTGTTTTAGGTCCTGCGTCGTTGCATTCTTGGACCTCGTTTTCGGAAGCTCAGGCTTGCTCCGGCTAGACGTTTGGCTTCGTTCTGGATACCTTCGTCCTTCCACACTTTTGGAATGTGTAGTGGTGGTGGTCTCGAAATGAGATGAATCCTTGTTGGGCTGAATTATTCGTTTCACCCACACCGACAATTTACGTTTACGCTCTGGTACAAGTTTTGTGTTAGTAGGAGAAACATTTGTGGACTGGAGACAATTTCCATTGACGCTGGAATTGAAACATACCTTGAAAGCCGTTATCATGGTGATTTGAAGACATAACGTGTGGTTATTGTTGATCCTAACTTCACTGGACAGCGTTGAGAAACCATTACTGACTTATACCAGTATGTTATATTACAGTGATGAGATGCTAATTCCGTCGCGTCACATGATATGAGACGTCACGAAAAAGATGTCACTGACAAAGTCACCTTGAGAAGAACAGTGGTTAATGAGTGGTTAGTATTTGAATAGGTTAGATAATGATTTGCTCACTTTTTCTTTGTAGTGTAGCTAGTGATCTTTTCTGGACAATACAAAAATTGATTCGCGCTCGAATGATTTGCTGGTCGCTAGCTACATAAATATTGGTCGCTAGGACGGTAAATTCACACAATAGTTCAACGAGACTCCTTCGTCAAATCTGATTTTATGCTTTCAATATTTTTATATTTCTGTCGCTGTCATTTCTAACAATGGCGATTACGTAAGCCTCGTTGGTAATCGTCAACTAACAATAATTGTGTTCAATACTTTTCTTTACCACTGTAAGAAAGCTCTCAAATATCAACCAGAGTTTGAAGTAAAAAATTCGGTTCCATCAACGATACGGCTTCACTCCTTTTTTGGTTGCCCACCATTAACGTCGGCTGCTATCCGTCTAAATAGTTAATTTACATCAATCAGCATCCGTCACATGCTCATATACTCTGAACTACCGTCATTTAACCGATCCTAAGAACCCTAACTCGGTAGTAAAACAGCAACATCCCACAAGAGCAATGATAGCTTTAGACAATATAAACTCTCTTTCACTAACTAGCAAGTTATATTAAATTATCAGAAGGTTTTATAGCAAACATAACGCCAGACTCGAATACTGTCACGGCCCAAATATATATTTATATATTCTAGGATCCAACAAATCCAAAGAATAAAGCATGCTAAGGAGAATTCCTAGCGAAAATTGAACAAAGCAGATGTGGAAAACTCAAAAAGCTTTTTTACCTTGTTCTCGAACGGTCCTTTTTTTGATTTTTTTTTTTTCGTTACACTAGTCTTCCCCATATCCAGAAGAAAAATGCACTTGTGCGAAATTTGGTGATGTGAAGTGGGATTTGTTACGAAGCCACAAAATCTGTCTGCCTAAGCAGCTTGCTTGGTAAGGTTTTCGGTGGTTTGAAGCACAGAGGCAGCCCTTTCGCTGATTTCATCGGAAAAACCCTTGGCCTTGGGCTCGACGACGTCAACTCCGTGAGCGACTCCATTTTTCAATTTCCCTATTGTTAACTGACCTAGGTCAACGCCCGTAGATACAATAGCTCTCGGAACACTCTCAGATTTGCTGAAATTGCCTTCGTACTTTTCAGAAACCGTTTGATAAGCTGCATCGTAAGTGGGCTTGATAAACTCACCGTACTTTTCAGTAACGTAGTCTCTAGTACCGTTTATTCTATCTTTGGTTGGATCAATGTATCCCTGCTGCAACTTCGTTCTGGTGGGCCCGATGTAGTCTGACTGCAATTTGGATTGTAGTTCGTGACCCAAAGAACGGGTGGTTCCTGCTAGTTCCTTTATATGGGGCAAGTTGTCGGGGTGTGTGTGGCCGTTCGACGCACCTCCATCAATGTCCAATTCGTGTGCTGCTTCTGCTGGTCCAGAGGGTTTTTTGCCCAGCTTGAGAGGCTTTACCACGAGTTCTTTCAAAACCAGGTTTGAGACGTTGGCAAAATAGTCGAGCAAATAGAAAACGACCCAAAACCCGGGCTTGCCGCTGTGTGTGTGATACTGGCTTAGAAACTCATCGAGTCCCTCGCGCAAAACTAAAAGGTTGAACCACTCGTCCAGTTTCCGCACGCCAGCAACGCCGGCGTTGTAGCCCTTTTTCACTACCTGTGGCGACTTGGGGGAGTCAACAGCAACCAGTCTGGCGCGGTATAGCACTGTGAGGAATGCAGAAACCGTGCCAGAGACCACGGAGTACGATAGCAGGTAGTTAAGCGTGTTTGTGAGTGTTTCGTACTTGTTGAGATGGTTCAACGTTGCGGATTGGCACGATGCAAACCGTGAAACTGTGTCTTTGTCGACTACAACTCTGACCGAGTTGTTTTGACTCATTGCAGCAAAGGAGTTGAGCAAATTTCTATCAGATGGGTCGTCAATTACAGACGCCAGGACTTCAAAGTAGCTGTTCAAAGTAGCTAAAACTCCACAAATGTGACGATTGGGTGCTCCTTTCAAACGGTATGAAAACCAAAAAGGGGTATTGAACGGTTACTATTATTTTCGAGCCTCTTTAAACCGCCAAAAAACGAACGGTGTGTATACTTATATCGACTGCCTCAATATCTGAGATATAGCAAATTTCCAGAAGAAAAGCAAAAGTGTCGTTATTTGTCTTTCAATACTCAATAGTGAAGCTCCTTGCGGTAAATTTTGTAACCAAATTGAGTCCTTTCACTTAGTTTCACTTAGTTTCACTTAGTTTCACTTTCTTAAAGCGGCTGGTATTGTTCGCAAGGGGCACGAAAAGCATCTCTTCCTTTATATAGTCGTAAGTCAAGGGGAGGCCTCATCCGAAAAAAATCTGGTCATGTGAGTTTTGGGGTTCGGTGTTACCCGAAGAGATGAACACCGTCCATAACGACAATAAACGGTTTGTATACCCAACCAGACTCTGGCTATCCAGGATCACACACAAACTCTTAGGATCCAGTTTAGGCTTGCTTACATTCTGGAGGCTGCTCTTTGGAATTTGTTCCAACAGGTTTGAAGTCGCTGGGATCGCTGTCTTCTTCGGATTCACCGGCGTTTCCATCATCGTCATCGTCATCGTCTTCATCGTCGTCATCCTCATCGTCGTCGTCGTCCTCTTCCTCGTCAAATTCGGAGTCGAACTCCGCGTCCTCGTCATCTTCTTCGCCGGCATCATACTCAAACTCGATCGCAGCGCCCGTGAACCAATCCACAGCACGAGGAACAAGCTTATCTTTGAACTCTTCGCCAATGGCGTAGTCCAAGGCCAGACGCGACTCCAGTTCTGCGACTTCTTCGGAGTCTTCTTCTTCCTCATCTTCGCTGTTGTTCGCCTCTTCATCTTCATCAGGGTTAGCGTTTGCTGGCACAGATACGTTGGTCTTCTTAGCAGGGACCTTGGGTGGATCGAAAAAGTTGAAAAATGATTCGACAGGCGTAATTTTTTCGATGGTACGCACCTGTTTGGTTGTCTTGTTGCGCTGCTTGCGTTTTTCAACAGATACAGTTACGTTGGACTCGTTGTCGGTCCATTTGATCTCGCAACCCTCTGCGTGATCGTAAATGAAGTCCCCTGAGTAGCCCAGTTCCGACTGGTAGAAATATGTCTTGACAAGCTCTGTGTTACTGAAGTAAGGGTTTTCCTCGTCAAACTGGAACACCAATCTAAAACCGGGCTTTCCCTCAGATAGATATTCGAGTCTGACATCTGTCAAACACTCTAACACCTCTGCATCGGCACGGGTAACCGTTTGCGACACCATTGGCAAGTTTTCAAACGCTGTCAGCCAGAAAGATGGGATACCCTTGATCTGGTCTTCCTCGTCTTCCTCTTCGTCTTCCTCGGCTTCTTCAGCAACGGTGTCGAGCTCATCTCCTTGCTGTTTTCCGATCTCAATTTCTCTAACAGAAGGTTCTTGTTGTCCAGAAATAATTTCGTAACGACGCTTGTGAACCGGCCTGTATTTCTGCAAGTATTTTTCTTCCAGCTCAAACATTTCAAGTTGAAAGTCCTTCTCTAGGTCGAAAATATCGCGTTGTAATTTTTTCAATGCATAAATCCGGTCTCTAACCGCGTGTGGCAAAGATGCCACATAACCACTATCCTGACCCACCAGGTCACCCAGTTTGTCTTGAATAGAAGCAAGCAATTGTGGGTTATTTGCCAAAGCGGATGTAATGTCCTCCTCCTTGATTGTTTGCGGGACTGAACGTGCGGGATTCCCATTTTTCAGGTAAGAGCCCGTCAGCACGCTGGAAGGAGTGTTGTGGGGGGTTGGAGCAGCATCAATTTTCGACGAAGTGGTCTTGATTGGCTTAGACATTTCACGTCTTCCACTTGATATTCTGTGAGTGAGTGTTCTTGTGAGATGTGTTTGAAAGTGAAGGGAAGTTATATCCAAGATTCTCAAAAATTATTTAATTAGGTGTTTTCTGTGTCACATGATACGTAATAGATCAATTTTCCTAGCGGGTTCACGTGTAACAACATTTTGGAAAGTGTTGATTTGGGTGAACGAATCCAGGTTTAGCTGCTCTAGATGATTGTTTTAGGGTTTTTGAAGTAGGTTAATTTCGTTTTTAATTGACAGCTCGTTGTTTGAGGCGCAAAAACTTTCGCATAGAAGCATCTGATATTCTCTAAGCGTTCCAGCTTCTCGTTTCTGCTGAGAGTTAGCCGAATACTCTTAGAAGTAGAACAAAAGTTAAGGAGAGTCAGACCTGAAGTTCAAGATCGTTTTCAAAATGCCACAAATGCTAGCATGAAGAAACAGTCACGTGATAGCTTGTTGCTTAGGAGTTTATGAAGTTCTTAGTAGATAGTCTTACAATGTGGTAAGTAGTGCGGTTTAAAAGATTTTCTATGGGGGAACAAAGCGACGACTCATTCTAAGGGGTGTCACTATTGATACAGTCTGTGAACTGCCCTAATGTCACAATTTCTCGAACTAAATCACGGGAGTCACGTGCCCAGCTTGGACACAAAGATAGTTTTCTTGTCTTCATTACTTACTACCAAGCAGGAGCTCGTAAAGTAATGGTAAAAGCCTATATTCTAGTTTCTATACTCCAGAAAGTTGTTGAACGGGCTTAGAGCAAAACTCAAGAACGGTTCTCCTCACTTATATAGTATCATTTGGTACCTTCCTTGCATCCTCCTCTCGGTGGCCAAGTTGGTTTAAGGCGCCAGACTGTAATGTTATCACTGTAATCTGGATATCGGGCGTTCGAATCGCCCCCGGGAGAATTTTTTTACTACAGTAAATTAATCAGGCAATTAATACACCAATTGCCTTAGCGCCCTTTCCATACAGCAAGGGTATGACGTACTACAACTCTTAAGGAGTCTGTTTTTGACACTGCTTTACTAGTAATAAGATCATGTCCCATTACTGACAACATTCGTGGGTCTGTTCTTCAAGTTATCACTCCTAGCTGTGAAGGTATCGCATTTCTCGTAGATAATGAACGATATTTTCCAACCAGAGCTGTATTTCGGGTTGACCCGGATTACAAAATCGCTACCCGGATGTCCAAAAGCGGGTAGTAAACGGGTAGTAGCTGTATACGCATCGAGTAGGCGGGGGGTACATAAATTAATGTTTACAACTCATTTCCGGATATCTCGTATGCGTGATTCAGATGGATCACGGATGAGCAGCTTGAGGCTTTAGCAAATTTGACCTAAACAATGTACGTTAAATATTTAGATTTTTGACGCCAGGATTTTTCTTTACGCGTTTCGACTCTTGAAAGGGTATCTAGTGCAAAGGATGCGGGTTGCTGGCGGGTCGCGTATTATTTTCACTCGAGTAATAGACGAATCAACGTGACAGCGCGAGCGAATACTAAGTGGGTTTCTTGAATAGGGGTTACCCAGCCTGAACTGGTACCCGAAATACAGCTCTGCCGGAGAACAATATATAGCATTGAACGAAAACTCCAAGAGCGTTAAACGGTTTGAGATAACTGTCCTGCAGGTGTTTTCCCAAAGACTCTCGATCTTGGAAACGACTTGAAGGCCCCTTTGGAGGACAGATAGTTGTCTGTGGGTTTCAAAGATGAAATTCATGTGCAATTGCGGTAGACGACTTTTCGCCTGATCAAAAGGATAGGCTTTTGTTCGTCCCATACCAATCTCGCGCGGTAGTTTGTTCTGAAGTGTTACTTGCCTAAGAAAAACGTTCGCTTTGCCTCGATAGTGATTTATGTGGCTTTTCCTTGGTCTAAGCTGAGAGATAAGAGTCACAGGGTGGGCAGAACTGTGAACACCGTCGTTTTCGCAGAGAACTGGCGAAACGGGTTTTTATGCCAAAAACAAGAGGTGATGCGTGAGATCGAATAGTTGTTGGAAAAATCTAAGCGGTTGTCAGCGACTCTTGGCTAATCCGTTTTCGAAGTCGTTAAGCAGTTGAACATGCGTTGCGCGATTAAAGTAGTTTTGGTATTTGGCATGTTGGCAGCAGCAGGACCATGGCATGACTTGAGGAGCTTCATGAGCTGGTTCTAAACAACACCAAGGACCAAAAAGCACTAGAAGCTTGTGGATCGGCAATCTTCATGATTTTTGCTTAGTTCCTTGAGTCAATTGTGAGTGTTTCTGCCCTGAGTGCTTGCAACGGCTTGAAAACATGGAGATAGCAGAGGCGAAGGGCCTTTTAACTTTGAGCTTCGCCGGCTACCCCGGCAGAGTGAGGGATACTTGTATTTCCGTAAGATGTCACGTGCTTGTGGTGTCATTCGATAACCAAGTTTTCAAGACTATATCCGACACTCGTCAGTCAAAGTCATCGCGCTATCCCGTCATCTCTCTACTTATCCACTCTTCCTCATACGGTCTGTATCTACAAACTGGTATGATAATCGTACATCAATCTATAAGTATTTGATCCAAAAGCTTCCTAAACAATGCTTGTCTCCTCCTAGTTATGCCAACTGATCTTTCTCCCCCTCGCTGCGCTGCCACAATAGATTTCTCATGCATCTTGTGCCGCTGTCCTTAGAAGTTATGCCCAACTTTCACAACTATCTTAGAGTGCCAGGATTGAAATTATCAGGTTCACTATTACCAACTACGGCATTCGCTCGTACTGAATGAATACAACACATCAAGAGATGACAAAGCGCAGGATTCGGACAAGCAGGATTACCACATAGCTGACTCTCATACGTCGCCAACCCTTCCAGAATAGCGGCCCCCATTTCCGCACCGTGCGTGAGCACCAATATATGACAAACTAAGTCACTTGATCGTTGATGACATCGTCCTTTGGCTGATGCTTATAAATAATACACTGTGAACAACAAAGCCAAAATAAGAAAGGGTTCCCATGAAATTAAGTAAGGACAGAACTTCAGGGAACTTCGGATACCCTCAAAAGGCTCAGAGCATTACTGAGGAAAGTTTCTAAGAAAAAAAATGCAAGGGAAGCAGCAAGACATTGGGGTGGTGGGAAAATGCATTTGAAATCAAATTGTAGGAAAAGGCATTTGAGATAATGTTTGGGAAAAGTATATAAACCGGATGCTTTCTCCGTTTGTAGAAGAGTTGAATTTCTCTCTTTCCAGTGTTCCTTTCAAGACACATCTATCATTCAAGTAATTAATTACAACACTCAAAAAATGGCCCTACCAAGTAAAGTACTTGTCGCCCTCACCTCTTACAATGGTGTCTTCTACGAAGACGGTTCCAAGACCGGTGCGTTCGTTGTTGAAGTTTTGCACCCTTTCCAGGCTTACAAGTCCAAAGGTTTTGAGGTGCAATTCGTGTCTGAGACCGGTACCTTTGGCTGGGATGAGCACTCGTTGGCCCCAGACTTCCTAGACGGCGACGACAAAAAGGTGTTTGACGACAAGTCCTCTGACTTCAACAAACACCTACAGACCATAAAGAAGCCCAGCGAGGTCAACGCTGACGATTATTCGATCTTTTTCGCCTCTGCCGGTCACGGGACTTTGTTCGACTACCCAACTGCTTCTGGGCTGCAGCACCTGGCTGCCAAGATTTACAAGAATGGTGGTGTCGTTGCTGCTGTGTGTCACGGTCCAGCCATCTTCGAGAACTTGATGGATTTAGACACCAAGAAGAACATCATCGACGGTAAGTCCATTACCGGCTTCACGGATATCGGTGAAGTGCAATTGAGTGTCGACAAACTGATCAAGGAGAAGAAGCTCAACACCGTTGAGCAGACCGCTAAGTCGGCCGGTGCCAAGTTTTTGGCTCCAATCGGGCCATGGGACGACTACTCCATTACTGACGGTCGTATCGTCACTGGTGTCAACCCAGCCTCTGCTCATTCTACCGCCATTAGATCGATGAACGCCTTGAACGCTTAGAAATAGTGTTCATGACGTGGAATTCCATGCTTCGAATATTCTTTTACAGATTGACTCGCCGCGAGGTACGACGAGGGCGCCTAGATGGTTTACAGCTGAATACATGTGTACACGAATTTTATGAAAAATCAGGGAAAAAGCGAAGGAAGTACCTGTTTACTTGGAATACACCTTGCTTGGCGGATGATGGTAACCGCTACGGAAATAGATATGTAAAAAGGAGGTGTTCGTCTTTTCGTAAAACAAGTGCGGATTCTACAGGGGATCCGAACAACGCGACGTTCGAATCGGTACTCCAAGCGAGTTTCTTGTTCCAGAGTGGCATCGTGCTATAAAATTCCTGAGCCTTCCGGGATGCTGTACATGAATTTCAAAACCTAAAATGCTGCCTTCTTAATATTAAAGTATGATTTGAGTCGTTTATCTGGCTCTCATGGGGTGGACTTGAGTTGGATCGAGTATGCCCTTTCTACGATCTTTTTTACCGTGCATTTGCAAAATTGAGTAGACACCGCTTAACTGGTAACGTGTTACGTCTATTATTCATCACCGGTACGTATGGGTGATTTCTGGCGTCCAGGATCTAATTGCAGCTTAGGAAAGTTGGTGACAACTCCTCTTTGGCGCTCCAGACTATTTCATTGTACTGACGCTGTCATATAATCACATGACCTTAGTCACTCTGGATTATTTTGACGTCGTACTGGCAGAGATCGCGACAGTATATTTTGAACGTGCTACGATGGGAAAGTTGAGAAACTAGCTGTCAGTTAGAAGTGCATACCCGAAGCTATATTATGTAGTACTAGGGACGGTGTCACGTTCAATACGAGAGCAAAAGTTTGAGGTGATTTTGGCCGTATCACGCTGTTAAATACTATCATTTAAAAATGTGCCGCAATTCTATATTTAGTGGAGGAAAAGCTACATTCACCATGAGGAAGCGCTGATTAGTTGCAGTGCAAGCACATCTTTGGTGAATGCAAACTGGAGAATTGAGCAAGCGACTAATGGACGGAGCATGTCTGATGACTTGGTAACGTAATTTTCTGATATCCTGCACGAGTATCGAACAAACAAGCGTCTTGTACTAGCTGAATAATTGTTTATGTAGTTGAGAGAACCTCAAATTACAACGAATGCTCATATGCCAAACCTTGACGCCTACCATGCACCATTTTTCAGCTTACGGGATGAATGTTGATGAAATTCAATATTATCTTTCAATTGAACAAATTGTCCATCGCGAAAAGGAAAGCTCGCTTCCCGGCGTGTTGGAATACAATGAAAAGTCCGATGTGATATAGTGCACCATCCAGTCTGATAATTTCATCGGTGCGTGGGTCAGTGTGTATCAGTGCAGCTTAATTTTTTTACTCGAAAATATATCTCAATGATCCTATCTCTGTATTCTTCATCTCAATGGGGTTGGATCTGACATTGTTGTAGACTTGAATCTTAACAACGGCAAGCTCACTTTGGGTTTTGCACCCCATTTTGCAGGTTCGCTTTGCGCTTGAGAATACGCCAAGGTTTCCGAAAGTATTGTAACTTTAACCAATTCCTCCGGCATCTTTGATCAGCTGAGTTTGATTTCGTCTTGTCAGGCTAGGGAGTATTTTGCATGGAAGATCTTATCTCACATCTTTCTTTGCATTTTTGTGTTAACTTCCATTTAGGTAGTTGCCATTCTCAGGAAATTGTCCTGCCTACTTGAAATGAGTGATGCTTTGTACCAATTCCACCCAGGCCAGATCTCATGGTCTCGTCATTCTGTCCGATGAAGCGCTTGTATTGTGACTTTGGTTTAATCCCTGACCTAGGAGCCAATTCTACAGTGCGCTCGAAAGCCAGGTAGGTACACGATATTGAATCACAGCAAGACAAGAGAATCCACTTTTCGTTACCATTATGTCCTCAATGCTCCAAGTAGAATTGACCTGCCAGGGATGTCCCTCGAGTACTAATACCCTATCCTCTTACGTTTTTCTTCGTCTATGCTGTATCTACTACAGTTGTCGATGCTCTGATGATTATGCTTAAGGTGAACCAAATCTTGCAAAATCCAATTTCTTTCACGAAAAAACCCACTTCAAGAGCTATATCTCAAAATGTGTCCCTGATAAGAAGCGCAAAGGAGACCACAGGGGGCTGTGTTGAAATGCTATGGCATTGATTGCTTGAAGAGTTGTTGGAAAAACTTCGATCTGCCTTCTACGAGCGCACAAACTCCAAACTGTAAGACATTGCAAACCCTAGTTGACGTTGAACGAAGTGATTTGACTAGATTCCACTCGGAGCATTTACGATCATTCGGTCTTCATTTTCAATCATCGTACAGAACCTCCGATTGCTCGAGGCTCTTGCCGACCGTACGAGAACAAGAAACTTAAATTGCTCAGTGCGCGGGACCATCAGTTCGTGAACGGGCCCGTGCGACTACTAAAAGAGTTTTCATTGGCCTTTCCTGCTCAATTCGGCTGTGTAGATACGTTCCGAGCACCATCCTAGGCTCTACGTACAAAACGATGAGAAAAATTCGCTCAACGCAGGGTCCTCGAACTCGTAAACGCAAGTCCATGGTACCACCTGTTTGGGACCATAGTCACCAGCAAGGTTACGAGGCAGGTTATATATTCGATGAAGCCCGGGTGCATTAAACCTGGGTGCACTCTTTTGAATTTAATATTTTTAAAGAGCTGAGATACTCAGACCAATGCTTCATACATAAACAGAGCTATGACCGGAGTTTTTTTGCCAAGAAATCTTCTGGTGCCTTCAGAAGTCACGTAGGCCCATTTTAACTTCGCAAGATAGTAAGTAAAGATGACCGGACGACAAAGCTTAGGGACCAGAATCAAAGAGTATCTAGGAAATCCAGGGTGCAGGCCAGATGTCAATCACAAGGCTCCAATATGTACTGGCCGCGAGCTGTTAAAAGCGGAAGGAGACGATTCAAAACATGAACACGACGAAGAGGTACGAACCGTGGGTGCCGAGAGCACCGAGGGTAGCACCGAAAGCGACAAAAATAGTTTTGACAACGTTGAAGTAGGTTTAAGCCATGGAAAAATTTGGACGATGCTCAATTACACTGGTTTGAAAAAAGCCTCTTCGGACAAGATTTTAGATCGGCTGGTCGATTTTGCTGGATCACAAGTGGTTTTTTTCTTGATGTGGATCATATTGATTGTGTGGATCGTCATCGGGATTATTTACAAGGCACCGGATAATTGGCAGATCGTCATACAAGACGGACAATCGATTCAATCCTACTTCTGGGACACACTTTTGATGCGGCAACAACTCAACAGCAGCCACGAGCATGTTTGGATATGTGCCAACATCAGGTCACGTTTGAAGACCATCAGAAGGCTGTGTACTATGGAGCAACCAAAAGAAAAAGCGTCGCCAAATGCGACAGTGAAAGTAAGTTCAAGTTCCGGACAACTGCCCATCGAAAGCTGGTATGACAGAGTGTGTTCGAAAGCTTGTGATTTCATCGGTTCATTGCCTGTCATGATCATTTTCTGGCTCGGCATTTTCACTTGGATTGGCTGCGGTGCTGTGCCAACAACTACGGGTAATAAACCTCCATTTTCTAAGAGCAACCCTCAAAAGGCCAAGTTCAGCGACGAATGGCAGCTTTATGTCAATACTTCTACGGCTGTTATCATCCTAATATGTTGCGTCTTCCTACAGAACATCAGAGCGAGACACGAGAGGTTTATTGCTAAATTCGTGTTAGCTCTCTCAAGGATGGACGTAAGCATCGAAAAGCATCTGAGAACCTACTTCCGCGATTTTGAAACTGAGAATCCTAACATATGTATTCCAACTCACCATCGCAATCGTCTCTCAAAATGGATCGACTGGTATGCTGATATCATTGGAACTGGTATCGGTGTCTGCATTGCCCTCGGCGTGATTGCGGTTTGGATAGCCATTGGGGATCCCATGTCTTGGAATGGCAACTGGTGGCTCATTATTGGGACTTACACCGGGCTGGTGGGATTTCTGGACGGATTCGTGCTGAGACAAGTATACTTCAAGATTGTTCACCACGAAGAGAACAATTATGAAAAAGTTGCAGAAGAGGACTACGACCTGTTCCAGACCTTAGGTATCGAGCTGCGCGAGGAATGTGTCGTACACTCCGATTCTTTTGCCTCGCTCAATTCTATCACCTATCGTATTTCCTCGAAGATCAACTCAATATGCTCATCTGATTGGAGTGTGGTTGCTTCCGTGGTCATTATTTTATCTTTGATCATCATAGCATCTGGTCTCCGCTGGAGTGAGACAGCACAGTTGATTTGCAATACACCCACTATGATCATCGAAGCATTTTTCCTCATTGTTCTACTTCAGGCTCATGGTTGGGCTGACAAAAAGCGCAGGATGCAAGTGGCCGCACTACACGCCCGTAGAGTTGCCCTGCTCACGTACGTTGAGGAATCGTATCCACTTTCCTGCTAACTTATATACGATAAAACACTTATACAACGGCATACATTTAACAACATGGAAACTCTTCCTATAAGGTCGGAACCTCCTAACGTCTAGCGTAAGGTTCCGTGTCGTGGGAAGATCATTACGTGATTGAACCACGGCCCTAAAGCGAAGAAATAGCAAAAAGGCTGAATGAACAACCGGGAAGGATCGAAGCACAGCTTTATGAGTTACGGCTACTTCAAGCATTTGCGGTCAGCAGTTTATTTGTGGGCGGCCTTGTACAGGATGTACGGAGTCCCCTTCGTGAGTGAGTGTCAGATTTAACACTTACGGGACACGTGACGACATGACAATGACAGAATAATCAAAATAGCCCAGATACTTACAAAACTACAAGTTTTGGTCATTCAGTCACATTGACACCGCCTATAACAAGCAGTTCCCCCAATTGGGAACTAAAATGGGTTTGGTGCCTTATGCGGTTATTAGTCTCTTAGAATTTGTCAGTCAAAATCCGCGCGTTTCTTTGAGTTGAAAGCTATCTGCTAGGCACAACTGGCGTATTACATTATCACTTCATGTCTTACAACAGAAAAAAATCACTCTAAGCACCGATTGATACTCATGTTACCATGAAGGCTTTTCTGAGATATCATTTTGCGACTCATGGCGCCTTTTACGATGTGGTGCAAGATTTTGTCAAGAGTGGCACAATGTTGATACTCCCGTTTCATGATTTTTGGATATTTATCTTCCTCTGATGAAGAAAATTATATTTTGCGCAGTATTAAACAATGCTAATGCACACGGTGGAGTAGTCCAACGTTTTTTGTTGTTCGTGTGAGTGACGTCGAAGGTCGTTCAGATTTCATGACTGTTCGGTCAAACTGTCGCTGTCATCGTACCACGTGTCACTGCTTACCTCTAGTATACGCCTGAGTCAAGAGAATGGTTTGAAATGATGGAAGAGAAGCGTTCTCACTTTGACTTGTAGGGTGAAAGTATCCGCCAGACGATTTCACAGTTTACCTAGTAGAATTAGACATGCCACCTGTGCCAGTCGCATCATGACACCGAAGCCTAATGTGATTATTTCACAATTCTTATGCTGTCATTACGGTATATATGGTATATGAAACTCGGTACATAGAGTCTCACGCTAGACAAAAAGAAGTTTCCACAGCTCACTTTACAATAGATCAGCCGGGTCACTAAGCGTGGTATCGACTTCATCAGTTTTTGACGCTCAATTGCTTCACATCAAAATCTAGAATAGTGAAGACGTCGTCGACACCACTCGTGATTTCCACAGCACCAATGTAGTTCTCTTCAGATAAAAAGAACAAGTTAGTTGAGGTCGACGAACCATCGTTGAAGAATAGCTCAATGAGATTCCGGTCGATGATACCCCGAACTTTGAAAATAGGTAGGCCGTCTTCAGCAATCTTGAACGGTTCGATGTTTTGAGAAACTCTGTTGGTGAAGAAGGGATTTTGGTTGACGAATTCTACCTCTGAATTACCTCTGTCAAGGAAAAAAGCAGCGGCATTGTGTTCGTAACCCAATCTCAAATACTCTTCATCATCTTTAACGCCCTTGAAGTATAAAGACATATCAGCAAAGTCGCGTTTCGAGAGAACCGCAGTTGCATTAACTTTCCACTCAACGGAAAACTCCAATAGACCCTGAGGATACTTTCCCAAGCGATAAAGAACAGACTCGTCAGAGTTTAGCTCCAAAGAAGTTTTATGCATAGACTGGTTGGTATGCAACTGAGTATAGTTGACTAAAGGCTCGCTGTACAAAGTGAACTCAGTGGTTTCCGGGTTGGGGTTGTAAGGCCTCAATGTAAAGTTACGGACTAAGGACATCGATCCTCTGTAATCCTCAGCGGGAACATAAGCACCATAGTCCCAATTGGAGGCCCAAGCAATGCCTAAAACGTCGTCGTTGGGAGCATCAGAATAGGTCTGTAATGCATAGAAGTCTTTGCCATGGTCAAAAATACGAGTTGCTGAGTCCTGAGCAGTGAATGTTTTACCGTCGAAGTCACCAATGAAATATTCGTTGAAAGAACCGCCCATTGGAGCACCAGGATTTATACTCAAAAACATGACCCATTTGTGATCCACCGAGGTGACATTGGTTTGCGCGGTAGCGTTTGTGGTAGAGTTGAGTCCGTGCAAAGTAACGTTGGAGGGACTTTCGTGAATGACTGGTACTTTTGCTAGACCTGGACATTCATACTGGTAACCAAGAATACCGTGGTGAGAAAAGTTAGATTGGAATTCCCAGGAGGTGAGGTTTTCGGAGCTGTATATTTGGACCTTGTACTCCTGCGACAAAGCCAAGGCCATAATCCAGCGCTGGGTTTCGTCGTGCCAGAAGACCTTGGGGTCTCTAAACTGGGTAGAGTTGATGTCCAGAACAGGGTTTTGCTCGTAGTACTCGAAGCTGTATCCACCGTCCAGAGAGTAGGCAGCATATTGAGTTTCGCTTGTGTTGCTATGCTCAGTATAAAGAGCAACAATTCTTTGGCCTGGCAAAGTCGAATCGTTGAAAAATCCAGAGGTATTGTTGTGGTCCACAACAATCGAACCAGAGAAGGCGCCGGATTGGTCGTCCCTAGGCTCAATTGCGACGCCGTGGTCTTTCCACGTCATCAAATCTTGAGACGATGCGTGGCCCCAATACAATGGTAGGGAAAAAACAGTATCGTTAGGGTTGTATTGATAGTACGTGTGATAAGTCGAGGTCTCATTATCGTAGAACAATCCGTTCGGATCGTTCATCCACCCAGCGCTAGGAGTCAGATGGGCAAGTGGCCGCTCGGGACTATGAGTATTATTGGATCCAATGGATCTGTCAGTGAGCTCGAGGGCATTGGCCCCAATTACAGCAGCCAAACCGGCAAAGACATGAGTTGCAGATTTCATTTTCAGTAAACTTGATCTGTGTTGATATCCACAAAACAAAAAGAAGAAAGCTAGAGGAGAAATGCATCTCAATGTGTTTTGCAAGCGCCTTTTATAATCTGAAATCGTTGCGTCTGAGCTGTATTGACTCGGATTTGTCTTGCTTTGCTGAGCGCCATTTGGGATTACACTTCCTGCTGTCCGTGTGATGTTTGCGACAATGATGTCTTCCGTTCATGCAGAGAAACTAATGCACTGAACCCCAACCGGCTCGGATCGCTGATCCGAGCAGAAACGGCACTTTTTCCTCTCGCGAGAAACACTCGCACATTTGATCAAAAAGCAATGTCGGAAAAACCTTGAATTCTAAACGCCTCGAGGAACAAAGGGTTCAACTTGCATACGCTCGAAGGCTCAGCTTCCCGCTAATCGAGCTATGACGTCTGCGGAAAAACTAAAAATTTAATTTTTCCGGGGACGCACGAAGTAGTCAAAGCGAGGCTTACGTAAGATCCAATTATGTTTTTTTTTCGGAAGTTAACATTTTTAATTTTTCCGGGGGTAGTGCCTGTAGTCATGCTGCGCTCGAGTAAGAGTGAGTAAGCCATGTTGACGACAACAGAACCGAACAGTCAGGAAGTGCGGAATGATACGAGGAACTTCAAGTTCACACCCATCGGATATTGCCGCACGTAAGAGGGGTGTGGCACCACTTTCATCCTGCGGGATTGGCCATCGTTGCTGTCGAACTCTGGTTGCCAAAGCGCGCAAAGAACGACGTTGCAAAAAAAAAACCTGTTCAACCTCGAGGGTATACGGGTGCAGTATCAACGATCATATGCTCGAGTATCGTGTTCCTTTTTTGTGAGAAAGTTGGGACGAAAACGACTCTGAGGATATGGAGGGACCACCACAAGTTTCAGCCCACGAATGCGGAAAGACTTGTGGTCCAAAAAAGTTATGGGTTTGGAGTACAGGGAGCTAAGGTACACAAGCATTTAGTAGTGTAGTGCTCCAGTCAGTTTTCATATATTGCCGATTTCTTCATATGAACATGATGACTTCCCAATCGGAACTCGAGCTTCTTAGCCACATATCTCTTTGATCTCGACATTTGATACGATCAGCATTCCATTAACTTTGGCCTGAAGTTTCGCGGCGGATTGGCATTGTAATTATGCTTAGTGGAACACACACAGCTTCATATGAGGCAAGCCAGTGCGAGTCTTTGAAGGCCTCCCAAAATCAATTTTACTACCGCTTCCAAATGGTCTACATTTAAAGTGCTTTCGAAAAATTCAGCGTCTTTTAACCACTAAGGGAGCTGCTTGCTATACTTGCCCCACCAGGGCCGTTGAAACATTATCTTTGCACCTAACGGTTTTAGATACATTGTTAGAGAAAGTACGTTTGACGCACTGTTGAACTACCAATCCGCAGGAACACACTTTGTAGTTAAATTGCACCTCTTGTGAGAACTAAGACACTCGGTGTTCGACAAAACTCTTGAAACTGTTCGCTCACAGCATTAAAGAACCATCGCCGGTCAATAAGCAACAAGCGTATTAACGTACTGTCCTAGTGTAAATTTCATCTTAACTCAAGTATATTGTACGGCGCGCAATTACCAATTGCTGATATTTCAAGTCAGATAGTTCTTCAAGGGTGTCTATTATTCGTCAGTCGAAACGTATCAGAGTGGTTGTGGATCCCACTTGTGTCGAACCCCATAGGTGGATACTTTATACCTTTAAAACTCTTCCAGGTTTGTTCGAATTTCTCAATGCCAATCACGAGATGAGGATTTTAAAATCCATATATAGAAGAAAGTATGGTAAGCAAATTCATGCTTACAACACTTAATCTGACTTAATCGTAGTGTTAATCAGCGAGACCCTTAATGATAGCGATTTGAGCCGAATTTTGTATAGCTTAAATTGTCGAAAAAGATTATGTGAAGTGTCCCAATCAAATCGACGTTAGCACAATCAATACACATCACCTAAACCAACGACCCCAAGCTACCCTCGACGCTTCGATCGAATATTCTTGCTAAACTCTATTCCTATTTGGAGACTCGTTTGTTCAAATAAAACTATCATCCTAACCCACGCTTTACAAAAACATTCACAGATGAAAAAGAATAATGCTAGGAAATATGAATGTCCCATCCCGAAGTGTGGTAAAAGCTACGGCAAACCATCCCTTTTGAGGGAACATGTAAGATCACACAACAACGAACGACCATACGCGTGCCCTGAGCCTAACTGTACTAAAAGTTTCTTGAGAATATGCCATTTGAATGTGCATAAGTGGTCTCACTCCAGCATCAAACCACTTACATGCCACCACTGCTTCAAAGGATTCACTACAAAACAACAATTGTCACGACACGAAAAGACACATACGAAAGACCGCATCCTCTCCCACGAGTTGTCAACTTCAGACAAGATAGAACCTTTGCACATACGCACTTCTTCCGATACTGGTGGTAGTGAAACACCCTTCAATTGTGCTTATGAGAATTGTAACGATAGCTTCACAAGTGGATGGATGTTAATGGATCATTTACTCGAAAAACATCTCACAAGTGTAATTGATCCAGAATTCGCCGACTCAGAACCACTTTGGTTGTCGAGTACCACTAAGCCTGAAATCAGCAGCGAAGAACTGGAAGCACATCTAAAGAGATACGAAATTGCCTTAAGCAAGGATCGTAAGGAAGAAGCGGAATTGTGGGACATGCTTCGTTGTAGGCATCATGAATGTTCTGGCTGGTCCGCAAGCTCAAGTTCCGCTTTAATAGCGCACTACGAAGAGAGGCACGATATTGTACCGGTTTCTTTATTACAATATGGTTTTCAAGATAGTTACTGGTTTCCAAAAGAGTGATGAGCATCTTTAGTTAAGAGATGGAGGTGGAGAGCAGGTCCAAATAGTATCAGATAACAACTTACTGTCAGTTCTTAACAGACGCCATCTTACTAACTTCTAATAAAAAGTTGCGAGCCTTATGTATCTGGCCAGTACTCTGAGCATTGCCAAAACCGTTGACTTGTATTGCCGGGTGCATCACAGACGGATGACACCGCAATCCCAATCAAACTTGAACCGGCATAAATTGTAACAATACACTATTAGACAAGTTTCTCTGCAACCCCTCGTCTCCAACGGATTTCCGTTTATTTGGTACCTTCGCGGTGAACGAGAGGATGCGAATTTCCTCTCTTTCTGTTGTGTAAAGAATTCAAAAGGAAAAATAGTTCATTAGTCTTTTAATTGTATGGAATCCTATCAAAGTTGGGAAATCCTATCAAAGGTAAGAAATCCTATCAAAAATCTAAACAAAAACATGGATCAGCAATGAATAGCTAGCCGCACCTAAAATCATGCTTGTTATTCTACATGAAGGTGTATATAACCAAGATTCTCAGCTAATAGATGTACCAAAAAATGATGTTTTCGCTCACCTCAAATCTGCAATCTAGTCAGTTCAAAGACTGAAGTGGAACCAGCTCTTAAGGCAACAGAACTTCTAGGATAGAATTTCAATTCATTACATCATACTCTTGAGTTAAATGAACGGTCGCGTATCGAAGCTCAATCGGACTTTGATCGATGATTTCGGTCCATTCTGGTTTGTAACTGTTATGGGGACGGGAATCTCAGCGGACATCCTACATTCATTTCCATATGGTACACGATGGATACGAATCTGCTCTTATATCATGTTTGCCATCGCTTGTATTCTCTTCGTGACTTTGCTATTGTTCTGCATACTTAGTATGGCCTTGACCGCACGAGAGCGGTCATTACGCTACTTCCCAAAAATTTATCTGTTCGATCACAATCATAATGTATTTTGGGGGGCTTTTTCAATGGGGATGGTCACAATCACAAATTATATCTTTCTACTGGCGGAAAACGAGTTCCTTGGCAAACCAGTTGCCGACCGAATGATAAAATTGGTTTATGCTTTATGGTGGTTGAACGTGCTGCTGTCACTTGTTTCTGCTTGGGGCCTTTCATTTTGCATTTGGCTCAAGCATAGTCAATACTGGAAAGTAGATTCGAGTCCGTCTTGCACGAAGACTATGCAACAGAACCTTCAAAGCGTGTTACTATTACCTGTCATTCCATTATTTGTGATATCGTCCAGCAGTGGTATTTTTACAATGTCTACTAGATTTGGCCAAGTGATGAGCCGCGACATTCAGCTCGTAACGTTGGTCGTAACATCTCTAATTTGGTTTAATGCCTTCCTGTTTTCCTCGTTCATCATGGGCACATACGTTTGGAATTTATATGTGAACAAAATCCCACCAGTGAACATGGTGTTCACAATGTTTCTGATAATTGGTCCGATGGGACAAGGCTCTTATGGAATTCTGTTATTAACTGACAACGTTAAAAAATATATTGAGCAATACTACCAAACAACACCGAGTGTCGGTGATGTACACTTTGTCAAAATTGCAGTCCAGTGTTCTGTCAAAGTTTGCGGTTTCCTTCTAGGCTTATTGCTCATTGCGAATGGAATTTTTTACACCATACTGTCAAGTAGCGCCATCGTTTTCTACCTCCATACGCTGAGGGCAAACCACACTGGTTTCAAGATTTGCAATTTTCATAAGGGTTGGTGGGCAATGACCTTTCCATTGGGAACAATGGCTCTAGGAACAAAAGAGCTATATTACCAGTACAATCCATATGTGCCGTTGTCGTGTATAAGAGTTGTCAGCGCTACTTATTCTGTCTTGTGCGTCGGTACCACTGTCGTCTGCATTATAGGCTGCATCAGGATGTATTACGTTCCAGTCAAGAAATTTATGAAGCACAGTTCAAAGGACAACGAATTGAGGCACAGCACCATATAGTTGATGTAGATACAGTAGATAATGTTCCAATAAATTAACGTTCAGCAGCATAAATGAAGCGAGTGAGAATGCTACCTGCAACGCGGCACAGCACCCAAATTAGTCCGACAAGTCAGGCACATGGTATTACTCTCATTAGGTTCAGTTTTCTAACGTTGATATGTACCTTCGTGACATCTTAAAAAAAAGTTGATTGGGACTAAACCCGAAATAGCTGACACATAATAATACCAGGCATTTGCATATCTCATTTATTACAGTTAGCCCATACTTTAAATCGTCACTGGCTGAATTTCATAAACCACTCCATAACTTCTTGAAATCAAACGAACACCAAATTGTATAACATCAGGCCGAAATATTTCTATTTTTTATTGATCGCTAGCCGCTTTGCTTTGTCTTATAGTAGACGTCAGAAACACTTTTAGCATGACAATTACCGGTAAAGCACATAATCGACCTCTGATCAAATAACCAGCAGAGCCTACATCTTCATAAAGTCATAATAAAATTTAAGTAGCTATCAACATATCATGAAAGCATCAATAACTTGATGCATTGTACGTGTGGTTAGAAGGAGTAACTTCAATAATCGCCGGTCCGTATAGGATGTTCGAATCTGTCAAGTTACTTGAATTGCCTCCGGTAAGGAACACGTAAGATTGTCCAGATATTTGTTGTGGCACAGTTGCGCTTACTGAATTTCCAGAAGCTCTTCCAGTGACTGAAATGATTTGCAGTCCACTCACGAAAGTAACGTATATCTGGGTCGAATTTGACAGAGAGCCTTGACTGGCTAATGTTATACTTGAGTTTACGGAAAGCGGCGAGCTTTGCGTTAAATTCAAACCTGGATAGGTGTGGAAAGGTAACTTTGCATTACTTGAAGGGCAACTTTGAATGAATTTGGAAGCTATCGAGTAGATTGCATTTCCGCTCAGTGGTGTCGCAAAAGGATTTGCCATTGGAATTTCACCGATAGCATTGCGTGCGGCAGCTTCATGTATAGCTTCTGTACTCATGATCGCTGCTGCTGCGGTGAGATATTGTTTAGATGAAAGCAAAGGTGCGGCGCCAAGGTACGCCGAGGTACCAACACCCTCAAAGGTGGCCAGGCTTGCGACAAAATCGGCTGGGGTAGTGAAAGGAAGATTGTAAGTGCATGCTTGAACAGGATTTGCACCAGCTGCCCTTATAGTCTGTTCGAGAAATACCATATGCTCTTCTTCATCGTGGACAATGTATTGTAACTGTGTATAGAAATTCGAGCTAAAATTAGCGCCTGCAAAATCGTTAGCAGACCATTTGGAAAGCGCTTGTTTGTAAAAGGCATTCTCCAGGTGCTCAAGGGTGAGAGCAAACTGTAAAATATCAATATCAGTATTATCCCTCTTGAAGAGAGGTGATGAACTAGCCCAAGCAAATAGGGACAGCAAATTCAAACTTAAACGAACGAAGCTGTACATCGTGGTCTCACTTGATTGAAGGATAGCGATTATGCTTATTTTAAAGAGAAAAAGCAAGCTTCCAAACTTTCCATCATGAAGTCCGAACACCGGAGAATTTCTCTGGGTATTTAAGGATTTTTCTCGATGTAAGAACAGCTTTAATGTCCTCCTGATGTCAGCAATTTTTGCAACGGGCTGCACCGCTGCTTCAAACTTGATAAAGTAGGCTCAAGCGCGAAGCAAGGTCAATGGCTGTTACCACTATGCAAATGTGGACGTAGGGAAGACCAAACGTCCACCAGACGGAAGTCTGGAACTATCACTGCGACTATAAAATATTATTATCCACTTCGCTTGCAACATTAAGGGAGAAGAAAGTTGGATCCGAGACTTTTCAGCTTTCTTCCAACCTCGATGGTGTATAGGTTTGCACACTCCATGTTTGTGAACTTGAAGACAGCCGTGGCGGGAACCTTGACCATTTTGCATTTTACGACATAACCAGAAAGAGTAATTCGGTTTGACATGAAGAGTTCTAGGCGCTTGATGCAATTTTAAAGGGAAAGCGAGTATAGCCCAATGCTTCAGAGTGTCGCCAAATGCCATTTCTAATATTCGATTTCCAAATTTTGCGGTCATTGCGAAGCATACTGCCATTAAATAAGAAGGCTTACTAGCCAAGTTGTGTGCCAAAGGTTTTTACTAAATTACGGACTGAATGCAAGTCATCGACATGCCTAACCTAAAATGTGAGGTTTAGTTTTGGAAACTAAATAATACTCCTTTGGTCATTCTTCATCTTTGTTCCCATATATGTCAGCTAAGCTTGCCAACGATGTTGCCCATGGGTCCATCTTTCGATCAGGACACCTCCGCCATGCTAGACTAGGAGCGCAGAGAAGCGATGAGTACATAGTCACCAGTACTCTTAGCCACCAAACGAGATGACCTAATTTAAATTGGCGTATCGCGGCTAGAATCTTTCAACAGGAGTTATATCAAGTGGAATTCATACTTTCTTGGCAAAGAATAAATGACACACCAAGAATTAACGATACCGAAAAGTTACCGAGTCAAATCAGAATCAAAGCCTGGCGAATGCGATAAATAAGGAACACTTGTAGAATCATCCTGATGAAACTAAGTGGTTTTCATCTCCAAGGTTATTATTCAAAAAGCACCATAAGTGCTGTTCTGTTTCAATTGCATATGATAAGGTAGAATGCCACGGTAGAAAAAACTGACTGTTGTAACTGAATAGTAGTATGCCTGCTGTCTATTTCTCTCTTGTTGAAAAAAGGTTTCATCCGAAAACTAAATGGTCTAATAACTCTTGACTTTAGTCCTTAAAAGAAGATCAGTGAAGAATCTCCGGAGCTTTTTCCCGCAATTACTCTGTCCAATTGAGATAGTTTTCTTAAGATATGGTATTAGCTAGTTCTTTTTCATTAATGCAGAGTTCACTTTAATAGCTGCGATGACATCGATATTGAAGAAGTTTCTGGGAGATACATTTTAGATAAATTCCATTCATTGGAAGAAAGCCTATGTTTGCTAAATGGTTTCTACTCGAAGCTAGTCCGCAAAGCTTCTCGTACTCAATCTTGTGCTGGACAAGTGAAGAGACGTTAATATGATGAGACAAATAATCTCTACAATTAGTTAACATGACGAGAGAGTATCTCAACAAATTGCTTACACGAATCGAAGAGGCAGCTCTTGTATGTGGTGAAAAGACGGTGCCAATTATTTTGCTGCGCGCATAAGTGCATGAAAGAACGCCGAGCTTTTGGTACTGTACCAGTTTTGAGTAAATTCCCTCAGAAAAGTATCCAAATGAACAGATTTCAAAGATGAAAGGTCGAATTCAATTGAACCTAACTAAACCCGGGCCATCAATCAATATGCTGACAGTTTTATAATTTAGTTCTTGGTTTCTGCACCAGAAACAAACAGACCTAACAATCACCCGGCAATAACTAAATCCTCTCGAAAGAGACTAGCAAAAAGTTTTGTGACTTCTAAAGGAATGATAGATGGATACCTCAACGGACTCAGTTAGAGACACGTCTTTCCACCATTTTTTGTGAATATTACTGGTCGAGCAGGTGCTAATTTTTCCATCAGAACGGTTCATGAGTTTTCTTTTGAGGTAAACCGAACTGCTTAGCTGCTAGTTAGTTTCCACCCAGATCGAAAACAAAATGATCGACAAAGCAAGTCTATCATTCAAATTTTGACGAGATGTCTCTCATAAACGAAGAATAAGCTCGAGGTGTTATGATTTTCTGTATTGAAGCTGGAAAAGCACTTCTGAAATCAGCCTTTCCATGAATTATTCTCATAAAGCATCTATCCGGAGGTAATTACAGATAAACTTCCGAAAAGCTCAACCATTGCAATTCCAAAACCGTTCCTTCAGCCTCATTAGTTGAAGCTCAACGTAGGCCGGGGAAAACGAATCGCATAAACAAGATTCCGACGTCAAACGTGCGTTCCAAACAGTGAGTAATGAGAATATCTAAAGTTCTGGAAGAATGGGAGGGCCCGACGTCAAACGTGCGTTCCAAACAGTGAGTAATGAGAATATCTAAAGTTCTGGAAGAATGGGAGGGCTCGAATGCCAGTAGCCAATTATTTCATTAGTGTGTCTTTGAGTTAGAACATCTTCCCTAATGTGCCGTTGTGCCAACCAGCCCCCGTCGAAACCGTTAATCCGACCGTAATTGTTCATATGCCGAACCGCTTCTATATGGCGTAATAAGAACCATTTTGTTGGATAGGTATCTCTTCGATCTCTACTTTTTCAAACAAGGTTTAGTTATCAATTCGAGAGCACAATTAAAATATATTACCACAGTTCGCCAAGAAGAGCTTCTTGTAGCTTCTCGTTTTTTACCTTGCACTCTTCTCAAGCTGACCATTTATGGGAACAAACTTTAGACTTTTAGTTGTCACGATCAATCATCAATCTCATCCGGAAAACTTGCCTCTGTCACTATAGGCCTTTGCAGCCAAATACACTTCACGAATTTCCTTGGGGCCAGTTCTACAACAACCGCCGATCATGGTACACTGTTGGTCTAAAAGCTGATAAGCCATGTCTTCCCAGCTTCTCTGATCTTCTGCGTGAAGACCTTTGCTCCATGAGTGAGTGTCTCCATGATAAATCTCTCCAGAATTCGGATAGACTCCCTTGAAGCTGAAACGCCTGTCTACATTGAGACTGTCAAGACAATTGTTTAGAGAGCACATAATCTTAGTGCAGTGAGCGAACTCAACACAATTGATAGAGAAGAAAAGAAAATTCGGGGGAAAGAAGGGCGCCGCTTTTTCAATGGTGAGACAAATGTCCTGTAGGGAAGTCCCGTCCCTCAAATTGCCGTTTGCGTCCGTGGTGATGCTAATGAAATATGGCTTTGAGGAACAAAGATGTGCAAACGCAGGGCTCAACAGAGCCTCAAACTCATTTATGTTTGGAACGGTTTCAATGCCAATCAAGTCTATACGCGGTGACCGTGCGAAAGTTTTCACCTGCGGCCTGTAATATTCAATGAAATCTATCTTGTCTTTGCCATAATCGCCAGAATACTCAGACCCGTTTGACAAATACGTAGCATAGGGACCCACGCTTCCCACCAAATATTCATCGGAGCTTGTACACTCGCGGTCAGTAAATTCAATTATGGACTCCAGAAAAGCCACATACTCTTCTTCAGTGTTAATCAATCCTCCTGCATTTTTTTTCACAGAGCTGTAAGATGACTGGTAGGTAATTGTCATCAGAGTGTTACTGCCTGCCCTTACGAAATCTTGATACATTTCCTTAATAACCTTCAATTCTTTTTCATCTTTGGTGAGGAATGGAAGTGTTGACCATAGTGGATGAGAGATGCATATGCCCCTGTTTTCTAACTCAGTTCCTTGTCCGCCATCCAAGAGTAAAATACCTTCTTTCAAAAATTTCTCGAGCGGCAGCCTCATACCGGAAGAGAACGTTCTAGTTTCGTGATTTGAGCTTTCCTTTCGAGACAACTTTTTACTGATGTCAATGCAATTGGGGTCAAGTTGAACTTCCAGTGTGTTGATGCTGGCTTTCTCTGCTACGTTGAAAAGATCTGCTGAAAGACAAGAAATCGTTAGCCTATCTGTTCACAGGAGTTGTGGACCGCTACGGGAAGCCACGCAGGTGGGCGTAGAAAGTGCTTAGTTGATTTACATGTGAAATTCACATGTGGCTTCTGCTGAGATCATGAACAAGACGTCAAATCTCAGCCAGACTGGATACTTCGTCAGCAGCTTCGACAATTCAAAGAGGGAGGCCTAATTCTCACCTTCTGTGTGAGAGCAGAGGTTGCCGAGCCAAATTTTTGAGATTGAAAAAATGTCCAGGAAATTGGGTAGGAATCGTACTTTCTTATTAAATATCTAGTACAGTGAGTCTGAGTTATTGATGGAAGTTTGAGTAGATCGGCTCCGTCTCTCGTAGTAAGATCAGAACGCTGATACACTGATAATGATACTAGATATTGTTGAATTGACGTCGAACTGCCCGCATGATGCTGCCTAATTGCGCAGGGGCACGCTAGTACACAACTTGTCAGGATAGCCGAACTTAAGTAAAATCAAAAAGAAGATTTCCACCCACGGTCAGAGGCTGGAAATCAGCCAAAGATGTTCAGCGACAGTGATACTTGGCGCTACATGTCCATTCTAATTTCCTGATTAAGTTTAGGCCACATCTTCAAATTGTCTGTGAAGTGAATGCTTTTATCAAAAAACCAATATTTCCTCTTGAGCGAGAGAAGTCATGGAATGATGTACAGCATCGTCTCGCAAACAGTAGTCTACTTACGTCACCATGGAGAGCAGACCTGTGGTGACCAATTACTCAGATTCGCATAGACATATGCTATGAAAGGGCAACTCAGGCTTTAAGAACCCGCCATCGTTCAATAAGTTGATTCACATACCGCCAAGGTCATCCAGATCTTCTAAAGCCTTTATCGTATTTATTTTATGTCAAACTTGGTAAATGTGATGTCCAAAAAAAAGCGTCTGTTCAGCCGGGATAAGATAACAAGCCACACAGACATACCGCTTTTGGTAAGCGATGGGACTCATAAGAAAACTGCACGAAGCTCCAGTTATCTGTGTCAAATGCCATCAAAGTTCAATTTTTTTAATCTAAGGTTATCTGTTCATGATGGTTATAAGTATAAATACTTCAAGCACATGAAAATTCAAAATGGATGCTATGTGACGCTAGACTTCATTTGATAGCAAGAAAGGTAGTAGATTTCGTAATGAGATTACAGATAAATGGTTCCGATTATTGAAACAGGAATCAGTTCTACAGTAGACTTCAAGTGAGCTTACGCTCCACTTTTTATGCCTCTAGCAATTTACCACTACATGCTGACGTTTGAAGAATCGCCATCGGCTTTCCTCACGTGCAGAAAGATACCACAGGTTCGAATTGGTGTACTTCCGATGATTACATTGCATGCACTCGGTTAAGTGAACTCTTCATCATTTACTTCATTGCGGTAACCGTGTATTCCATTCATGTTAGCCTAGTAAATCCTCAGTCAAGTTCGGCGAAAAACAATGAAATTCTCTTAAAGGCGGTATTACCTGCGGTCAAGCGGCGTACCGTTAGTACAAAATACCAGATGGTATTATGATTAAACCATCGTCAAACAAATGTCACATATTTACAAGTGACTTTGCCAAGAACCATTTTCATATGAAATTTTGGAATTCTCGTTGAAAGTTGACTTGCGTATGATTTAATCCGCATTTAGCCGTAAGTTTTTTTGGTTCACGGCATTGAGTTAAAGACGAAATCGAAACCGCTTTTCAATGGCTACTTGTCTGCCAACCCAAACACACACATATATTCAGGTGATATCGTTTCTGGTTGATGATTCAAAGTCCATGCTTAGATCTAGACTAAACCTTGAATCGTCACTAGCGTCAAGGCCCAGCGTGGCTATCAATTTCAGCCAACGTTTTCGTAACTGATGCGATCATTAAACCGTGGCTCACGGTGGCTTTCACATGCCGCCATTCTAACAAAGAGGCACTACAATTACAACTGAAAAGGTCTTGGCTTACTAGAAGGTCGCTCTATATAAATGTTTTGACAATAACCTCTAGTTTTTTGCCACAAGTCGCGCCTTCTAAAGACCAGACCAGGAATTCAAATATAGGAGATGGACAAGGACAGTAAGAATGTCGATGTTCTGTCGGAACCTTTCGAAATTGTAGACATACAAGAATCTAATAGGCCCGCTGATTCTTTGGTTCATCGTTTTGCATCTTCATTCAAAAAACAGGAAAACGTGGAGCTCGAAGATGTGAATTTGACGCAAATGAACAAGGAACAGCGCCAAAACTACAACTTGGCGCACCAGTCCCTTCATAAGACACTTTCAGAAAGACACTTGACAATGATCGCCATTGGAGGCACTTTGGGAACTGGACTTTTCATAGGAATTGGGTACTCACTAGCTTCAGGACCAGGGTCTTTGCTTCTTGGGTTTTCGATTGTGGGACTCATGATGTTTTGCGTTGTTCAGAGCGCAGCAGAAATGGCCTGCCAGTACCCGGTAGCTGGGTCTTTTGCCATGCATGTCTCCCGGTTTGTTGAGCCTTCGTTGGGTTTTGCGGTTGCGACCAGTTACGTTCTGCTGTGGCTGGTTTCTTTGCCTTCCGAGCTTATAGGGTGTGCAATGACTATACGTTATTGGAATAATTCCGTAAACCCTGCGGTTTGGGTCGCCATCTTCTATGTGCTAATTATGTTTCTCAACTTGTTTGGGGCCCGAGGGTTTGGCGAAACGGAATTTTGGCTGTCACTATTCAAAGTGCTTGCCGTGATTATATTTATCATCATCGGAATAGTGCTGATTTGCGGAGGTGGGCCTCATTCAGATGGATACATAGGCGCAAGATATTGGCACAATCCAGGCTCCTTTGCCAAGCCTGTTTTCAAAGGCATTTGCAGTACTTTTGTGTCCGCCGCTTATTCGTTTAGCGGCACAGAGCTAGTGGTCCTTACAGCTTCAGAATCCAGAAACGTGGAGTCAGTTTCGCGTGCAGCTAAAGGAACTTTCTGGAGAATAACCATATTTTACATCGTGACTGTTGTCGTTATTGGATGTCTAGTTCCTTATACTAACGAAAATCTTCTCGGAGGAAGTAATGGCGAGGATGTATCTGCTTCGCCGTTTGTAATTGCCCTAAAAAATCAAGGGTCTATGGGCAAGAGTGTATCGAACTTCATGAACTTGGTGATTTTAATCTCAGTATTTTCTGTTTGCAATTCTTCCGTTTATGCTTCTTCTCGGATTATTCAGGCTTTGGGCGCTTGTGGGCAACTGCCACGCGCATGTGCATATGTTGATAAGAAGGGCAGGCCCTTGGTTGGTATCGCTGTCTGTGGCGCTTTTGGATTATTAGGATTTATTGCCTCCTCTGAAAGCCAAGACAAGGTATTCACCTGGCTCTTTGCCTTATGTTCTATCGCGATCTTTTTCACTTGGCTTTGCATCAGTGCTGCGCACGTACGCTATAGAATGGCGTTGCGTGCGCATGGTAGAAGTACTTCTGAAATTGTCAACAAGTCTCTCTTCGGAATTTATGGCGCCATTTTAGGTGTTGTTTTGAATGCGCTTTTGATTATTGGTGAAATATACGTCTCCATTTTTCCGCTGGGCAAAAAGCCTTCTGCTGAAAACTTTTTTGAGAACTGTTTGAGCATCCCTATTATAATGGCGGTTTATCTTGTTCATAAGGTATTTTTCAACAAGGAAAAGCGGCTTATGATTCCCTTGGATCAAGTTGATCTTGACATCGGTCGAAGAATGGAGCGCAACGAATTACTCGAAGAAGAGTACCACGAGGCCGAAAGCGGCCATACGAAGGTACCTCTTCACCGTAAGTTGTATCGAGTTTTCTGTTGAGCTCGGCTTTGAACTGTCACCGAAGTTTTGGCAGAATCCGTTACTGATTGTCTCAAACACCTGGAGTAGGGCATGAACCTCAGCTCATCAAGATTCAATACAGTCACTGAATTTACTACCAAAACCTACGGTGTGACCACGGTCATGTCTTGCAATGTGGAAAGATGGTAGAATTAGTAAGTTTTTACTGCTACGCGTGGACGAATGAGTGTTGAGTTCACCATAATATAGAATACAACATAATATAGCAGCACTACTGAATGGCTGCACCTACAGGGCTAAATTCAACTAATCTAACTAAAATTCAATCACCTAATAATCAGACCTTGTAACGCTTAGACGAGTGGTGCAAGAGTAGCGCTGATGGTTGCTAGATAGTTCTCCTCAAGTAACACCAAGACACCCCTCAGACGCTTTAGAAACAGACCGAATCACGCTGCGTATAACGAAAAATACGGCAAAATGTCCTAGTTCTACACATAACTAGTCTCTGCGACAATTGAACATCACAGTTTTCAACATTTTATCTGGGGGGAGGAGATAATGGAGGCGCATCGATTTCATACAGGCTACTGGTAGTGCCTGATCAGGCATCTCAACTGTGACGGTCCGCATACGTTTGCAGGTGTAAGATGTCTCAAAAGAATTCAAGGCGCTGTCATGGCATTAAGCTATTTGGCAGTTAATAATCAACATTGCAGGATGGTCTTGCAAGCAATACTCGAAAATCTGGAAAATCTTATGGCCTTCGCTGTTTAATGCAGTTTGGATGTGAGAGTGCTTGAGAGAAAGCTTGCGATATAATCGCTTTTACAGAAAAGGTTGTGATTATGAACTGAATTACACTGATTGGCACGTCCGGTGTTCGCATTATGCAATCCTTATACATCCCCCTCCAAAATAGTTACATTGGCTATGATGCATAGAGGGCCTTGATACATGTTCATAATTCGATTAAGAAGCGATTGAACTGAAAACATCTTCGCTGCAATCTGTGTCATGGAAAACATAACATTTTCTAGAATGGCTTCGAGAGTAATTTCCTTTTGAATTGTCAAACAACACTGTGCTAGCCCAAGTTGCTACTCTCAGGCTCATACAAGCGTAGGTCGTTTTTGCTAGTAGCCTCAATAAAAAGAATATGTTATATAGAACTAAATTCACACACTCCAAGAAAGCGGTAAGATACTCACAAGATCAGTAGTGCAGCGGCCGCCAAGAAAGAAGCCTTCGAAACGACAACTTTGCCCCCAAAATTTCCCGTGTATGATGCGAGAGAGTACGAGGAACCAGTAGCTGAGGTCGAAGAAATCATATTCGCAGAACTAGATTCAGTCTGAGTGGCTGGCACGCCAGCATTATTCGCTGTACCTGCTGAAGTTCCTTTTAAGCCGGTAGATAGAGCGGACGGCATGGCGGTCTCCATCGTAGAGACTGACGAAGTAGTTGAGACCTCATTTTTGGTACTAGCCGGACCGTTGGTTAGCCAGCTCGAAAATTCTGCCCGATACGAGCTCATACCAGCGATATCAGTGGGCAAAAATGGCTTGCCACTCAATGGGCAGTAAATTGTATACTTTGTGGTAATATCGTTAACGGTAATAACGCCAGTTGTGACTGCACTTTCTGAGCATTTGTTATCTGCACAGGACGTCACAGTGACCACGGTAGTCGATAACGGATTCTCCTCAGTAACAGTAGTCGCTTGCGCGCCGAGAAAATTAGTCCAGGAACGAGAATTAGTGCCGATTTTAGAAGCAAACTCAGACTGAATTGAACTCGCTCTACTCTCAATGAAAGCAGGAATTAGAGAGGCAGGGGGCAAAGCTGAGTATGATGCTGGTGTGGTTGCTGAGCCATGAGATACACCAGACTTTGTAACTGAAACTGAGGGTGGGCTCGAAGAAGGAACAGATGCTGAAGCAGATCCTGGGGCAGATCCTGAAAGGACCTGACTGCTGTTGAAATAGCCCACTGACTGGAAAGATGCTATGGGAGAAGCAGCAGCAGAGGCCGAAAACGGGGCTGATGCTGATGCGGACGCTGAAGACATTGGGACTGGAGCTGGATTTGAGCCGGAAGATCCAGAGCCACTTGCGGGGCTCGAAGATGAAGCTGCGGCTGGTGCAGCCGCTGAAGATCCTGGAGCTGAAGCTGAATTAGAGCCGGAGGATCCCGAGCCAGAAGACCCGGAGCCAGAAGAACCAGAACTAGAACCAGAAGGTCCTGAGGCAGAGGCAGAAGCTGAGCCAGAGCCAGAAGAGCCAGAGCCAGAAGATCCTGAACCAGAGCCAGAAGATCCTGAACCACTTGCGGGGCTCGAAGATGATGCTGCGGCTGGTGGGGCCGCCGAAGATCCCGGAGCTGAAGCTGAATTAGAGCCGGAGGATCCCGAGCCAGAAGATCCTGAGCCAGAGGCAGAGCCAGAGCCGGAGGATCCCGAGCCAGAAGAACCAGAGCCAGAAGAACCAGAACTAGAACCAGAAAAGCCTGATCCAGAGCCAGAGCCAGAGCCAGAGCCAGAGCTTGAAGAATCCGAACCACATATACTTGAATCGCATGCGGCGTTGATGACACTGCACGCATGCGCTATGTCAGTAAATTCAAAGGCGAAAACCTGGACGTCGGCATTTGCCAAATCCACACCTGCTGTCTGTTTGGGAACACCATCGACATTCTGTGCGACATAGTAGTTGTATCCTGAGATCCCCGAAAACTGTTCCAGCTCTGCTATCAACAGCTGTTCTTGGCTTTCATAATATGTCAAAACCACTTCATTTCCGTATTCACTAACGCAGGCCATTCCTTTACCAAAATGTGCGGCCAAGGTCTCAAGACTTGAAGCCCATATGGGTAAGTTCTCTGTCGCATAAAATGTGAAAATAAGATCTAAATAATATAGCGGACCAGGATCAGGCATTTTTGGAATGATTCGTTATGGTTTTCGAACAAATGGAATTTAATCAAACGCAAGTAATCAGCGGATTCTCGGCTTCCCACCAGACCGCTTTCACCAATACTTATACTCGACTTTCCAAAATGCGATTCTCGCCCGGACAATCAGAACTAGGAAAAATTTCCGTTTGCCTTGTTTGTACTTTCAAGTTATTTCCGCATCTCATGCGCCAAGAAGTCGGAGAACCTTACAAGTCGTTGCTGTTAGAAACAAAGGGATTGCTCTATAAGTTCAGCAGGGTGTAAATGTTGAATATTCGACTAGGCTCGAAATGCGATTGAATGATGCATTGCCAGCACAACATTGCCCGGTGCGATACTGTTGATAACCTCATCCACAAGTCTGTTTACGCCCACGGAAGTTTTAACTGTGGTTATCGCTATAGAAATGCCAATGTACTTGGAGTCTTAGCCATGCAGTACATTCTCGCGCCTCTCGACTTCCCTCGTAAATATCATGATCGCGATTCCCCACCATATATTTCTTTGAATTTGGATGGTATCTTTGTTTTCCGCGTTAATTTTCGCAGTTTTTCATGTTCTTCGTGCATATTCTAAATGCGGACCTTATGCACTGCACGCCTAGGAAAAATCGTTAATTCACAATGGGCCGAGAGATAAGACAAATAGCTACCAGGCGATCTAGGTTCGAGGCAATCGAATTCAAGAAGGCAAACACAATAGTTCTTGGCATGCACGCCCGCAGCTTAAAAACTGACGGTTCGAAAGCTAATTTTGTCAGCTTAAGTGTGCATACAGCATCGTTTCTCGTCTGCAATGAAATTTGAGATATGCACAAGTGGAAAAGTGCAGGTTATGAGAGAGATCTCCGCTATCCCGCACTAGAACTTGTCCACTATGCAAGACATGCCATCATGCATCTGAAGGAACAATTAGGCATGAACATCGTACGAGATTTCAATTGAAGGTGCCAGAAAGGAGTAGTGGTACCTCCGATAAACCCGAAAGGTTGTTGGAAACTCGTTCGTTAAGCCGTGTTCCACCGAATTAAACAAAGATATCAGGATGAGATTCACCGGACAAGCGCGAGTGACAGACATTTCAAATGTTCTGTAGGTATTTCATTTCATCTCACGCGGTTTAGCCCACGAACGTGTGCGCACGATTGGAAGGGGCAGAATTTGACTAAATTGCCATGGATTACGTCCGGTGGCTGTTGATTGCTTGCGGATTACGGTGCACAATAAGTTTATCATTTGCTAGAACGGAAGGTTTCTGTATTTCCTGCAAAACCCGAATTTGGTAAAATGGTTTGAACGTGGGATCAAGTCTCGGGGTATATTCAAAGTAACATCATTTCTGGAAGTTGACAACCATACGCCAAGGAAGGCCATCACACACTGTCATGCTCAGCTTTTACATTTTCCAGGAAATTCTCGCAACATAGAATAGGGTATGTCTTAATAAGCAGTATGAGGTAAGTAAATCCTAGATCGGAGGATGAGGAATCTAGTGCAGAAGCTGCTAATACCAGCAGTTTCCCTCTCTAGAGAAGCCAAGGCATTGAAATGTAACTTCCTTGACTGCAACAGTTTTCAAATATCCTCTTAATGAACGAGACTCCGGATGCACGAATACAATCAGCACTTTCATATCTTCAAAAGAGAACCGTTCTTTGTGGTCACTGAACGATCGATGGCTGAGCATTGAGCTTCAGAGGCTCTTAAACTATGCCAGACGGTTTCCCATCGAGTGCTCAAGTAGTTTGACTGAGTCAACGGAGTTGAGTGGCCATCCGTCTTCGAAGATGTCGGAGTTTTCGTCAGGTACTCGAGCATAATAAAAGCCTCAAGGTCCGATAACAAGGTGAAGAGGATTAAATTCTCGAAAAACGAGCAAAGCGATGCAGCAGTTTAATACGAAAACAAAGATGAGCCACCCAGCACTGTTACCCAGTAAACCTTTTGTGACCTTGATGATATTTTCATGTTAAATTATTGTAAGATTCGCACTGCATTTAATCAGCTTAAAGATTTCTGACAATTCAACTGCACATTTTTTTTCAGCAATCTGACAATAATAATGAGATCCCTTCAAATCGCATACGCTTTGTGAGACAAAAGCCAATTACTTCTCCTCAGGGCAACTTTGGTCGACTTCGAACGTTCTTTCACGCTCTAAGTTTCGAGTCCCCGGTAAGTCCCCATGATTGTGTGCTGTGCGCTATCACGAAGCCTCAGTCTAAGTGCATCAATTATCGAGTCTCAACGGAGTAATGAAAACCTCTAATCGCAACGACAAAGGCAACTGTTTCAATTGTATTTGCGTTCCAGCCACGGGCCTAACTTAACATGAAATGAGAACCCATACTATCCTGATTGTTTGAGATCTTCGAACTAGTGAACGAAAAAGGAATAGCCGGTCTGGTGTGAAAGTGGGCGATTTTCAACATCTCAGACAGTGATCTACAATTTCATTTTTTTCGCGCTTAGCCAGAGATAACATACTGGTATTCTTTCATCTGAGTTGAGTTAAATGACAAGTTTCGGCGATTCATTGGATAAAGTCAAACCATTAAATCCAAATTGCCCATATGTCGTTCAGAAGATCGGTAGCGCTCTGTCCAGCTCAACTATGTTCGTCAGTAAACGCACTCATGAGACATTTAAGATAGCACATTACAGACGTTGTGACATTATATCGTCAAAAAAAATGTTTTCGGCGGCCAGGTTGCGTAGATGACATAAACACTGGTTGTGACGTGCAAAGACGGAGTCACATTCATGAGAAAGCGACTTCCCTTTGGGGCCGTGCGCTTGTGTCATTCTTCGTGCTTCGCTCTTTCGTGAGAGAGAACAAAGAGCTAACAAAGCCGGCGAATGCAAGTGAAGTGTGAAAGAATTCGGCACCAAGGTCTGCAACGTGCTAGAAGTGTCGAGCGAAACACACAAAACTCACACTCAAGAGGCTTTAGCAATATGCTGGAGAGACCTCGAACTAAGGAGATGTTTTTCTGTCGTTTTTCAGAGCCATGAAAGCTCGGCAGCTTGACAGAAGGTGATTACCAAATGGGCTCTAGAGTAACCCAGAAATGATTCCAACGCAGACCGTTAAACGATCAATAGCGAGCGGTGCTCAAGAGATCTGGTGATGGCAAGGGAAATGCCGTGAGAAGAATTTGAGTTCAGAAATAATGCGTAGATCATGGCGTGCATAAATGAGTATTAGCCCAAGGGTTGAACACTACGCTTCTTATTGGTACAGGCAGCAAAACTCGGGCAGCAAAGTGATTTTTGTGTGCAGACAGTGGAACAGCTGCTTTAGGAGATCGCATCTTGCAATCATAACCAACAGGGTTTGTATGTGCAAGCATCGAGCGATGCTGCAGGTGACCGGTCAATCGGAGTGGGTTGCACAATGGGGTCTGTGGTTTTGGAATGCATACTTCAATCATCTTGTCATTGACGCTTCTTCACAATCTGAACGGCGTAAAGAGCTATCATGATATATCATTGGAAGCGACGAGGCACATTAAGTTTGAGCTTTTTAGGCAAGCGATGCCCATCAAGGCATCTGAAGCTCCAAAACTGTCCAAAAAGCGCTGCGTGGATTTTACTTTGAGAGCATATGGAGCAAAGCTGATGCGTGAGCCCATCTCAGGGCCGCGCTTGTATTCTTGCCAAACAAATCATGTTGAACATGGCACACCGAGCATTCAATGAGAACTGCATTCTCTGGGGAACTTCAATACAGCACATTGGCTATCGGGATCAGTACAGAGGCTTGAGACTAAGATTCGCGTCCTGTTTACTGTTACCTCAATGTTGAGACTAGTCCAAAACCCAATATATCGATTGAACATCTGGTGCGGCCTGCTCGTGGCATTGTCTCTCATCAAAACCTGCAGCTGTGAAATCACATACGCACTGACTCAATCTAATGGTACGGAAAAACCTCAATATTCTTTCGAAGTAACTGATATGGTTTTCTTGGAGTGAGAAGAGCTTTTGAAATCGTGTTTCAATCTTCCAAGGACTGAATATCGCTGAATCACGATTGGGAGCTTCGACTCACAATTAAACCTTGGATTCCACAGGAAAAATGAATTCAGCTCATAATATAGTCCGACTTACATGAAACCTACAAGATATGGCTAACGACTCAAACAATATATCAATGGCTAACGGCTCAATATCTGATAGTTCTGATTATTGACTGCTCGCAGTTTCATTGATTAGCTTTGCGTGAAATACGAGCCCTAACCAAGACCACAAAACGAAGGTCCTCCAGAGCTAGGGACAACCCTCTCAATTCACGATCCCACCTGCAAGCGATGAAATGTATCACTGGCATGACTTCGCAATAGGCACTGTGAGGCTCCCACGCTCGCTATTTTTGACCTGCGCTATGACTAGGTATGAGTCATTCCTTACGTTGGGAGGATTTTTCCAATGCTGACCATATGGCAGTTTCTCGCGTATTAGACCACACCCTTCTAAGCGTTTTTCTGCAGCACCTGGATCTTGCTTGAGAGACCGGAGCTCTTCAACTTTATTCTCACCCGCTTGCGGCCTTTCCGCTTTTGCTTGCTAGTTGAGTCTCTTTCAATGGACTGATGTGCATTATTACTTTTTGAACCCTGCATATGACGAAGAATTATTATTATTATAGTGGAGGAGCCATCACGAATTTTCTGGGACATACAGCGACGTCTGAAATATACGGAAAAAAGATGTCCGCAAACCCTGCATCCGGGATTTCTATGCAGGGTCGAACGGTTGATTCGGTGCGTTGATGCCCCAAAACAAGCATAGAACGGTGAATCGATGTAAGCGTTTAAAGCCAAGGTGCGAAGAACTGTACGCATGTGAAAGAATGTGTGATCAAGCGCTAAATGTGTTGGACCTAACGAAAGTGGTGAAAAAGTTGAGGATATTCCTCTTCGCGTCAATTCAGGGTCATCGTGCGATGACTAGAAGCTGAAAAACCTCACATTCAACAAACTGCAAAAGTTTATATAAACAGAGGGCTGTTCAGGACTATTTGACATTCATTAGTTCCCTCCAAAGCAACTCGCCATCCTCCACTCACCCTTTTCATTCGTTATGGTCAATTTCACTCAGCTCGCAGCTTTGACTGCTAGTGCGATCGGCGTTAGAGCTGGCTTTGCCAACTCGACAACTCCACAGATTTCCGATCTAAAGATTGCTGACATGGACACAGGTACTTCCGACATTGTAGGCACCTACGATACCGCTTTTGTCGAGTTGACCGTGAAGGCTACTGAGTTGGGCGCGTGCTGGTTCCAGCTTCCACCCAACTACGTCACGTACCCCCAGGACACTCCTTACAACTGGGACTACGGTATTGTCAACAACTATGGTGACAATAACATCACCATTGATATCACCAAAGTTCCAGAAAGTGGTGAGGCCAAATTTGGTATCGAAGTGTATTTCACCACAGAGGTTCAAAACGCTATCCAGAAGCCTGGCAAAGACTCTGTTGTCGTTGAGACCTCTAACGGCAGCATGTCTATTGACCTCAACTACATCGACGTGCCTTTGTATGAGCCATCTGTTCACACTGATCTAACTCAAAGCAGAATCATCTACGATGTCTACGTCCCAGCCTCCATGATCACCAGCAACACATCGGTCACGGCCCACAGCTTCGACGGTCGCAAGTTCGACTCATCCTTGTGCGCTGTTTACGACGTCACTCAGGCAAAGACTTTCGATCCTTATGAAGACCTAAACCTCGTTAGCCCAGACTTCGAGCCTTATTCCTGGGACGGCTTCTCCAATGAATCTGACATCTACTTCCCTTACCGTACTACCCCAATCGTGGGCGCTAAGTGGGTTATGTTCAAGTTCTTTGCTGATGTTCCAGAAGGTCTTCAATACTACACCCAAGATATCACCGTGAACATCGACGGCGAAGAGACTACCATCACCACCCACACATACTCCAAGTACTACCCTCGTCACATCGAGGAGCCTGACTACAAGTTCGGTGGCGCAAGCGACATGGGCAACGGCAACAGCATCACCTCTTATTCTGAGAGCACAACTGCTGTTGCGACTGCTTCTCTGTCCTCTGCCTCTTCCAACGGCACTGCTGTGTTTACCGGAGCTACCACTGCCACTGGCTTTTCAAATGGCACTGTCACCATGACTGGCTCCGCTTCTTCGACTGCTTCCGCCGCTGGCCAAGCTTCTGCTTCCGCCTCTGGCCAAGCTTCTACTTCCGCCTCTGGCCAATCTTCTGCTTCCGCCTCTGGCCAAGCTTCTGCTTCTGGTTTTGTCAACGGTACCACTTCTGTGACCGGCACAGGCTCTGCCACCACCACTACTGCTAACATTCTGTCCACCACTGTCATCACCACATGTCCTACCTGTGAAGTGAAGGCCACCACCGTTGGTGTTTCCACCGCTACCGTGACCAAGAACGGTATTGTGACCGCCTACACCACCTACTGCCCACTATCTGCCGAGACCGGTGCTCACACCGTCTCTCAAGGTACCACCTACGCACCATCTGTGGTGATCTCCGAGGTCGAGTCTGGCATCTACACTGCATACACCACCTACTGCCCATACCCTGAAAACAAGTCTGCTGCCCAAGCCACCACCACCGCTTGTGTGAGCTGTGGCAACCAGACTGCTTCTGTGTCTGGCTCTTACTCCGCTGCTGCTGCGGCTACCAAAGCTGCCTCGCTCAGCGTATACGAAGGTGGTGTTGCTGCCGTCAAGGGTGGTCTAGCTGCTGCCGTTCTCGGAGCTGCTGCCGTTCTGTTCTAGGCGTCTGCTTATATACTCTAAATATTTCGTAAGCCTACAAAAGGCACTTTTCGTTCGTCTCTTTAGAATGTTGGTTTACTTTGACATATGAAAGTTGTTAGATGTGTCGCAGAGATATCCGTACTTGTGCTAATTCTCTGGGCAAGACTAGCGAACGTCTCTCTTGTCATGAGAAGTCTACATTTTTGAAAGCAAAGGAAATCGGTAAAGTGAACCCGGGGTTATTTAAAATAGACCCGGAATACGAAAATAGAGTGGGAGTTGTACAACTGTGAGATATGCAGACACCATTGAAAATAGCTTCCTCAGAAGATTTTCTAATGACTGACTAGCAGTTTGCGGGTACAGCTGTGGCAATTACGCTTGTTACGGCATCCACCAAGCCCATCGCTTGTAAAGGTATAGGATCACCGATCGACGAACATGCGCAAACAGATCATTAAGAGAGCCGAGAATACGCGACAAGAAAGTGAAATATGAGATGGAACGAGAAAGGGTCGATTGTAGATCTACTGCAATTGAAACGGTATTTCCTCGCGGCAAGTGTGTAATTGTCTCCCCAATATTTGGAAGAATAGCGGTAGAATACTGAACCCCGCTGCTTGAAGGCGGCACGAAATATCCACAACTAGCAGAATATATTTTCAACCTCTGAAAGCATAGCTATGCTCGAGCGTGCTGGTTTTCAAAAATCCTAATGACGCTAGCACCGATGGAAAAATGAAAACCCCTCAGTGTCGGAGTTTCTAATTGCACCACGCATGCAACATTCAAAAGCTTTATTTCAACAGTTGCGGATTCCGAGTGAACGCAGGGCAAAAACCAGAGCCCAGCAAATTTTGGTTGTGCTTCTCCGAACATAGTGCCTTTCCTGTCAGATTCGCGCAACATGAAGACAGTGCAATGACAACTGTACACAATCGTAGGCTCTGCTCGGAGTTCATCAGCAACGTCACTAGCACACGCTGAGCATACAGCAGCAACTGATCTCAATAGCTCATCATCACGTTACCAATATTGCCGGTCTCTATGGTGTGATTAATAGTATAGTGCTATGCTACTGCTAGCGTATAAAATTGATTAAAATAGTCATGAGACTAGTTCGCTAATTTCGTTTATCACGGTGTGGTATATAACTGCCAATACGACGGGCGACATAAGAAAGATCAAAGAACTCGAATATAACCCTGTTTTAGACCCTAGAAATCGACTTTAACTGCTACAATGACAGTAAAACGTATTCTCATTCTTGTTGGTGACTTCGTCGAGGACTATGAAATCATGGTTCCATTTCAGATCCTGCGCATGGTTGGGCATAAGGTAGATGTGGCCTCACCTAATAAAAAGGCCGGTGATCAAGTAGCCACTGCTATTCATGACTTTGAGGGACATCAGACGTACACCGAAAAGCGCGGGCATAATTTTTCGCTAAATTCCACATATTCTGATATCAAGGCAGAAAATTACGACGCTTTGGTGATACCGGGAGGACGGGCACCAGAGCATCTGGCGACCGACGAAAGCGTTCTAGATCTAGTCCGTACTTTCGCTAAGGAAGAAAAACCAATTGCTGCCGTCTGTCACGGTCCACAGCTTCTCGCGGCAGCCAATGTGATCAGTGGAAGAAAGGTGTCTGCTTACCCAGCGTGTCGCGCGGAGATGATGCTAGCTGGCGCAGAATACCAAGCCATTGAAATCGATGGTGCTGTGACAGATGGAAAGCTAGTGACGGCTCCAGCTTGGCCAGCTCATCCCGCTTGGATGAGTCAGTTCCTCGCCGTTTTGGGTTCCAAAATCGAGGCATGAGAGATGATAAAAACACTACCGTCGTTAGCAGGGATTACTGAGGATCGACTCAACAGGTGATGAGCAAGTTGTTTTTTGGTACTGAGTGATTGCTCGATTAATTTAATAGAGAGTACAATTTGATCATGTCTGGTATTTAGGCATTATTGAATGTAATTGTTGATATATGTTAAAAAGAGCGTCGCTGCTGCAACGATCATTGATTGGATTGAGCTCAAATACTGCACTTGAAGGTTGCTCTTCTGCGCACCAAATGATTATTACAATATCAGTTTTGGTGAAACTCTTTTGAGTGCGGTATGAAAGTGACTTTGATGAGGAGTAGCTGTGAATATTTATCTTTGCGGCCAGAGCAGGTCTCGCTAGTTATGTATCACTACTTCCTGGCAACAAAAGTCCAAAAATCGAGTTCTTTCAAGTGCATTCAGTTCGGAGTAGCGATCTGAAGCACGAGGGCTGTTGTTCTTGATCAAGTTGGTTCAATACTGAAATCTTCCATACCCAACTAAACTCAAGCACAAAGGTGTACATTTGTTTTTTGAAGGAAGAGTGAGTCGGTGAAAGCCTTGTGGTATTTGCTTCTCTGACAACAAACCGCTTTTTTGTTTGTACTATTACAGCTGTCCAAGAATACGCAATATCGTCATGACACGCCTCAAGAATCGTGGGAACCTCAATTCATCCCCCATCGTCAGGCATTGGCAGCGAAAAAGAGCTCTGCAACGATGAGCCATCCCGTTATTTGCATATAAACGCCAAGAATCTCACAAACCAAGGAAGGTGCCTCCTATGTAGGGGTCCAAGAGTATCGCGGGAAGTAGTGTTTCTTCTCAAGCTTGTTTCAACTACCATGCGTTCAAGACGAAACTGCAGCTTCTTGAACAATTCCATAGCACAGATTAGCGCTGGACCTTAGAAGCGGCAAGAGACTATCGAAACACATTTTGCTAGTTTGTTGTCGCTGCTCTTGCGGACAAGAGCTGGTACTATACGTTCTCCATTCTCAGAAGAGCGCGCTCGCGCACTGTCACCCGGCTTGAAGTTGTTCACCTTTTGGTGAATCACATATGCGTGCCTTTGCTTCTAGTTAAACCGACGATGGTGAGATCGTCAATTATATTTGTGAAGTTGGTGCCAGGTCTGTGAATGAGATATAAATATTGCTATCGTGATCATTTGAGAAATTCAGGCCGGTCAAAGGCGGAGTGAAATACGAATAGCAGGTCTACTTGTGAAGATGGCCTGAATTTCACACGTCTCAAACATTGATCTGCAATGTGGTTCTTCTCCGTTAATCGCGCATGATGCATTTTTATTTTTGTATCAGAGTTGAGTAAACAGTGGGTTTTAATTGATCCATGGGACGGAGTAAAGCCAGTAGATTTATATCACTTGTATGTTGCTAAGAAGACATGCGGCGGTTCATTAAGCCCAAGTACGAGAAACTAATCAATCAACGCGCTCATAACGACCAATTGACAAGCGCCTGTAAGCTGACATGAAAGAAGTGTGCGCTATCTCTAGCTCTGTACGATCTATTTTCTCAAAACCTGATTTTTACAAGCAACCCACTCTTGATAATAATTTATGAATCGCTTGTCGCCGGACTTCTTTATTAAGATCATGCGAAAATCACCGAATATTCTTTTCTGCATGACGCCAAGCTCACCACTCCTATGGTCTTGAAATAGATTAATGTAAAGATGCACAGACTCCTCCAACTGCGTTGTGCTTTCACACTGGCCCTTTCTATCTGCGCTCGAGCTTAGCGAAAGTATGCCCAGATAAAAGAAGACAATTGGCAGCCTTCAGAGTCAGACAAAGGGTTCCTATAGAAGGCAATCAGGCTGTAAACGTCGAAATACTCCCGGAACACCTCGCCAAAAACCCTACTATGATCACTTTACTGCAGCAAAGAAAACATGACTCCATCAACCGACTCCAAGCTTAATCCAACCGCGTGGTACTCACACAGCGCGCTTCTGGTGGCGGTCCGAGTCGCACAGTTCGTTTCAACAATCACGACGTTGGGTTTGACGGCTCGCCTCGTTGACAACAGCAATGAACCCAATCTTGAGCTCACGGTCTCGGTCATCTCGCTCGCGTTTTTTATTGTCATTGCTGCAGCTCCACTGCCACTAAATCTGTACTCCCTGGTCGCGATGTGCATTTTCGAGACTGACATTTTCGCGTTATGGGTAGCGGCAAGTGGTACTCTTAGTAGCGGTTACAGCGACATCTGCACATTTTATTCAGGGAACAATGACCGTACACATGTCCCTTGGGAGGTCCTCGCGGGAATTTCAAAAGAATGCAAAATAGGCAAGACATCGATAGCGTTTACAGCGTTTTCAACGTTTTTCTTCCTGTGCTCGGTTGCTCTACTGTGCATGAACGTTTTAGTGCCCATAAAAGCGCGTTCTGTTCGCGAGCTGAGCCCACAAGACACACGCGCATACCTGTCTCGCTTTACAGCGTTGTCGATTACACACACCCCAGTCAGAGACGTTGTGAAGAGGAAACCAGAATAAGTTGATTCTGTAATTTTTGAAAATGCCTCCTTAGAAAAGCAGTCCTATGAAGACAGAGAAAATTGATTGTGTAGGCGAAAAAGTACTAATTTCCGTACAATTTCGGTTCTCTAACTGGAAAGTATCGACTCATGTATTAGTGCTCAATACACTCCGCGCATCTTACGGCATATCACTACGATTTGGCTGTGTTTCCAGTTTATAAGGAAGGGGTTGGTGACAACGTTTTCTGTACCGTGAAGATCATTACGCATATCGTGGCAACGGAAACTGTGCGTCCAATAAGACAGCTAAGAGGATACGTACAAAACTTTGGCGAAGGGTGATTGGTATTCACGGGGAATCAATGGCTATTTCCAAGAGTGTCCGTTTGTTCTGATACCGATTAGATCGAGCTTTGCACAAAAGCATGGTATCATGCGCGATGTAGTGATCAAAGTTTCAGTGGATATTGCGCGCAGAATTTTGATGAGATATTCATGATACATTCGTAGAATAAGCAAACAATCTAGTGAGATGAGGATTGAGGTTATCGCCTTCAATTATGGTATCAAAACAAACCGCTGCTATTCAAGTAGAAACCACCGTTAGGTGATGTCAGCGGGTCATCTGGACGCTAGATCTAATCAGATCGACCTGCTGATTTATAGTTAAAGCAAGGGGTATTCTGAAATGCTAAAGATCCCAGATAGCTGTAAACTATGGGCAGGCTCACACGAAAAATGAGCAAAAACCTCTGTTTCAGTGTGTTGATTCTTCATCCATCTCGTGACTCACGGCAGATGCTCTGAACATCCTCCGGATGTGCCTGCAGTCGTGTGTCTATGCAAGAGTCACTGCAAGAGCTCTGATGGCAACGAGAGTCCAGATCGTGGGAATGCGGAGTGTTATAGCACTCAACGATTACAGCAACAGTTGAGCATTTCACTTTGCGGTGACGTGGTGCCGCATTCGCCTGAAGGATCTTCGGTTCCCAGTCAAGGTGGGCTTTTTAAAATGCGGCGCAAGAGGGGCAAAAAATTTTAAAGCTGGTGGTTTTGTAGTACCAGATGGGATACGCTTTGTGCTTTTCTCTGTTCTGAGTTTCTAACACGAATGAAAAATGACCCCTACTGAAGTGTTTGTAAGTCTTTGACCAAAGGAGGAGCTGATGTAGGTTTATAAGTATACGACGACTCTTTGGAGTATTTTGTCAGTTTGGTCGGCAACGCTCCTGTATGTTTCCATATAGATTTAATGGTTTTTTAACGGCATCAAATACTGTTCGCCAAATTTCCTTTCTAACAAAGCAGCTCGGAAGACACACGGTTGTCGAGAGAGCTCTGAGATGGCGAAAAACGGCCACTTACAGAGATTTTCGACTTTTACTCTGCCGTACGGTAATGGGTGTTGCACACGTTTATGGGGCCACTGTTGCCGCTTGACGGGGCCAGTTATCTAAGCCTTCTGCAGAGCAGCCAAATAGAGCATTTCAAGTGGATGTGGTCAACACCCAGAGAATAGCGATTTAGTCGTTCGCCAGATTGTCATAAATAGGGGGGCGGGCACATTTTTAAAAGTTCGATAGTCGTCAGCCACTGAAAAAATTGTCCAATCTTTATCTCAGGGCTGGGTTTGGCATCGGTACCGATGGAGTGCGAAAAGACTGTAGATTATATTGTGAGCTACAAAAGCTTAGGTCCGCTACGTGAGAATCTTCCTTCTATGGATGTCTGCCTGAAATTGTTATTTAATTCTTAGGGGACATGACGTCTTGGTCCTCCAGCGCTGTCGCCTGTAAAAAAGTGTTTTCCATGTTGAGCAACTGAAGGAAGTCGCTAGGTTACTTCTCTCTGACATTCACTAAATGTGCCATGTGTCGACAGTTACGCAAAACTGCTAAAGATTTCAAGTTGACCAGCTACCTTTCGGTATCCGTTGATAAATGAGTGGTATGCCTTGTGGTGTGGCTGTCAGAAATCAATTTTAGATGAAGGCGGCTTTTTCGACGCGGGTTCGCGTACCGGCCCTCAGCACACAATTTCGAGCCTCAATCTTGATTGCTTGGATGAGAAGATTATTTCTTCCTTGTGAGACACGCCTTAGGACCTTTCTTCGCGCCAATGCACTTACACTGCATCCCGGATCCAGGCGAGTACTCTTTATTGCAATTGGTATAGCTTCTGCAGTTATCCCAATTAAATCCACAGATGTAGTTCGTGGGGTTTCCTCGTTTTTCGAGTTCGTTCTTCTCCTGCAGCGCATTCAATACCTCATTAGCATGTTGCAAGAGCAATTGCTCGTCAACTGCGTCTTTATCGTCTTCAATGGAGGGATCTTGAGCCTGATTACGCGCATCCTCGTAGCTAGTCATAATTGCCTCAGGATAATCGCTCGTGTCTGAATCTTCTCTAGCAATTTCATTACCTTCATTGTCGAAGAAGACTAAACAACCGGGTGTGGCAGCGGGTGTATCCAATTGGTAAAGTTCAAGTACGTCGCGGACAGTTTTGCTTGTGTTCGTGAAAGTGAAGCCGTCACTAATCAGTAGACGGTCGCTCTCTGTAAACAAATTTAAAGGCGTCTGTAAAAGTGTGTCGACATCTGAAATGTTCATTAGGGCTGTGACAAGCTCAAAGTCCGCCGCAACACATATTACTGCGATGAGATCGGGAAAAAAATGAATTATTCTCATGTTAATATATAATATTTTTGTTGCCTTGATTATTTCAGAATAATAACTTCTTGGCAAGATGATTTGAAACCCTCCATAAATATAATGAAAAACTAAGCATCCACGACCAGTTAAAGTAGTCCGCTTCTGGTGCGTTTGGCTTTCACAAAAATATTGCGGTTCGTGACCGTTCACCTGTCATAATCGGGAACTAATCGTCATCCGATTGGCCGAATGAACGCGTCAAACCCAGCTTCGTGGACTTAAACCTCTAATTCGCTCATACATTGACATCGCTAGTGAGCAAGATACCCTGAGAAGAGTTTTTGATTTAAGATTTTGTGCTAAGTTCACTGAAACTCGCGCGAGTTAGCAAAATATTAGTGGTTGTGCCAATGACATACCTCCCGATGTCTTAAAAACGAAAAATGCTTCAACCCGAGACTCGTATAATCATCAAGAAGCACAACTCATGGGCCCTCCGGAAGTTATATTTTCTGCAATTCTCTGAACGATGGCAACAGTACCACATATGAGGTCTCATTTATCGATTACTTCCTTGGCCGTTGAAATAAGTTATGAATCGTACTCTTGATCAACAGACGGAAAATTAGATTTACAAACTAATCACACAAATGTTAGTCCGAAACACAATTCACTTGCTGACATACGGAAAGCAAGCTGCAAACAAGTTGACGAAATTTACCTCATGTTCTATAGATAAGATATCGGTATTTTGGATGTAGCGGCAGTCACACGATTATGATTGTGATCATTACCAATCGACCTTGAGTTATATGTCATATTGTAGTCACTTTGAAACGCTGTGGACGCGAGATTATGTGGTAGATGTGTTCAATATTGGACGAGGAACTGCTGATGCCAGATTTCAAGGGTCTTCTCACTTCAATACGTTTAAGCTCTGTCCCAGAGCAAATTTAAGGGATGTTCAAAGAAAGACTGATAATAAAAGCGGGCATTTTCGACAAGCGGTCGAAGAAGTCGCCTGTTAGCAAAAAACGCATGTTGTTGGCTTGCTAGTGCCCGTTGAAGTGCTAGATCCTCGCGACAAGTCATATGCAGGTGTTCGATAGCGCCATGCTGTTGGGCCTACGCCCTAAATCCGAAACTCACCCGGTTTGCACTGTTACTCACTAGATCATGTTCAGATCCTAATCTCTCCTTTTGCAGCGCCTTTCCATTCTTTTATGTAAAAGANCCAAAGAGGATGAAGTGGAAAAAGTAGTCAAAACGACAATAAAGCGTTTTGGTCGATTGGACTTCGCTTTCAATAATGCCGGGGTATGGCATGCGCCTTCCTCGGTTGGGGAAATGCCGTCAAATGTCTGGAACGAGATCATTTCAACCAATCTTAGCAGCATGTTCTTTTGTTTAAAGCATGAAATACCGGAAATGCTAAAGACTGGCGGGGGCTCCATTGTCAACACCTCTTCGGGGGCTGGTATTACAGGATTTCCTGGGTACGCAGCCTACTGCGCCTCTAAATTTGGTGTGATTGGCGTTAGTAAAGCAGCGGCGCTGGACTACGCTGCCTCTAACATCAGAGTGAACGTGGTAGCACCTGGATATGTCGACACCCCAATGATGGGCCAATTTACAGGGGGGACCCAAGAAGGCCAGAATGCCGCAATTGCTCAGGAGCCAGTAGGTCGCGTTGGCAAGCCCGAGGAAATCGCAGGGACAGTACTATGGCTCTGTTCCGACTTGGCCGCCTTCACTGTGGGTGCTACGTTTGTTGTAGACGGTGCGCAGTCCCTTTAGCGAATGCAATGAGATGATAGTGAATGCTGCAGTCGGGCCAAAAGACTGCCAAGTGCTCTGACTGGGTTTTTATAAAGATCTAAAGTTCTGTATGTTCTGAATCCTCTGATGAATTGCATCAAGCAATGCATATTATTGGACTAATGGATAAACATTAGCATGCTAAATGTTGGTGGCTTGGCAGCTGAGAGATTAAGCCTAGGCAACATGGTTCATGCGAGGCTGTAGGAGCAGGCCGCGACGCACTATTAAATGCGTCANATATCATGAGGCTCTTAGGGCACACTGCATATCCTCAGATATCTTCATGGCAGGCAGATCAAGGTTCAGTGGGTAAATTAGCTCAACAGTTTCCTAATATGCTCTGTTGGTCTGAGTAGGGGATATTCTCTAGCAAAGCCGTACGTTCTGGGGCTTAGGATTTATCGCTTCTCCTTTACCATGTCAAGGCATTACACATGATGACTGGATATGGACATAAGAGGTAGCACTGTTTGCTCAGCTAAAAGCATTGGAAAGAAACCACTGTTCTGAAGGTATTGGCCTGACGAGGTCTTTGACTTTTGCAGATCATGGCTAAGTGAAGCACTTCACTTCCTTCAGCTTCCGATACAAAACGACCCTGCTCAGAGCTTGCTTAAAGAAGTCGAAACGTGAAGGTACAAGCAGCTCAGACGCAAATGAGGACGACCTTATGAAGATCAAACCGATTTATAGACGAGGACCATCGTCCTGCTGTGCGCTGGAGGTATATCTCTTCTCCTAGATGCNGGAAACCCAACCGCAATGTGCTTCACAGAGCGCTCTGGTGGGAGACCTGGGCGAGGAGTGCGAGGACGTCAGCAGAGTTGGTTTAAGATGCCGAAACGTGAAGGTACAAGCAGCTCAGACGCAAATGAGGACGACCTTTTGAAGATCGAACCGAGCCATCGACGTGGACCATTTTCCTGAATATTGAACGTTGTGCGCTGGAGGTATATCTTGTAATTCTCCTATGTGTNGAACTTTCGAAGATTCAACCGAGCCATCGACGTGGATCATCTTCCTGGTTCGAACGCTGTGCGCTGGAGGTATATCTTGTAATTCTCCTATGTGTATCTGATCACAACNTGCATCTGATCATAACATGTAGTTTTGTCACTTCATGTCATCTGCATTTCATGTTCTCATCATCTCCTAAACGAGTTGAGACGTACATCTTTTCCTCTCTTCGAGACTCGATGGACGCATCATAAAATAAATACCCGGGTACACCTGGAACGTACACCATGATACAACGTCAGGACCTATTTCTGNCTCCTAAACGAGTTGAGACGTACATCTTTTCCTCTCTTCGAGACTCGATGGAGGCAGGATAAACTAAATACCCGGGTACACCTGGAACGTACACCATGATACAACGTCAGGACCTATTTCTCGAGATCCGGGTTCCAGTTTGTGATCCGAAATGACCCGCTGGGTATGACTGGTCTCGTGACTGGTATCACGCGACTTATACACTGTACAGATGCATATGCATGGTGTATGCAATATGTGGGTCATACATGAAGGAGCGCATTAGCATCACGTGCAAGGTTATGAAATAAGTTAAGGGCACTATCAGCACATGATCATTTTCATGTTTTGAAGATGGTGATGAACATTACCTGTGATAAAGTTACATAAGGCTTGCATATGACAGAGAGCACCTAAACACGCAAAAAACAGTTTCGCAATGGAGTTACCATGTCCCCTACGTTTGCGTTGATACTTCCACATCCGATAGAATGACTCTCACAACTAAGCAATTTTCCCTCCGATCACCTCGTGGACCCCAACTGGCGCTCACTCAAGCGTACCGCCGAGGAAAAGTTTAAGAGCTCATTGGACCCCAACTGGGGCAGCGAGGATGATCTTTTTCCTTCAACTTCTAAGCTCTTGTTTGGTTACGTCGACACGGAAGAACGCATGTTCTATAAGACAGGGACGCTAGTGCCAGGACTTACGCAATGCTGAGAAGTTGCGGGTTATTCCTATTACGTTCCATCGAAACGTCAAGAAGTACCTTTTTCTCAGCAAGTCTTTGATTCCGGATGCTATTATTGAGCCGGACACTGTTTACAGTGGAAAAGACAGCTCTGCGATATTCAAACTTATGGGCGTCGACGTGATGAAGTTTGGGGAGGGCGACCTTGAAATCCTTGGCAAGTTTGCTTTTGACAAGAATCTGTACCGCACTGAGGTGCAGGCACTGTTCAAGTATTGTCATGATGAGGCATTGACGCGCAACCCAAAGATCTTGATGCGTCCTTCGTTCCATGATCCTGGTATTGGCACTCCTGCGTTCATAAAACTTGAATCGACTACCATTGAACACTACAGTCGGGAAGTTGCACCTTTGTTGTTTGTACTGGTGCAATTGGACAGGTTGTCTGTGTCGGGTGTTATTCAGAATAAGCCGAGGGTGTCGTCCTCTCTGCTTATGGAGGATCTTGGAACGAACGCCAAGATCCCCGAGAAAGCACACCACCTGCGCTCAATTCTCATCCATGTACTCGAAGATCTCGGCAGCTCTGACTTCCTC